AAATGCGCATCTCTCGTCAGCATCATCTACGAATCTAGCCACCGATCCTATAGTAGACGACGACGACAACGACGACGACGACGACGACGACGACGACCAGCCTATGCGCTCTGTGTCGCCGAGGCGGCGGACGGAGACGCCGGCCCCTCGCGGTCATCTCAGCGGCGTCAGCTTCCGCAACAGCGTTCCTCATTTTTCAAGGAGCACCCTGTCCTGGATCGAAGCCTGCACCAACGAAAAGACACGTTTTCCCGCCATCTTTCTGACGGACCGACCTCACCTGGCGTACCCCAGCACCAGACTGGCCCGCTCTGCACAGGTTGACCTCCCCGAACGGCGGGTCGTCGAGTTTCTCATGGAAGACTACTTGACGCGAAAACAGAGCTGTTTATACCCTCTGATTGACAGGGCCTTGTTCACCACCATTCTCCACCAAGCATACGGGCTCTTTTCTGGCCAGGTACCCTCTGAGCAGAGCATCGCAGCAAGGGCGTGCGTCTTTGCATTCACGGCGATAGCCTCTCTGTATTGTCGCAACGTCCATCTCGCAGCGCTAGTGGATAGTCGCGTTTGCGCGGACAGGGCGGAGAGGCTTTTGGAGGAGACGAGTGAAAGTTTAGATATTGTCACGCTACAGACTTTGATACTCCTGGTATGGTTGCCGCCCGTTTAGCCCAGTCCAGTACCGAGGTGAAGCTAACAAACACACAAACAGCATCTACATGACACGTATTCTTCCAGGCTAAGGCCATTACCAAAGTTTCTCATCATGGCTTGTCGCATCATCTCTGCCGTAAAGGCCAACGCTCCGACTGAAGCGCGGGAGCCTCACGCGGAGCTGGTCGCAAACCCAGAAGACCATTACCGCGTGCATTTGCGCCGGCTCTTCTGGGTGGCCTACATCCTCGACCGAAATCTGGCGCTTTACACGGGCCAAGAACCGCTCATAGTGGACGAATATTGTAATCTCAGTCTCCACAACACCAGCACACGCCTTCAAAACACGCACACAGCGTCGTCAATTCCTACCCAACCCTCATATAACAACAACAATGCTTCCCAGATACCTTGGACCCCTGGCGACCGCCTGCAGCTCTTCCTTTTGAAGTCCAAGGTTTTGAAACTACTCCATTCCGTTCATATGATGGACCATCGTGGCTCGCAGCTCCTCTCCACGATTCGAGAGCTCGATGCAGAGCTGGAAGAGTGGCGGGCCTCTTTGCCCGCACAGCTTCGTCCAACGCTCTCTGTGGCCCGACATGTCTTTTTGCTGGACGTGCCCAGCTTTGACGAGTTGATACTGCGAATGATACTGAGCCTGGATTACTACCACCTGTTGGGGGCCATACATGGTGCCAGCAGACGGTACTTCAACCAGGCGAGAGATTATGCAGACTGTGCTCTGGACGACGGCATCCGATTATTGTCTTGCCTCCGCATATGCATAGAAGCGAGTCGATGCACAGCGAATTTGTTTATACTTGCCAAACTAGAAATCTCGCCGCTTTCCTTTTGGTATTCTCCTTCTCCATTCTCCGTACGCCCCAACGCGCGACAGATACTAATGATTTATATAGGCTTGTTTCGTTCTATTTCTTGCCTGCTGTCCTGGCCCTTTTCTTAAACATTGTCGAGAACCCCCACGTGGCTGAGGCGCGAACCGACATGGACATTGTAACGGCGGCGAAGATCAGGGTGAGGAATCAATCCACGAAATCCACTGGTTGACCAATATATTGACCTCAACACGCGTCAACGTCAACCCACGACTTGAATTGTTACATAATCAACCAATCCACGGTGCTGCGCATTTTGATGGACGATATGGATGGATTGACCAGTCGTCCAGCATCGCGAGAAACGGAAGCTCTGCTGCAGGGTAAGAGGCCAACCTAAGTCGCTCGCTGGGGCCGACGTAACACTAGTTGTCGGCACTATCCACCCACTACAGTACGGCGGGCGCGCCTTGTCGCGTCCTGCGACGCGTCGCCATTTTAGGCCACCTGCAACACGAGGCGACTGGCAGCTGAAACATGGCCGAGCCAGTAACTACCAACATCGAACCTAAAACACCAGCTAGCGATGATACCCCGCACGATGCTTTACTGCTCCCGAGGCTTGCCCTTCTAGACGCGGGAAAAATTCCTTTGACATCCTGGACGCCATCCTCAGATGAGGAGCAGCGCATATTCCGCGTCTGGAAGGGCTTCACACTAGCCGAACGAACCAAGGATACGGTGTCTTGGATATGGGACTACGGCGTTGAGATTCAATCAGAAGCGTCCAGGCGATGGATCTGCATGCCGTGCGTGCGCCAAAAAGCATCATCACCACAGTCATACGAATCAAGAGGCACACAGAATGCCGAGCACCACCTCTGGAAGTCTCACGGCTACTGGGATCCGTCAGGACGACGACGAACGCCACTGCAGACGAAAGAGGGAAGGAAAGCCTTCGCATCGATCACAGACCTCATGGGCCTCAAACGTTTGGAGCCTAACGACCAGGCCCTGGCGAACAACCTAATCCGACGATTCGATCAAGCCGAGTTCCAGAAGCTGGTGGTGAACTGGATAGTAGAGAGCCAGCAGTCATTCAGGCAGGTCGAACATCCACGTCTGCGACAAATATTCGAATACCTGAATCCTGCGGTGCGTATCAAGGATGCGCATGTTACTGCTAAGACTATCCAGAGCTTGGCTATTCAGCAGTTCGAGCGCCATCGCGATGCCGTTCAGCATGCATTGAGGAGGTCTCCGGGCCAGATACATATCGCTTTCGATGGCGCGAGGACCAGAAACCGTCACGCATTATACGGCGTGACGGCTGTCTTCCGAGATGAGGACAACCAACTCCGAAAGCTTGTCCTGGGCATTCCGGAGCTGGTGGAACGACACTCCGGCGAGAATATCGCTGCTGAGATCCTTGACATTATTCGCTCCTTCGGCATCGAGGACAAAGTGGGTTACTTCACCCTCGACAATGCAGCGAACAACGACACGGCGATGCGCGAGATCGCGCAAGAGTTGCACTTCGATCCGGTGCGACGGCGCGTTCGATGCGTTGGCCACATTCTCAATCTCGTCGTCAAGTCCCTTCTGTTTGGAAAAGATGTCGAGGCGTTTGAGGACACCGTCGCGAAGGGCGAAGCACTGGCAAGGGCAGCGCACGACACGTGGATGCGGAGAGGCCCCGTCGGCAAAGCTCACAACTTTGCCATTTGGGTCCATCGGTCGGATGTTCTGACGCAGTTGCTTCGCCAAATCCAACAAGACTCGTATGCGGCAGCTGACGACGCCGAAGTTGGGAAGCAACGGCCAGTCGACGTGGTTATTGACAACGATACCAGATGGCTATCCCAATACTACATGATCAAGCGGCTGTTGCGACTGCAGCCTTTCTATGAAGAGTTCATTGCTAAAGCAAAGAGAATCTTCCGAGATGGCCGGAGAGGAGAGGTAGGCCGGAGGTTTCCTCCTTGTCTTGAGGAGTCAAGCTTCCTCACCGAGAACGATTGGGCGGTGCTCAGGACTTTTGACGAGATCCTCTCGGACTTCCACGTGGTTGTACAAGCGCTCCAGGGCGATGGGCAGCCGCGTTGTCGCGCCTCCGGCATACGAGAGACCTTCGGTTCGATGACTGACGTGCTAGAGGCATTTGAGTTCCTTCTGAGCAAGCTGGAAGACGCAAAGTCGCAGATCGAGACGCATCCCGAGCCGGAGCATTTTGGCATTAACGTCAATCTTGGCTGGATGAAGCTGGACAAGTACTATAATACCTTGAGAGACACGCCGGTCTACTACGCTGCCGCTGCTTTGCATCCTGGGCTGCGATGGACTTATTTTGACGAGATTTGGGGCCGGCACCACCCGGAATGGGTTGAAGAAGCGAAGCAGATTGTGCAGCAGCTCTGGAGCAATGAATATAGTAACCTGCAAATCACAGTCGCATCCACTGCCGATGGGCCAGCGCTAAAAAAGCAGAAGACTGTGCTGTCCTCATTTGATAGGTACCGTAATAGACACCGGCAAAGCAATGCACCCACTGCCGGAGCAGATGAATACGCACGCTGGCAAGCTAGCATGTCGGAGCTGGACAGAGATGTGGCTGACCCGGTGGAGTATTGGCACCTGAAGAGATTCGAGTATCCTAAGCTGTCTCGAATGGCACTTGATGTGATGACAGTGCCGGCCATGAGCGCAGAGTGCGAGAGGCTGTTCTCGGCAGCAGGGCTAATGGTTACTCCGCTGCGGAACAGGATGGATGCAGGAACAATTGGACTTATCCAAACCTTACGCTCGTGGCTACGCGCGGGAATAATCAAGGATGTTGACAATATACTGCTGGACAGGGCTGTATCAATGGGGCTTGGGGAGGATTGCTCAACGGAGGAGTTTCGAGGATGAGGCGGGGTAAGGGGGTTTCACGATAGCTTCAAAATTACTCAATTAGGAAATCGATGTGGAGACGACATGGGTCCTCAATATTGTGGCCATCAACCCACGAGAAGGCTTCGTGGACTCAACCCACGACAGCGCTGCTGAGTAAGCTGTCAATTCCATCCACGACAAGCACTCGTGGACGTGGGTGGATTGATTCCTCACCCTGGCGAAGATTACAATACAAGAGATCCGCTTCAGCCGGTTGTCAAATCAACAGCAAGAGCACCTAAAGTCTATCACGGATCTGTTGGCAGAGTTGGACAGGCTCGGAAAAGCAGTCATGCGCAATGTATAATATGAGTTACCGCCAACTACAATAGACTTCATCATTTTCTGCACCACTCGCGACATCGACGCTTTTCTATGGCTACATACTAATAGTATGAATGAGTTTTTTCCAAATGGCAAGAAATTGGAAGCATTTAAGTAGCTATCCAGCTCTGTAATTCTATTTCTTTAACTAGAAAATCTAGTGTCTCTAGTTATGTACAGGTTGGGCAATTATTTGTGTGGTGTGGCATGTCTTCATGTCCTGAGAACGTCCATATTTCGGTCCAGTCAATCCGAAGCGTTCTTGCGAAAGTCGTCCTTAAGAATGCTGTTTCGAGAAGGGGTTTCGAACCACATCAGCTGCTGGTTCTCCCTCCAGTCAGGCCATCTAGCGAAGCCACCAACACCCGCATTAGGGTCCAGATTGTACAGGAAGTTGAAATAGTAGGTGCGAGAACTCTTCATTGCATAGTTCACTGGAATTCCATAGAACGCCTGGACCAAGTCTGAGGTGTGAAAGGTCCCAAGAATCGGAAGTCCATGAAAATAGGATGCTTGGTATGACCAAACACGGACCTCTGGCTTCACCTTAGTAAGGTACTCCAGCGTGACCCTTCGCGTTAGAAAAAAGGCTAGGTCGCCTACAGTAGCGGCAACACGCTTGAACCCTGGGTAGAGCTCGTTGAAAGGACCAGTGCGGTATGGGCTACCTTGAATAAGAGCTGGCTCATCCATACCAACCAACTCTCTTAATTTCTCTGGAGGAGCGTGTGAAACGAGGTTTTGGTGCAGGTAGTTGGCCATGTCGTCCGGGGTCGTGACGTTTTTCTGAAAGAGGCCAAGCAGTGTCCCCTCGTCTTCCTGATGGCCCACGACTATAGGCACGGGAAAGAATTGGCCTTTTTTATCTGTACTTCAGGGCTGTCCACCAGCACGTTCCCATCAGGCCGTGGGTGAAACACCAATCCAGGGCCATGATAAGAAAGGATCTGTGGAAATGTAGACACAGCCTTGTGGAGAACGCTGTAGTCGACTTGGCGCAAGCATTCTAACGTATCTTGCGTGCCAGAGCATCCATCGCGGGCGATTTGATCATATAATGCCTGTACCTTGGGACAGTCAAGCGTGTCAGAGGGAAAAATGGTTCCAGAGTCCATGATACCGCCGCGGAATAAAGGCTTGCCCTTGTCTGTGGCGTTGCCTCCATACAGAAGCATCTAGCTCATGACGGATGCTAATCCCGGCGACTCGCCCCCATATCGTAACCTTGTCGGGATCGCCGCCAAAAGCTTGTATATTATCGGCTACCCACTCAAGCGCCATACGTTGGCCCAAGATGCCGGCATTCGAGCTACCTTCTTTCAGAATCTCCTTGCCTGGCATAAAGCCGACAGCGGAGAGGCGATAGTTGGCCGTGACGTAAATGAATGGTTGATTCTGACCCATGGCAGTTTGCAGCAGGCTCGTCCCGTCGTATGTGTTGTGCTTCCGAATGGGTAAGCACCGCCGTAGATCCAAAAGAGCACAGGAAGCTTGGCATTGGCATTGGTGCCCGCAGGGCGCTGCACATTGAGCGTCAAGCAGTCTTCCTGTCCAGTTACGGACTGTAAAAAGGCAGTTTGCGAAATTCGGCAGGAAGCTTGCTTGTGACGTCCTCAATGTCGGATGAAATGGGCATCTGAGGACAAGCTGGGGCGATGACGGTGCCGTCAATGATGCCTGGCTGCGTGGACAGCTTGCGAGGGGGCTTGAACCGCAGGGGGCTGACGGGCGGATCGGCATAAGGGATGGCATTGAAACTTTCAACATTGGCGAGTTGGCGGCCAATGGCAGTGCCCCCTGCTGGTATATCCGGAGAGACTTTGGCATTGATTGCAGCTCTGCCCTCGTGAACTCTGGCGCAGGCAGAGGCAACAAAGCCAAGCAAAGCCATGTAAGTCTTCAGGAGAGTCATGTCGATAGTATAGACAGTCGTAAGGTAGGAGAAGAGTAGAATGTTGAAGATGATGAAGGTCTGTCAGATATCTCTCCCAGCTCTTTATACATACATACCTATATACGTGCTTTTGAACTTCGGCGGAGAGGTTCAACCTAATGCCGGTGCGGCTTGATAACTCAACAGTTCGAGTTCGGGTAGCCTGGATGCACAGGCTTACAAAATTGGGCCTCGGCTATACATTTCAATTCCACCTGCTAGCAATATCATGACACGTTTTCTGAAAGAATCGAAAGCTTGATGCCGTCTTCTCCAGACCATAGTCGCTCAAGGTGCAAGGTCCCGTATAAGATGTAAACACAGCAGGGTAGGAAACCGGCGATACATACAATATCCCCGCAATTCAAGGACCATGCTGAACCAGCCTAGGCCGTTCCCCTACTAGAAGGGCTGGCCCGCTAACTATCTGACCTTGCCATTCGGCTAGATTAAAGTGATCTTAACTTATTTTGCACGCTGATTAAGCGGCTAAGGTGGAGAGCATTATATGGCAACCGACCTAACCTGGCAGGGTATAATGCTGAAAACAAATCAAAGTCCAGAATGGCTCTCCAGTGGAGGGCTCAACCCCCTACAGTAGCTCTTTCACAGATCATACAGAAAAGGGGCCTTAGTAAGCGGCCAATCAAGCAGCTTTGTCTACTTGTAGTTTGCCGAATTGACCGGCATGACCTTGACATCATGATAGGGACTGTCACGGAGCCAACGCTGCCCGCTATACACACCGCGCTATTCTTCTGCTTCTTCTTCTCTACGGACTTGGCTCCACGGAGAAAAGTTTGGGTCCGAGTTTAGGACACCGGTGTCGCGTCATATTGTTACAAGCTTACAGAACAACCGGTTAATCGGGGTCCCCGCGCACCATCCTTCTACCCCGCCCCGGGCCTGGATCGCGATAGCGGCAACATGTCTGCCACTAACTCTGACACTTGTATTCATACCACGGCCGGACCTATCGAGGCTGAAGTTTCCGGCTCAGGTATACCAGTTCTCATCTTACACGGGAGTCCTGGAGGAATCGATGCCGCCTGCTCCATGAGTCGCTTCCTCGACAAGGACACGTTTAAAGTCATCTGCCTCTCACGCCCCGGCTATCTCAACACGCCGCTGCCTCCCGTACACCGTTCCATCGATGCCGAAGCGGATCTTCTTGCCGCACTACTTGATGCGTTGGACATCCCACGCGCTGGTGTTCTGGCCTGGTCTGGCGGCGGCCCAGCTGCGTACCAGCTCGCCTCTCGATATCCGGACCGCGTGGCTTGCCTAGTAAGCATTGCGGCCCTGAGCTCGGCCTGGATCGCACCACCAAAGGCACACATGACAGAACGTATCCTGTTCGGCACGAAGCTCGGAGACGGGCTTCTCAGATTCCTGTCCTCAAAGTCGCCCAAGAATGTGATTGCGGCAGCGTTAAAGGGGGAGGGCTCGCTTCGCGGCGACGAGCTGGACGCCTTGGTCGAGCAGGTCATGGCTGATGCCGCCCAGCGACAGCTCGTACTCGAGATTGCCCTGACCGTCAACGTGGGCGGCAGGCGGAAGCAAGGCTGGCAGAACGATGTCGCCAACTTTGCAGCGATCGAGAGCTTAGGCCTGGAACAGATTCAATGCCCCGTTCTGCTCATCCATGGAGATGCCGATACAGATGCACCCCCAAGCTGCAGCGAATCGGCGCATGCACGCCTACCGCGCAGCGAGCTTGTCATGATGCCGAGAGGTACGCACCTCTCATTCTACGCGCATCCAGAAGCGAGCCATGTTCAAGAAAGGACAAGGAAGTTTTTAGAGCACGCAAAAGCTTGAAAAGTTTTCAGTCTTAGCGCGGATGGCAGTGAACTGGGCTTATTACGTAGCTAAAGCAAACAAACATTCCAACGAGATGGCTCGAGGGAAAAGCCTCGGCAGAAACTGAGCTTTTTTTCTGCTTCTAACTGATTTTCGCGTAATACAAATTAGAATGCCCGCTTCCTCCTCGAGGCTCTCTTTTCCTCACAAGAATGGCTGAGCTTCAGCTGCTATTCTATGTAGCTCGGATTATACGGACGCCGACGCCGATGAAGGGGCTGTAAGCTTTCACCACCACCCTAGGTTACAATGTCCAGCAGCTTTTTTCTTGTTGATCAGGGAGCGGCGACATCCGGTCTGCCCTGTGTTGTCATCGCTTTTCCATTTTGCGTAGCTCGCTGAGGACAAGACATGGCAAGCTCCTCTGACACGGTTTGCCGATACCTAATAGGAGTCACCCGCCACTGCTCTAATTGCAAGGATTATTTTTCTTCTTCGCAATCTTCATTCTTCCCTTGTTCCACATTCTGCACTAAATAGTTACAAGAACCACAGCCCTAAGACCGGCGCCCTACTGCGCGCTTCTAGACCCCCCGCGTATCGGCCGACTTTGCCGTCTTTGCCAAGCTACAGAACACCGGGCAAGTAATTCCGGAAAGGCCAATATATACAATTATCCCAGTAAGAAAATGGCCTTGTAGAATTTTCTTTTTAGCAGTGTATACTACGCCCTGGGCAAAGCCTTCGTAAGGCAGTCGTAAGGCTGTGGATGTGTATGGCTACATCCCACTACAGGACCGAGGTCGGGTAGAGCATAGCCTCTGTGCCTATTGAGTTACCAACCAACGCCTTTGGCTTTGGTCACTTAAAGACGCAAGCGTTGTAGGAAACAGGTGCCTTCGCCATCCGACTAAGAGAGAAACTCAGCTCATTATAGAACTATAGTACAATAAAACAGTCCTTCCAAAGATGGCGTCTAGCTTGACGTATACACAGCCAGAAACCTGCAAAGGCATGTAAAGCTCTCTGTTGACCATTTCTTGGACTCGCCAGAATCAACTATTCAATCCATTTGGACGCCGACTTTGACCACATAATCCCTTCTGCATTCGCCAACATGGAAAAACCACCCGGTCATTGGTTTCGACGGTTGGTATCCAGGACAGTGGCCGCCTGCACCCCGCGACCAGAAAGAAGAGGTCAAGATTTCGATGCCTATCTATGAAGAAAACGGATACCAGTTGTTCTCTAGGATTGTTCGAAGGACAAGACCAGTTCAACTGCGGGCAAGAGACGCATCGAGGGCCACTAAAACGGTAGGGCTCCAGGGTAGTCACGCCGCTGTCTATTTTCCCGCCACCGTCATTTCGTCCAGTTTCATCGCGGCGGGAAGAATATAGATAAGCCAGCCAGCCCGCCGGCGCGTCCACTTTAGCGGTGAATCCAGGACCAACTCTTTTAAGCCCCAGCGCTCTGGTGCATATGTAGGTAGGTACATACATAGCTAACTTATAACATTTGTAGCATCGAAGTTGGCCCACCTGCTCAAGGTCGGTTGTCGCTGTGGGGCCGCTCGGATCTACCTGTTTAGGAAATTCCTCCTCCTCCCCCTCAATGTCGTGGCCCGACGCTTAAATCACGTATTGCCGCCCCTGAGAGGCGAAAGCTGACCCTGAACAGCCATTGCTTGGTAGCTCAGTCGTCAAAACTATGGGTCTGTCAGGTAAATAATCGACTGCTAGCGACTGATAGATGGCGATGGATTGTGTCGTGATAGCCACAGTCTGGAGCTTTACGACTAAATTTGATGGCCAACATGTCATGGTCGGAGGCATTATAAAAGACAATACCGCTCGGTGACTTTGGACGTGTGGCCACCAGCCATTCCGCACCATTCACCCTAGGACCAGTCGACTTGTTCTGTTCCGAGACTGAAGATGGCCGCCGCCCAGTCTCCCTCGCCAGACCCTTGGGTTGTTGTCGCCTCTCCCGAGGACGACGACGATGCCAACTACGAGGTCACCGGGGTCTTCGCGCACGTCGCCCGCTTCATCCCGTGGTTCCGCAAGCCGCGTCACGTCCTGCTGTTCAAGATGGATGTCATGCTCGTTCTCTGGATGTTCATCGCCGGCCTCATGAAAGAGATGGACCAGTCCGCCACCACGCAGGCATACGTCTCCGGCATGCGCGAGAGCCTGAGTCTTTACGGCAATGAGCTCGTCATGTTCAACACCTTCTTCTCCATCGGCTACGCGCTCGGCCTTGTTCCGGGACAGCTCATCCAAACCAGGATCAGGCCGTCCATCTTTCTCCCCATTTGTGAGGTCTGTTGGGGTTTCTTGGTCTTGTTGTGAGTCGTGTTCTTCCGCCCGTGGAGAGTGGCGAAAATTAACTCCTGTACCCAGCACGTACAAAGCGAAGAATGCACAAACAATTTATGGCCTTCGCTTCTTCCTCGGTCTGCTCTCCGCTTCCTTCTGGCCCTCGCTCGTGTCCCTCCTCTTCAATTGGTATAAGCCGTCCGAGCTCGCGGTCCGCCTTGCATTCTGCACGGCGTCAGATGTCGCAGGAGCCATGTTCCTGAGCATCCTCCAAGCCGCTCTGTACCGCAACATGGAGGGTGTCCACGGTCTTCGCGGCTGGCAGTGGCTTTTCATCATTGCCGGCGCGGCCACCATCGGCCAGGGTCTCCTCGCCTTCCTGTCCATCCCCGACTCCCCCGCGACCACCCGAGCGGTGTACCTGAGCGAGGCCGAGAAGGACCTCGCGCGGAGGCGCATGGCCAGCTTCGGCGCCAGGACGAGCACCCTTGTCAACGCGGCCGTGCTGCGAAGGAAGCTGCGGCAGCTCATTGTGCACCCCGTGACCTGGTTCTTCCTGCTTGCCTTTGCGCTGACCGCGTGGGCGCACCGTGCCAACGCCTACTTTGTGCTGTACCTCGAGAGCATAAAGGACGCCGACGGGAACAGGGTCTACAGCGTCTTCCAGGTCAACGTGCTCCCACTCGGCGGCTACGCGCTTCAGATCATCACGAACATTGGCCTCAACGCCCTCTCGGACCGGAAGCACTGGCGGTGGCAGATTAGTATTGGCAGCGCGGCGTACTACGCTGTGATTCTCTCCGTGCTGTGCGCATGGCCACCGAATGACAAGGTGGTGCTGGCGTTCTACTTCCTCACCTACAGCACGTACGCCGGCTCCTCGTCGCTCATGGCGTGGATGGCCGAGCTCATGCGCAAGGAGCCCGAGGCACGGTCCATAATCGTCGCGTTGACCGTCACCATCGTTTACGTGGGCCACGCAACCATCCCGTTGCGGGCGTTCAGGGTCGCGGATGCGCCGCGGTATCCCATTGGTTTTCCCATGGTCACGGCCATGACGGTGGCAAGCATCTTGGTGCAGTTCGGGTTCCTGTGGTGGGACAGGCGCCACCCTGGGATCGCGGAGCACGGCTTCGACAGGCCCGGCTCTGACGAAGAGAGCACAACAGGACTGGAGGACATTAAGATTGGTGCTTCCAAGGATAATAAGTAGTCGCCAAGTCGAAGAGGTCTCGTTGTTTGTCCCCGCTGCTGTGCGCGTACCTGGTGGCAGGGCGATGGCGATGTAATTTAATTGATTGATTGCCTTCATGATGATGATGCTAGAATTCAGTGCCTGTGGAGGGCAAGAAGCCACCTTTCCGTCGCCTACCAGTAGTTATGTATCTATAGTACATCGAAGTTATTTGTAGGTTGCCACAATCCACCTACCCTATAGGGAAATGGCGTCTTCTACTCCTGGTAGCAATTGGCACCGCAAAAGAACCACCAGGCGGTCATGATCCTACTTTAGCTCAAAGATAAAGATTTTAAATTTTAACATAGGCGTAGATTTCATCGTCCGTATGACTAGTCGTGGCCCGACTCAGGAGCCAGATTGCCCGCCAACGCCAGGATACACGAACCCCAGTGCCGCCAAGTCCTTGAGTTTGTGCCTCTTATTGCCCATTCTCCTGGATGCTGCTTTGACGAGCGGCAGTTGCAACCTCAGCCACCTCTTCTCATCGTCCCAGAATGGCGGGATCTTCCCCAACCCTCCGTTCTCCAGGGTCTCGTCTGTCTCAGAATCCAAGCTCAATTGGTGCATCTTGTTAATGTACTCGGCGTCCTCGAGAGGACCCATAGTGTGCACCGCCGCGCTACCCTTTGACTTGGCCAGCGCCGCCTCCCAGTCTCTCATCTCGGAAGACGGCGGCAGCGTAAGCCGTCCAGCCCATACACGCGAAACCCACGCTGCCTGACCTTCGGCGAAGGGGAACGGCACAATCCGCTGCGGGATGCCCAGGAAGGCGAGGGTCGGGTCGTTGATGTAGAATACGTGCTGGTACAGATTATGGACGCACGCGCCGTCGGTCACCACGGGCGAGGGGAGGTCCTCCAGGAAGGGAAAGCTGTAAACATAGCCAGTGCAGAAGACGACGGCGTCGATGTGCGTCTCGGTCGCGCCATTGGCGAAACGCACCGAGCGGTCTTTCGGAACGAATTCGACAATCTCGGGCACCATGCTCGCCCAGGACGGGACCGGCTCCTCGGAGGTCGGCTTTGGCCGCTCCTTTTCGGAGACCATGACTGGCAGCTTGGCTGTTGTTGCGATTTGCGCGCTGATGTCGATGCCTGATGCTGAGTTTCCCACGACAATCACCTTCTTGTTCTTAAATTGTTCCGGGCGTCTGTATTTCTTGGAGTGCGACACGAGCCCCGGATACGTCTTTACGAAGCCATCAAGCCCGGAGATGGATGGTATGAAGGTGTCGCTATAGTGCCCGTTGGCAACCACAATTGCATCGAAATACGACGTTGATGGTTCCTCCGACTTGATAAGGCGTGCCTGGACTTCCCAAACATCGCGACCTTCTCTCTCAATCTTCCGAACCGAGACAACCCGAGTCGACAGGCTAATCACGTTGCTGAGCGGCTCAGCATAGACCTCAAGGTAGCGTTTGACAACCTCGTGGTGAGGAAACAGGGCAGTATTTTCTGGGAAGTTGAGATCTGTGTAGTTCATCAAGGTGTGCGGGATGTTGGTCTCCAAGAGGTCGTAGACAGGCGACACCCACGGCCCAGTAGTATCGGCGTCCGCCGTGAAAGCCCAGACGCCGCCGACGGTATTATGCTGCTCAAACACCTTGACCTTGGAGAACTTCTTTTCTGCCAAAAGGTATCTGAATCCTGTTAATAGGCGCTGAGACGCCGAATGCGAGTAAAGACTCACCTGGCGGCCGCCAGGCCACACGGACCGCCGCCGATGACGGCAACGCTGTCGATATCCGGCGCTTGACGTTTCTGTGCTGGCGACATGCCGGAAAAGACGACAGATTAGGATGAGATGAGGTCGCGATCCATGTCCATTACGTGACCCTGACTTGATTATATGAGCCTCGAGCCATGAGTCTTCTGGCGCTGTCATTCGCAAGGCGGCAAGGGAGGCCCTTAGCAGTCATAATAATAGAAGTCGACCCTCAGCAGTCATGATAACCTAAATCGTATGTCGTCGGGGTGGCGCCGCCTGGGCTGTGCCATTTTGCCTTAGTGTCCATCACGCAATCGCCTGTTCTCCATCTGGCCAGGCAGGAAACCGGGGCGCAAAGCGCGGGCATCTTCACCACCATGACTGAGTCGGACAACGCCATATTGCTCAATTATCATTCAAGGTGCAGAAAAACGGAAGCCCTAGCATGCACTATCCCTAAACATGCCTGCTACAGCAAATAATGATGCCCCAACGCCCAATATCCACCGCTTCCGAGTCCGTCGCACGTCTACGGTGCCGGAGTCGGCCCCACGCCGACGCTCCGCTTCGCCGCCAGTCGGGCCTTTACCGCTCCCGCGCGACATTCCCGCCTGCGACCGGTGCCGGAACTTTAAAAAGAAGTGCAGCCGTACGTTTCCTGTATGCTCACTGTGCGCCAGCGCCGGCCATCAATGCTCCTTTTCAACGCCCGTGTCTTCGGCCAAGGCCCAGACGCACCACCTGCGGGCCCGCGTCGAATGGCTCTCCCGCCTGATCGACGAGAACCTCCTCGTCACCGGGTGCCCCGGCATCGAGGGCGTCGGCACGGGGTCCGACTTGACGGGCATGCTGGCCACCTCTCCTGCTGCCATCGTCTCTATTCCGGCCAGGGCTCAGGCCCACAGCACGGAAGCGACGCCCGACTCTGTTAACCAAGAGCAGCAGTCCCTTGTGTCTGATGCTCGTCTCGTCGCTACCCTGCGCCACCTCGACTCGGTGAGCGGAAGCCTCATGGCCGCGCCGCAGGACCCGCTGGCTCGCACGCTGGTCAACGCCTACTTCCGCCACATCCACCGAGCATACCCATTCATGAACCGGGCCCGGGTATTGCATGAGCTCGAGGCTCTCGGATCTGCGGCGTGGCCTCCGAGGCAGTCAGACTCTACTTTGCTCTTCCTTGTCATGGCCCTCGGTTGCACCACCCTCCAACGCTCGGGACAGATGCCCCGCGACGCGACAGGGTTCAAGTATGATGTTCCAAGCGCCGAGATCCTCCAGGAGTGCCTTCTCAAGGACGATGTTGAGTCTATCCAGATCCTCGTTCTCCTTGCGCTGCACTGCATGTACGACCCAGCTGCAGCGTCCACGTGGTCCGTTGCCGGCATAGCGTCCCGAAAGGCCATGTCCTACGGCCTCACTCGCCGGGCATCTAACGACTCGTGTCTCTCGTCGACGGACAAGGAGCTCCGATATCGTCTCTTCTGGAGCGTTTGGGTCCTCGACCGGGTCATGGCCTATTCAACTGGCCTAGCTCCAGCGCTGTGTGACGAGAGCACCGACGTCCCGCTCCCGGGCCTTGCCGTCGAGGAGTTCGCCTCCCCGGAGCGGCAGCGCTTCGCCTCAGTCCTGCAGATCCACCGGCACATCATCCGTCTGCGACAGCTCGAGGACCGCATCCTCGCCCAGGTCCTCTCCCGAAAGCAGCCCGACACCATCATCGCCTCGCAGGGTCGCCTCGCCATCGTGAGGGAGGTGCGAACGGACATCGAGAACTGGTACAGCGAGGGCTGCCTCCTCTCGCCCGTGGAGCCGGACAACATACCCATTCACGCGTCCGTGGCCTGGCTCGGCGCGAGATACTACCACCTGCTCCTGATGCTACACTATCCTTGCCCCTTCAACGGTTTCGGCGCCATCATCTCCGCCATTGACCTCCTACGTTTCATCCAGAAGCATCTGCAGTCGACCCTCGTCCTCCTCCAGCAACGCCAGCTGCCTCTCAACCTCGTCACCCTCACGCGCACCCTGCCTGTCGGTCTAGCGCTACTGCACTGTCTCATGAGCGGCGTCTCCGAGATGGCCTCGACGGATGAGGTCGACACCCTCATCAACGTCTTCGAGGCCTTCCCGGACAACTGGGCGCAGGCAAGACGGGCAGCGCATGTGTTCCGCCAGGTGAGGATGGTAATCGTGGAGGTCTCAGGAAAGCAGACGCTGCAGTTCGCGGAGACACGAATGCAGCCGGGAGGCCCTGGCTACTCATACCAGGTGCTCCTGAAGCCGCTGGCGGTCGCCGTGACGGCGGTCATGGAGGACACCCTCGGCAAGCCGACGTGCTACGCCATCCCGGAGTTTCTATGCGAGCGGGGATCCGGCGAGGGAGGAGGGGGATTTTACTCCTCCAACTCGCCGACAAATCCCATCCAGTCATCCCTCCTCTCAATACAGGACGAGACAACGGAGAACAGCTGGGGGTCCCTGCAGTTTGCGTTTATGTGACATGGATGTTTGTGTAGTTTACAGCTGGGACGGATGAACGTTCAACCGAACTGTGCGCAACATGTTGCATTATGTAGGTAGTTAGCATCTACGTTGACTTAACCTTCAACTAACCAACCCACCCTCCCGTTCCTGTGCCTAGTCTTACCAGGCGCGTCTGTCCATTTTAGTAGTGAAACGAGGACCAACTCTAATAAGCTACTAGGCGATGGCTGTTAGAGGGTGGCATACGTGATTGAAGCGTCGGGCCACGACATTAAAAGGAGGGGAGGTGACTTGGTAACAACTTAGGCGACACCGGCGAAACTCCAGCCAAAGTGTAGCTCGGGCCCCTTTCCACCGAACTCTAGCTCAACTTGCTGGATCCGCCAGAGGTTATCCCTGACCTCACACTTCAAGGTCAAGAAAGCCGTAATAAGCTACGAAGCAGCCCCTCCCTCCCGTTGGTATTTCTTCCATCACGAAACAACCCTACGGTAAATGGCGCTAAGCGATGAGCAAATCAAAATTATTGCGGAACATCCACTCGATTATGACTTGCTGTCTCGCTTTCCGACCAAACTACGCCTTCTGGAAGACTCCCACGAATCTCACGAATCTCACGAATCATGGCGCCCCGGCATAGCGAGCCTCTTGATAACCTTGGTGGGCTCGATGACAGCATACCACCTCACTTTATCAGAAGAAGGAGGTGCGTGTGTTGCTGATAGACTCTTCCATCTACGACAAAAACTTCTACAGGGATTATTCAAGTTAGATGACTTTAATGAACTCGTCGATACAATCGTCTCCAACTCTCCTGACGCAGACCTATGGATTGCTATCATCAACCTCGTTAATGCCCTTAACCCGTCGACCCCTCCACCATCCACCCAGGTGCCAACCAATATTGCAACACCACTTCGAGTCAGCTCAGCCCGTATTTCGCCGGCCAGGGACTTATTACTGGCAGCAAGCTGGAACGGATGAACGACCTGCCGCAAACACTGTATGCGTATCTTTAATCGACCCCTCTCTTTCACCTGCCTTATTCCTCCTGGCTTTATCGACCCGATGGATTTAACATCGTTAGACATGTTTCTGAATCCCTTCCGAAAGGGGCGGCGCAAAGTTCCACTTCCTCCTCGTATACCCCGCATGTCAATAGAGGTTGGCGATACGCTGCAACATTTCATCTTGGACATGTCAGCTTCGCCCCCCGCCTCCTCTGCCCCGTCTGTTCAGCCAACCTCTCCACCGGCCCCTGTGCCGTCCGACGACATCTCGAACGATGAACTGGTCGACATCCAGCCTTCCGAGGTGACGTATCTTGAGACTCTGAAGACAAAAAGAGACAAGAAAAATGGCGACAAGCGTGTTGTCACCTTGAAAGATGGAATTCGGAATGAAAGTGGTTAGTGAAATATAGGTGCCACCTATCCATAGCATGTTGACGCCCTCTTAGTATAAGCACACTGGATACTGGGACCAATTTCGTACAGAAGAGAGCGCTTATCGACTGCTAAAAGAAAAGGGCTTTTGTGAGCGGGGCGTCGTTCCGAAATTCTACGGAATCCTTGACGAAATAGATGTAAAACTTTGGCCAGAAACTGTACGAGTTTCAAAACGATTCAGCTTCGCCTAGCGCCGTTTTTATTGAATACATGCAAGACACTAAGAAGATCGATCTCGACAACTTTACGCAAGATAACATGGATAGGCTGTGTGCAATCCTCGCCGAGTTCCATAATGTCGGCCTCCTTCATGGCAACCCATACCCGAGAAACATGATGGTTGTTCAGGGAACGCCTAGAGACAGAGTCTTCTGGCTGGACTTTGACTCTTGGAGCGTTGAGGATCGAACAACGTCTGATGAGTTCACAGAACTGCTGTTCCGAGGGGAATCGGAGCAGATGGCATGCGTTGCGAAAGCATTGGTATGTTGTCGACTTTGCAACAGGCTCGGGGACTGGCTTTGACTAACAGCTCTTACCTTGGTCGGAGGATGCCAAGACTGGCAAAGTAGAGAAATCGATGTATTTCTAGTGCTGGCGGCTGTATTCCAGCACTAAGCACACATAGTCGTGAAAGCGACGAGCTGTACACCGAAGCGTAGCACAATCTACGTCCTCGCGTCCTGTCCGTACCATTCTCCCGCCAGGCGGCGGCCCTCCCCGCCTCATCAGCAGGGGAATGAACCAAGTCACAACCGCAAGCCAAGTACTTGGCAAGGCTGCATGCTAGGAAGCTAAAAGAAGCTACACAGTGTTCGTAGAAATTGAATGGGACTAGAAATTGTCTCTTTTCTTCGAGCAAACTAGCAAGTAATCCAACACGTTTTCCCCCGTCTACCCTGGTAAGCTCGCTGGAAATGCCACAACCGGAAATCCTGTCATCACCAACAGCTACTGTACAGTAGTTGGCCTTGGCGGGGCAGCCACAACAGCCAACATGAACCAGCTTTACTCACTGCAAGACAATACAATGAACAAACCTGCTGCCTTTAGATGTACAAAGATGCCAATTGAACATGCCACTGTCATCTGAAAGTTCAGCCACATCCAATCTTCCCCCATCGCATTGGCTTTAACGGCGTTGACGGCTGAAGGCGGGGCGTCCGACTTGGCCCATAACTACTAGCACCCGCTGTCAGCCTTCCGTGACATCCGTGCCCAACTGTGCCCGTCAATTGACTTGCAATTCTTCCCTTCATTTTCTCTTTTCTCTTTTCTCTTTTACCTTTCTTCCTTCTTACCTGGAGCTTCATACCTAAATCTCAATTCTCGCTCGTCCTTTTTTTTTTTGCCCTTGGTTGTGGCATCGTCAATGCCAGCTCCTCCTCAGTCACTCTGACGTCTTACATGTGAATGTGCATTGACCCGGAAAAAAAGTCACCAACGTCATCATCCAATCAATCCACCTGTCCAACTTGCAAACGCAACGCTCCTCCTCTCCCTCAGCTCGCAACCTCTACGGCCAACAGTCTCTACCTATCGATCCGCCTCCCCCGTCATTTGTCTCCGTATGCGACAACATCGTCATCATCTTCCCTGACAATGGCGGCCCAAACGAGCACCGCCGCCGAACCGGCCCTTCCGCACCGGCCGCCTCCTCCCGGTGTCACCTTGGACGACGAGATCAAGGACGACGATACCAAGGAAGAAGTGACCAAAGATGACATCGCCGAGCGCTCCCTCTATCCCGACCACGACGACGTCCAGGCCGTCCTGCAGCCCGCCATGAGCCGCGCCGCCAGCCACCTCACCTCCATCCACACGCCCGCCGTCGAAAAGGTCGCCGCCATGGAGCGCATGACGGGCTTCTTTGACGGCAGTCCCGTACTGCCGGTCCCCGAGGACTCCAACGACGACGATGACTCCGAGGAGGCCGCGACGCCAAAGACAACAGACCGGAAAGATGCCTCGTCAACCTCCTCCTCCATACCCAGGCCGTTCAACCCCCAGGATGTGTACAAGAGCGCAGCCCCCGCGCGGACGCCGCAAACAAAAGGTGCTCTCGGCAGCGCATTGGCGTCGACCCGCCACCGCCGCGCCGGTTCGGCCGGCCAAGACGCCCTGAAGCGCTTCCAAAAGGCGCTCCCGTCCTTTGGCTCTCCGTCTAGCTTCCTGCCGTCGCTGCCGACAAAGTACTTCAACAACCTGGCTGACTCGATGCCCAGCATCCCCAGCATCAGCATCGGCCACCACACCAAAAACTCCAAGTCCGAGGCGGACGCCCGACGACGGCTGCGCGCCCACACCGCTACCATGCCCGCCATGCACTCGGCGTCCCGCGAGGGCTCCGGCCCGGCGACGCAGACGTTCTCGCCAGCGCGAAGACCGGGTTCCCTCCGGCGCACCACGTCCGACGAGAGCATCCTGTACCACACCCTCTCCCGGCAGTCGTCCCTCGGCGACGACGACCGCTTCCAGGACGTGCGCGAGATGGTCAACATGCGACTGCTAGCATTCAAGGACAGCCTGCCGGACGTGCCCAACTTCAAGATTCCGTCGCTGGCCAAGCTGCAGGCCACCGCGCGCCGCTCGCAGCAGTCCCTCAACGGCATCTTCTCCAACGACTCCAGCAACGCCGATAGCCAGACTCGCGATGCTGCCGAGTCGTCTAGCCCGGACCGGGAAACTAAGCAGCACCCGGCGCCCAAGGATGACGACCTCGGCGACGTGCTGCGGGACCTCGTCGGCGACATCGTCATCCTCGGCGGGTACCGTGGTTCCGTCCTGCGCTCCGCCGACCCGCCGCACCACCAGCTGTGGGCGCCCGTCAAGCTCGGCCTTGGCCTGCGCAAGGCCGACCTCGAGGTCGGCCTCGACGACGCCGACGAGGAGTCCATGCCCACACGCATCATCCCCTCGGGCATGCTCAAGAACATTGGCCCCATCGACGTCTCCCGCAAGCTCTTCCGCAAGCTGCAAGCCTCGCCCAACGCCCAGGCCGGCCGCCTGCGCGTCTGGGACTTTGGCTACGACTGGCGCCTGAGCCCGCGGCGGCTGTCCAGCCACCTCCAGGAGTTCCTCGCCAAGCTTCCGTCGAACCAGGCGGGCTCGCCGAACCGCGGCGCGCTGGTCATCGCGCACAGCCTCGGCGGGCTCATCACCCGGCACGCGGTCAACGCGCGGCCGGAGCTCTTCTCCGGCGTGCTGTACGCGGGCGTGCCGCACCAGTGCATGAACATCCTCGGCCCGCTGCGCAACGGCGACGCGGTGCTGTTCAACGAGAAGCTGCTGACGGCGCGCGTCAACTTCTCCATCCGCACCAGCTTCGCCCTGCTGCCCGAGGACTCGTTCTGCTTCGTCGACAAGCACACGGGCGAGCCGTACCCTGTCGACTTCCTGGACCCGATGAGCTGGGTGCGCCACCGTCTGAGCCCCTGCCTGGAGGCGCCGCTGCCGCCGCTGAGCGGCAAGTCGTCGTTGTCGTCGCCGTCGCTGGCCTCGTTTCTGCCGCACTCGTTCCTGCGCCCGCGGGGCGACAGCAAGGCCGCCACCGGTGATCGCAAGGAAAACGAGGTGGACCCCATGGTGCCGTCCATGACCACCGGAGCCTCGCCGCCCGCGCCAGCGCCGCCCGCCTCCTCCGCGTCTCTCGTCGACATCACCGAGGAGGCGTGGCTGGCGTCGGCGGACGACGAGCGCCGCCGCAACTACGCGTACCTGAAGCGGACGCTCGCCGAGACGCGGCTGTTCCGGGCGGAGATGCGGCACTCGCCCGCGCACCAGGCGGCCGACGCGTACCCGCCGCTGGCGGTGCTCTACGGCAAGACGATCCCGACGGTGTGCGCGGCGGGCGTGGACGGCGTGGCCGGCATCGCGCGCTCCGACGCCTACGACGACCTCGCGTTCCGGTCGGGCGACGGCGTGGCGCTCGCGCGCGAGTCCATGCTGCCGCCGGGGTACGCGCTGGTGCGCGGCGGCCGGGTCAGCACGGAGAGGGGCCACATCACGCTGCTCAGCGACATGCCGGCGCTGGCGAGGGCGCTGAGGGCGCTGGCCAGGGGCAGGGGGAAGGGGATCGGCCTGGGTGGGGGTGCGTCGCGGCGGAAGCGGGAGGAGGAGTCGTCGGACTAAGGTCAAAGAGGTGGGCGACTTTGTTTTTGCGATTGAATACCCCGGAGTTGGAAGGCATTTTTTGAAATAAGTATAGATTCTTGATATGATGGATGCATGCTTGTGGAAATGACGTTGCGGAGGGAGGGTGGAAAGCGCTCGTCTAGTATAGATTCTCCGTGCGCAAGTTCGCACAACACTTGTAATTTACAAACACCATGAATATTTCACGACAGTTCGAACTTGAGCTTAAGCAGGAGTACAATTCGTACTAATAGGTGCAATGCAATGATGCTTGCGACGAACGTACGTTTTTTTTTCCCTCCACCAGCTCTCTCGTCAAGCCCGTCGTCGCCAAACATTAGGACGCAGCTCTTCTAGACGAAGATGAGAGCCCCCCTCCTCACAATCAATTCATTCGGCGGCTGCTCCCGCCGTCTACCAAGCATGGCTGCCAAGTCGACCGTGTCTTGAACCGGTTGCTAAGAGGGTTGCGCTGTCGTGTCTAGCGGCCTCTTGTCATCTTGCCACTCACTATTTCAAGTGGGCGTGGCGAAATGCACCATCAGACTCTGTTTATCATTAGAGGTTGAGGATTTGGTGCGCGTCCTGCATGTCTGACCGACTGCATTGCAGGCTACCATCCCTAAGCACCAGGCCGAAGGAGCAAGCTAGTCATGGGAAGAGTTGGGACGAGTGCATCACCAAATAAAAGCTGGTGGGCTCATTCATCGTGAGAAGGCTCTCTTCGCAGCGAAATACGGCGCCGCTCAACCCTGGATTACCATATCCAGGTGTCCTGGGACCGCTTCATCCAGCAGTATCGTGGAGAGCCCGCAAGGTTGTGACACGCCACACGGGCACCTTCCAGGCCACTGCGTGCAGTTGGGTCAAGGCATCAATTGCAGCGTTGACCTGGCCATGCATGCGCGGCAATATATGGTCGAGATCGTCGCGTCGTGCTTCGTCTTCCTCGCGTGGCACAAAGACAAGCTCCTGGAGGTTTGGCAGACATTGGCTGACAATGCGCAGCACGTCGATCGTCAGGCTCGCAGCCGCCGTGGAGCGGTACGCATCGCCGATCCAAAATAAGGCATCGCTGATGGCTATGCGGCGCACGGCGGCCAGCTCAGACGAGTCGCACAGAGCCATGCAGGTGCGAAACTGTGCGTGGGCGGCCATGCAGCCCTGTCGGGGGCCAAAGTAGAGCACATCGCGACTGGGATCAAAGTAAATGTGACCAGGTTGGCCGACAAAGCCGAAGCAGCGACGATAGCTCTTGATAGCCTCGGCACGGGACTCGGTACAGATGTTCAGGTTGGTGGGGTTCGGTATCGTTGTTGTGCAGCCTATGGCGGCGACGAGGCCGACAGACGAGTCGACCACCAGCTCGTCTGCGCCGCAGTGAACCGGCACAATGCGAGTGCCTGGGAGGCTGTGTTTCCAGATGCGAAGGCGCAATTCGGCGGGAAGTTTAGGGAAAAGCGACTGCGATTTGGAGATTGGTTAGCCTCCGCTCCGAGATCACATCGAAACACCATGCTGCTCCTCCTACAATGTGCGCAACTTGAAATATGGGTGTGGGACTTACAAAGGTCGCTGAGCAATCCGATTCCGCTGCGTCTATGGAATGCATGATTGCAGAAGATAGCCACGAAGTGACAGTGATTGAGAGAAGAAAAAGTTTGCTGAAGTCTGGCAGAAGATAAAGGGGGCTTTAAAAGAGGGAATCGTTGGTCCAGGCCGAGAGTCGAAAGTCGGGGTTCTCCGGGCTAAGGTAGACGAGGTACTGTAGGTGCCAGGGTGGTTGTTATAGGATTCGCGAATGGATGCCGTGCGGCGAGTGAGACGAACGGCTCCACGGGCCGGGCTTTCATACAGCAGACGGTAGAAAGTAGACGGCAGTCGGGATCCGTTTGAATGCGTCAAGCATGCACAGGTAGAGGCCCAAACTGCCTGGGCAGAGGGTCGAGGAGGGGGTGCGTTCCCAGCAGGAATAACCAATATGACGGGATCCAGGTCATAGAACTAGTTTGAGGTGGAGAGCCGTCGACGCCAGTCTGAGCTTCACCTTTGGATTCCGTGCCACGAGGTGGTGGTCTGGATTGGCTAAAATGACCCAGTGGTTAGTTGGGCTTGCCCTTGGCACGCACATGCTCATTAACAAACTTTAGGCACGGGTCTAGTACGGAGTTGCGTAGAGTTTTGAAGTCACCAGCTTGTTCTCGAATGCTGAAGAGAGGTCGCTGCGAATGAACAAGACAAGAGCCCAGCTTACTTACATGCGGGCTACTTTCCGACATGCATTAGTTAGCACGTCTGCAACAACTAGTTAGACAGGCAAGGGATGGGGCGGCAGGTGGTGAGGTCGTGGAGTGCATATCATGGGTCATCATCATCGTCCGGGGGTGGGCAAGGTGGCTATCGACACCGTTGCGGGATGGTCATATGTTCCGCGAGGGGTGGTGTGGGAACTGTGAAGTGATTGCGACAAGACTGCCAAAACGAAGCAAACCGTTGACCAGCCCGGCTGTGACGAATTGTGGCGAAGGTGACGAAAGCTAGATAGCAGGGACGTCTTTTTTTGTGACGAGTCTTTTTCTTCTCTCCTCGTGGACAAGAATACTGCGGGCGAGGATGTGAGGGCTACCGACCAGCCGGGGCGATGAAGTGAACGTGGAAAGACAGGCACGCTGAGACGGCAAGATTGAGAGGCGAGCTGCGAGGGAGAGCGAGCCGGGACCCGCGACTTGGTGTCTGGTGTGAGAGCGCTGGATCAAACTATCCCCGCCGCCACCTAGATTGTAAAAAGCCACCTGGTCGTCTCGCCCGTTATAATAATAATAACAAGCGCTTTCGTTTCACGCTGGCATCCGGCCGAGTGATGACATGCGCCGGCTGGATACGGGAGCCTCTGGTGGGCACACAGAGGCAAAGGCAAAGAGCGCCGCCTCGCTTGGTCATTAGTGTAGTGCATCCGAGCACCGCGAGCGAAGTGCGCAGGCCAAGCCCAGAGGCCCGCCGCCGCCCTGTGCTCTTATCAGAGTAGTCTGACACGAAAGAAACCAGGTTTATGAGCCGGTGCAAAGAACCGGAAAGCTCGCATTGATACATTGATAGGTGCGTCGCACAATCGTACCCGGATGCCATGTTCGACGCTTTCAGGCGCTTTCGACTCGTCCCATTAATAGAGCCTCTAGCCGCAGACCCTGCGACTCATTTTAGTGCAAAAGGCAGGCACGCGTCCATGCCGGATTTAGCCCCAACCTTGTGCCGTTCATTGCAACCACCTTCTCAGCAAGGTGTTGCATTCTCTCCATGTAGCGCGTGGGTAACTAGGAGGCTCAAAAGCTTGAACAGGCAGACTCGTGCATGTCCAGTCGTTGTAAACCAGGCGACGGAACGAGACGGAACGGCCAGTGGAGGCCCTTGTCATCCGCTGCTTGTCTTGGGTCTCGGGGCGGCCAAGCAGACTAGACCCCAAGGCGGAGGAGGGTCCGGTTCCCGGCGTCAAGGATGCGGTTCGGGTAGTTTGTATGGGGCAGTTCTGCTCAACGGGGGGCGGCGGTTTGCATATTCGTAATGAGGCCGACCCCTGCTCGGGCAAACAAGTCTTTCTTTTTTTTCCTCGGATTATACGGATGCAGAGCCCCTCTTCAACAAGTCGATGGGCATCTTGGATGCCGGTAGATGGTCGATGGGCTGCAGCAAACGCAGGTCCGCAGAGCCTGGCGGGAGGATGTGTGAGACACGGTAACGGCAGCTGTGGTTGATGTGATGGTGGGTATGGTTTCAGTGGGACAGAGGTATTATGAGATGGATGGATGATGGCTGGCTGGATGAATGGTCAAATGGTTTTGACTGTGTGCTGATGTTGAGGTTGCATCGTGGCGTTTGGAGGAAGTGGGTTGGTGGTGGTGACAAGAGGTGACAAGAGGTGACAAGAGGGAAGAGGACAAAGAGGTGCTCTCTGCATCCTGCAGCTTGTCATTGGGCTGTGGCCAGGGCAATCCAGTGCCCTGTAGGTAGTGGGCGGGGTGCCTGTAGATACAGCGGACCTCCAGGCTTACACGGGTAGTATTGACTTGCTCGGAGCCGCTATAGCCACTGTACATCATTGCATAGGTAGCCATGCATGTACGTCGTAATATATTTGTAATTTCATTTTAATTACATGATAACTAGAGATCTCACCCCATTGTTACGTGATTTTCTCCGAGTTATTCTTCGCCCGCCATGACAAGACTCTTTCTTCCTCCGTCCTGACAGCCTGCCCCCCCTTCCCTGCCCTGCCGAGCAGTCAATCAAGGTGAGCTCATTTACACCTGCAGCATGCATTGCAGAAAAGCCCCTTTGCTGATAATCCTCACAAAATTATTAGCTCTTTTTGGAAGGAGAAAAGCCGGGGTGCATCAATCAACAGACAGCCCTCCTGAGGTGGCTGCATTGGGCCATTCCTCCGCGGTGGTGGGCTCGACTGGCCTGATGTTGTTGGGAGATGGGCATCATATTGCCGCTTTGCCTACATTTACTGGGGGCCGTTGCAAAACTTCCTCATGTCAGTCGCTCGATTAGGAAATTTCTCATGTCAAGATGTCTCACTCTCTGGAACGCGGGCTGGACCTGCTAGAAGCCATGGCGGCGTTGTTGGTCTCGACTCTCGAGGAACTAGAAAGCGTTGCTTTTTGCGTGTCAGGACGTTCGACTCCAGAACCCACTCCTCTCCTTCGCAACAAGCACGATGCTCTGCACTCTGTCTCGGGCCTCGCGCCTCGTCGGCCAGCCTGCCGTGTCTCGCTCAGCTGCTCCCAGACTCGAAGAACGCCACCGAAGCAATCGCCAAGCTTTCGATTCCCACTCGAAGAGACGGCTCAATCTCCACCGCAAACTTTGGGTTGTGGTTCAAGGGCAGATCCTCAAGGGTCCCGTTCCTCGCGGCCTCATCGTACACGTCTCGCGGGGTCACGCCAAACTTCCAGTACACGTACGGGATCGGCTTCTCGCCAGGTGGGCTTGCCAGCAGGGCAAAGTCATCAGCGGTGATGTCGCGTTCCATCTCCACGACCTTTCCCGGGCCGTCCTCGTCATCCTTGTAAAATCCCTGCAGAGCGCTGACGAACCTGGCCGTGGCCGCCGCGTCGTTGTCGATGGGCGGGCAGTGGGCAGAAGTGGTGATGCGCGGCGCCTTGGGCGAGCCTGCGGCCTGGCACTCAGCCTGAATGATGCGGTGGACTGTCTCGACCGCAGTGTCCTGCACGGCTTGGTCCAGCGAGCGAACGTCAATCGTAAAATCGGCAAAGTCGGGAATGATGCTGGCGTCTGTCCCGGCGTGCAAGTAACCGCAGGTGACGACGCACGGCGCCGCAGACCCGACCTCTGCCGTGACGTCCGTCTGCAGGCGCGACACGATGCGGCTTGCTATCAAGATGGGGTCGATGCCCAGCTGCGGGGACGACGAGTGCGTTCCCCTGCCGTGCACGCGGACGGCCAGGGAGTCGAGGATGCCCTGCACGCGACCCGGCCGAGCCCCCACGGTTCCGGCCCTCTTCGGTAGCGCGTGCTGGGCGAGCGCCACGTCCGGCATCGGAATCTTGTCGAACAGGCCGTCGTCGACCATGGCCCGCGCGCCGAGCAGCCGCTCCTCGTTGGGCTGGAAGACGCACACCAGCGTGCCGGACCAGGCGTCGCGCACCCGCCGCAGCAGGTCCGCGGCGCCCAGGAGGCAGGCCATGTGCAGGTCGTGTCCGCAGCCGTGCATGACCGGCTTGGTCGTGCCGTCGGCGTCGACCTGCGCTGCGGTGCTGGCGTACGGGAGGCCGGTGTCCTCAGCGAGCGGGATGGCGTCCAGCTCGGCGCGCAGCAGCACCGTCGCGCCGGGACCGTTGCGGAGGACGCCGACGACCCCGTGGCCGCCCACGTTTCGCTGCACCTGGTGCCCGAGGGACTCGAGGTGGCGGGCGGCGGCGGCGGCGGTGCGCGATTCCTGGCAAGGGAGCTCAGGGTGCTGATGCAGGTCTTTGTACATCAAGGTATATTCGTCCAGTGAGGGGAAGGAATCCAGGAAGATGGATCGCCACTTGTCCATGGAGGGGGGACTGGAGTGTGCGTCTGGCAGAGGTATCTTGAGGTGCAGATCCTCAATAATGGTTAGCAGTATACAAGTATATCTGACTAAACAATACAGTCAACTAGATGAAAATGATTCGACAAATCGTTAGGCCAGAGTGCAGAGCTATGTACTGATGTCCGCTGCTGGCACAAACCAGGACGGATAAGGCTCGGACTCCCCTCTCCATGCATGAGGTCTGCAGCAACCACTCCGCCACAGACTCATATCTACTCCTCCCATATAAGTCGCCACAAGGAATGATGGTCATAAAACATCCACCTATGTGGAATCTTTCCCTACAGCTTATCTGTCGCCGCGGCGCGATTCCCGTCTTCCGTGGCAGTACCGGCGCGTCTCCCGTGGTGTACTCATCGGACCGGTCAGGGCGGCCCCGCCGGCATCTCCAATCCGATCGGCAAGGGTAGTCGCTCTATAATTATATTCATAACTTTACATTCACCGACACTCTTTTCGCGGCATCGGTAGCAGGAGGCGCGGGCCAAGTTTCCCATGGTAAAATACATTTCGTAAATGCCCTACCCTAGACTCGGGCAAGATTCAATGCTGAAGAGAATGAACAGCAATATAAGAATACTAGGATCCTCGACACAACAAGCCGAATCTCCACCTCGCACTCAAGAGAACACAACACCCTAACTAGTGCCCCCTTCCAACTCCATCGTCGACGGGCACCGCCCTAACAAACGGCCATCGCAACGGGTGGTCGATCAACCCAGACCTTTCGGGCACCACCAGCGGCTGCCGATTCATCTCCCCGAACGCGATCGGCGCGACCACTAGCCCCTCGCCCACCCTCTTCCCGAATATGTTGACGATGCCCTTGAGCAGGCCCCCGGCGGTGTCTATAAGGCTGTTCGCGATGCCGCCCCCACCGGAGCCCTTCTTGTCCCCCTCGCCCTTGTCGTCCTTGGATGGCTTCGCGGTCGGCGTGGGCGTGGGCGTGGGCGTGGAGGCGGTGCTGTTGCCCTTTGGGGTCGGCGTCGCCGTCGCGGTGCTGTTCTTCGGGGCGGGGTCCGTGTCGGACTTGTCGCCGCCGCTGCGGGTGAAAAGATCCAGGAATCGTGGGCCGTTTCGCTGTAGCCGGCGGTCGACCGAGGAGGGAGCGGTGGGATGGGCGAGGGCGGTGGCGGCGAGGAGGGTGATGGTGGCGATGGACAACTTCATCTTGACCGGCAAGAACTGAATCGTAAAATAGCAAGGAAGGAATAAAGGTTGGTTGTATATATATATATCGCGACGAAGAGAAAGTGTACAAGTAGGTTCGTTTTGCTTGGTTTGGGTAAGAAGGACAAGGGAAGCTGCCGGGTCTCTCCCTACTTATAATCGAGCCATGGGGTGGGTGGTCAAGTCGCGATACAAGTGACCCTCAGAGGTGCAGCTATACAACAGTGACGACATTATCGTATGGCGAAGAACCTCATTTTATTTGAATAGATATCAGCAGGGACACACGTGTCACATCGCCGGACAGGGGTCGGCGCGCGCCTCCTCAAACCAACTATAACTTATTCAAGCCAGTGTAAGTCGTTGACAATAGACAATGCGGTAATGACCAAGTGTGAGCGGAATGAAACGAGCGGCTCAAAGTACCAGCTGTGGCCCTTGAGATGATTAAAACCGTTACAGCCATGGACAACACAAATTCGCAGCACAAAGCGCCGATGTAGGCCCCTTTCCCTTCAGTCGAGATACACTGGCGCCTGCAAGACACGAGATGTACATAGTTGGCGATGCATATCAGTATACCATTACGGACAAAAAAAAAGACGGACCGTCATTTGCGATAAGTGGAGGTATTCGGACAAGGGCGGTATTGAAAGTAAAAGATGGTGTTCAGACAATGATATCATTCATGGTAGGGCGTAGGGAACACATTGGCACTGTGCTACAACGGTGATACATGCAAGTTTCGGCTGATGGGTACGGCTAGAGGAAACCGCCTTAAGTATTCATTGACTGAATAACAAAAACCACAAGGGGTAGCCGACACGGTGCTTTATACACGGACCTCCCAGTGCCACGGTCGCTCCCACAGAGAAAGGCCTAGGGTGCGACTCCATCTCCTGGCTTTCGACCGGGTCTCTGCGTCGCCAAACATGTCCCTTTGCGTTTCATACACGGACAAGATAATCAACTTGATTCTATACAACTGTAGCATAATCATTGCTCTGAAAAGAGATGTGACGTAAACTCCGGATGGTCATGTCTGTCGTGGTCCCATGCGCACCAAGTCGATATACCCGCGACAGTGTACCTAAACAACTAGCCTAAACAAAAATAACACCTTGTGGTCGCAATGGGCGCAGCTGGTGAGGAGCTTGGCTGTCGTCGCAGGTCTTTGTCGCTTCTTGTTTTCAACAGCGCATCCATGGAGTCGAAACACTTCTCACGTCTGACAACCAGAACAGCTTTGGTGTCGGCCGGCGTATCTTGAAATCGTACAAAGCAAACCATCATTCTGTGCATGCTGTATGTACTTCGATTGGTCGCTATCACGCCATGTACGTATACGCGTTCCCTTCACGCTCTATGTAGTCCTTTTCAATCAGACTGCAACTCCGTTAGCTTCCTCTTCGGTGCCGCGGATTAACAGACAAGAGTCCTTACCTTTCAATCTCCTTCTTGATGGAAGCCGGCTCCACGCTACCTCTCTTCTTAGTCAGGTTGATCACCTCGGCCACCAGCTCAGCGTGACCCATCGTCTTGCGGCTCTTCATGATCCTCACAATCGCCGCCTGCGTCTCGAATCGTCGATCCTGCGCGATGCGCTCGTTTGTCGCCTTGTTCTCCTCCTTGGTCTCTCTGAGCTGGATCTGGTTGATCTTGACCCGGTACTTGGGGTCCGAAAACGCCGCGTTGAATGTAAACGTGTCCGTCTTCTTGACGTCCCGGCCCTTGGGGTGCTTGGCAAGAACGCGCGTCTTGCCGCACGCCAGCGACTGCAGCGTGCGCTCGAGGTCGCCGCCCGTCAGCCCCGTGCCCGTCGACAGCTGCTCGTACGAGAGGGGCCCGTTGACGCCGTTGAACATGAGCAGTACGACGGCCTGGAACGCAGACACCAAGAGCTCCTTGGAGCCTTTGGGGAAGATGGCCTTGACCGAGCAGTGGGCCAGGGAGTGCTTCCACGTCAACACGCGTCCAGTATGCTTGCCCTTGTAGTGCTTGTCGAACCGCTCAATCTCGGTGGCGACATTGTCAGGCAGGTTCAGCCGCACGTCGGGATACGTCGGCCAGGCAGCTGCTGATAAGACCATGACGTGCAGATCCACGGATGGCTTGCTCTCGGACAAGCTTTGCCGGTGCTGCTTGTACCCCTCCAGTTCTTCCTTGGCGAGCTCCTGGTCCTTGAACATCTGCTCCAGGTTATGGGTGAAATTTGAACCACATTCCCCGCGAAGTTTCGTCAGCATGCTGCGTTCGGCATCCTGGCTGGCGCTGCGTCCCATGAGCAATCTTCTCGCCAGGTCCTTTTTGTAAAACGCCTCGAAGGCGTCTTTCCCTTCAATGAAGCGGAACAATTCGAGCGAGTTGTCCAGCTGCCTATCAAGCTCGGCATCTTCGTCGGCCGTGCTCGCCTGACCTGCTCTCTCTGCAGCAGCTCGGTCTTGGATATCGGACTGTAGGGATGCAGGCAGGGTCTTGATGCCACCGCGCAGAAGCATGTCGATGTGCTTTGCCGTCATCTCGCCAATCTTGGACGTGCCGGTATCCCAACAAGCAGAGACAGTGCGATCATTCATGAAGCCTCCAAATGCCTCACGCATTCCCCATAAGAAATCCTCGTCTTTGCCAAAGGCGTCGCGAATCATCAGATCGAGAGATCGGCGCAGCTCCAGAAGTCGAATGACCATGTCGTCGCCGCGTTCCTTGTCCGAGATGATGCCCGCACCGGTCTTTCGGACATGGTCGGACCAGGGACTCTTCAGCTTCTTTTGTAGACCAGAGAGCTTGAGCAGATCGTAGAGGCCCTTCATAGACTTCATATCCTTGTCGCCCATGAGATTCGCCAAGCTTCCCTCGTTGAGCAGCTTTTCCGAGTAGTCGTGGATCAGTATTCGGTGTGCCAGTTCCATCAAAAGCCGTTCCGTAGTGCTGTCCAGATTATACGCCATGCAGCGATCGGCTTCCCTCGTTAGCAGCTTTTCGCAGGCGGCAATGTACTCCTTCAGGCCGCCGGCGCTCCACGAGCTTCCAAACTCTGCAAAGTATTCCTTCGAAGTCTTGATCATGACCGGCTCGAAATATTTCGTATAAACACCTTGGACGTAGAGCATCATGATGGAATCTCTGAGAAGTTCCGAGTCCATCGCGGCATCGCCACGTCTATCGTAGTCGACCAAGCGGCATATTCCGCCAATGACATCGCTTTCCATTTTGTGGTTTCCATATCGTGCAGAAAAAAGCATTTTTCGGAATTGTGAGATGGCCATGTCGTTGATTGAAGGAAGGTGTTCGCGCAGTAGATATGTCCTGTCGAGATAGCTGAAAGTGGATCGAGTAAGAGTCTATTGTTGCGTCAGTAACTGGCAGTGCTGTTACATCTGGGCTTGGTAATGGTAATTACGGTTTGGCTGTTCCATCTCTTCCACTCGACCTGGATGCTCCTTAGTATGTCAACGTCTGACGCACCGGCGCCCTCTGCTATCCGAGGCAGGACCACCGACTGCAGGTGCTTCTCGACGCGTCTCATCAGCAAACGGTAGACACTCTCCGCGTTGCCCCGGCGGCAAACGTCCTCAACGCCGCGGTACAGCCTCTCCAGCGGCTGGGAAGGCCTGCGTCCCGCAAAGATGGCCTCCAAGCCCTTGTCGAGGTCCTCCTCCATATGTTGATAGTAGGTCTCGGTTCTGTTGTCGCGCACGCGCTGGGGTATCATGTTCTTGATGACGAGCTTCTTGGCGCCGGCGTGCGGCTGGAAGGCCGACGGCGGCTTGGTGAGGTCGACCACGTCGGGCATCTTGCCCCGCGACTTGGCGCTCGCCATGCCGGCGGTGTGGTTGTGGTGGTCGGCGGCGGCGGCGGCGGTGGTGGTGGCGGGGACGAGTTTGGCGCGCTTCGGCGGGGACGAGGACGATGACGAGACCGGGCGCTGACGGCGGCGAGACGGCGAGCTTCGCTGGTCCGCGGCGGATTGCATTTGGGTTTGGCCGTAGCTGGGCGGGACGCGGACCAAACGCGACGGCGCGGCGGTTGTCGAGGAATCTGCAGGAGCACGCACAGAGGGGACGGGTCGGCGGCGATTGGGGATTTAGAAAAGCAGGGAAGCTGGATGGAGGGTGTTGCTTTGATTCGCGACTCCAAATGTCCCCCGTCCCGTCCGATGGTGATGGTGTGGAAAGGTGAAGTCGGTTCGTCTGGTTGTATTCGTTCGATCATGTCATTGGTGCGAGAGCAGCGGCCACCGGCGATAAGGAAGCTGGTACTGTAAATCCGCCACACTACAGGCGCTGGCGCCACACTTGGCGCCTCACAATAATTCTCAGGGAAAGAAGCGGCGACTGAGTAGCAGTTAAGAAGAGAGATGCGTACTCAATTCTCTTAAATAAAATTTGATAATGATCGAGGGATTTGAACGAAGGAAGAGAAGCAATTCAAGTATATAGGAAGGAATCACGACCAAAATTAAGCTACTGTATTTGAGTAACTGATGATTGCATAGGCTCGCCTTTCACCAAGAGAAGCTAGTAAAACATGTATAAAGGAATCACGGCCAAAATTTGGTTGCTGTATTTGACTAACTAATGATTGCATTGGCTGCCTTACCGCCTGGTACCTATGTTCAACTGCCCTAGCATGATCAAAACACAGGGCACACCTCATATACTACCTACGATGCTTTCGCTAGCACCATGCGGCTGACAATGTATGCTGGTATATCCCACGTCTGCCAGAATATTCTACCCGAACCCAAACTCCGATGCCATATGGATAAACGACAAAAAAGACAAATGCAGTCTCGTAGCTCATGAGAAGAGGCCCGACGGCCCGAGACGCCCAGCGTGCTCAGCGCATGACCGGCGGCCTCGACTCCTTGTTCCACTGCACGCGCGTGCGCAGCCAGTCGACCGCCTCGCGAACCCCGTCGCCCGTCAGCGCGCTCATGGCCAGGACGCGGGTGTCGCGGATGCTGTCCGCCTTGTCGCCCTCCATGACCTTTTGGACGAGCCCTTCCTTGATGCGGATGGTCTCGACGCAGTCCTCGCGGTCCTGCTTGTTGGCGAGGACGAGGAGCGGGACGCCCTCGGCGTCGGAGTGCTGCAGGACGTCCTCGAGGACGCGGCGGCACTCGTCGAGGCGGCCGGTGGCGTCGTGCTCGAGCGTGCCGTCGCCGACGTCGGACGAGTCGACGATGAAGACGATGGCGTGGCAGCTGGTGTAGTAGCTCTCCCACAGGCGGCGCAGCGAGTGCTGGCCGCCGACGTCCCACACCTTGAGGTACATGTCGGGCAGCGCCAGCGTGGACACGTTCTGGCCGACGGTCGGGACGGTCTTGAGCTTGGGGGCGGGCGCGTCGGGGTGGTACATGGCCTTGACCTGCTCGTGGAAGGTGGTCTTGCCGGCGTTGTCGAGACCGAGGAGGATGACGGAGTATTCTGCGCGGGGAAGGGGAGCGGTTAGGAAGGTGTTGGTTGGAGGGAGGACGCTGGGGCGGAAGAGGTTGGCTGGATCAAGGTACCTTCTTTGCTGGTCGCGTAGAGATAGAGACCCTTGGCGAGGTGATACATGGCTGCTAGAGGGTAGCGCCCACAGCGCCGGGGTGCTGAGCTTGCGTTGGCCCGGGTATCGCACAGTCGATGTCGGTGTTTGCGGGAATGCAGGAAGCTTGCGTCGAGGTGCGTTGGTTGGTGAGGTTGAGCTGTCGCCTGTCAGAACCGGGCTGTTAGGAACGGGTGGGGCTGTCCAGTAAGTCGGCCGGTAGGAGCTGGAGCTGGGCAGCGCGGCAGAAGAGAAAAACTTTGCATGAGCAAATCAAGCGAATCGAAGGCGATAGATAAAGGTTTGAGCTGATTTTAGATATAATTCAAGTGTTTGTTGTATTGAATGACATCTGTATCCCCTTGCTGGTCTGAATGTAGCGCACTATAACGATAGCGGGCTACAGCGGCGTTGTGCATGACTTGGCGCATGGCTAGCGCCGTTTAGCGCTGTAGGGGCCTGTAATTGAGGAACTAAGCGGCTTGTGTTTGACACTGATGGCCAGGGCGAGGCGTTTACATACAATACGGAATTGTATAAAACGCGGGAAGGTAGAATGGATGGCAAGACTGATGACAAAAGTACTCCAAGAATTTGTTGTTGAGCAGAGCACATTACTGTGAGCAGCGACTATGTATGTACATAGGTACATTGTACATACAGACATACTACATACATACATACATACAGTACCTACCTACATAGGCACCTATGTAACACCTTACAGGTACAGAGGTATCGATGCTGTCTGCCCACCTGGCTGAAGCCGCGCGTAATCAATCAGGTACCAGTCGGCAAGGTACTTTTGGTTCCTCGGTCAGGCAAACCGCAAACCTTGTCCCGGCCACTCACAACCAGCCTTGCGCCAACCGCTCAACGGCCAGCTTGGCTTCTTTTCCTTCCCACATGATTGAATTGACGCCCACCACAACGTTTCCTTCTCTTCCACGCATAGCTTCTTCGTCGCTCTCTACCTGATCGGCTTTGTCTTTTCCGCACGCTGCGCCTTTTACCATTGAAAGCGAGCCCCTCGAACCCTGAACCCAGTCCCCGCCCATGGTCGACCTGAATCCCCGGTGACGCTCCCGCGCGAGCCCCCCTCCTCTTCCCACGATAGCCTACGATAAACCATCCAGAGCCGTGCGGCGGTGATATTTTGACCCATGAGTGTTGCCGAGCTGGCCAGTATTGGCCTGAGCTTGCTACGTATGTCCGCCCATGTCCGCCTACCTCTTGCTTCGCTGCCCGGCGCAAGGCCTCCCTCCACCTCCCAATTGCTGACTTTTCTCCCTTCAGGCCGAGCCGACGAAGATGGCGACACCGGAGGTACGAACAATCCCAAAGCGATCAGCGCATGCGCAAATAATGCATTACTTGCACATGTAAAACTCTCGGAGAAACCTGTGCTGACCTCTCTCAGACGAAGACTCTGCGCAAAAGGAATTCTTTGCAGCATGGGCCATCTTCATTTGCATTTTGCTGCTCATCATCACCTTCTTCGTCAGCTACATACTCCAGATGAAAAAGGTCACGGCCATTCACGAGACAGTTATATCAATCTTTGCTGGTACACACCCCGTCATGTCCTCGTCGCCCCTCAATCCAATGCTAACGCCCGCCCAGGCATGGTTGTCGGTCTCGTCCTCCTCATCACTTCCGGCGACTCGATCCGATCGCCCCTCAACTTCGACTACCAAATCTTCTTCAACCTTCTCTTGCCCCCCATCATCCTCTCCTCCGGCTACGAGCTGCATCAGGCCAACTTCTTCCGAAACATTGGCACCATCCTGACCTTTGCCTTTGCCGGCACCTTCCTGTCCGCCGTCGTCATCGGCCTCATTCTCTGGCTCTACTCGCTCATCCCCGGTTCCATCAACATGACCTTTGTCGACGCCATTTCCGTCGGAGCGACTCTATCCGCCACTGACCCCGTCACCATCCTTGCCATCTTCAATGCCTACAAGGTCGACCCCAAGCTCTACACCATCATCTTTGGCGAGTCCATCCTCAACGACGCCATCGCCATTGTCATCTTCGAGACGGCCCAGCGATACAAGAAAGGCGAGGCTACCAGCCACGGAATACTCAGCTTCTTTGAAGGTACTGGCATCTTCTTGCTGGTTTTCTTTGGCTCTTTGATGATTGGCGTCATTGCTGGTGTCGGCACCGCCTTGCTCCTCAAGTTTACCTACGTCCGCCGCTTCCCCAAGACGGAGAGCTGCGTCATTATCCTGATCGCTTACGGCACATACTTCTTCTCCCATGGCGTTCATCTCTCTGGTCAGTAATCTGACCTGTTCTGTGCGCCCCGCTCTTGCTAACCTGCACCAGGTATCGTGTCGCTTCTGTTCTGCGGCATTACGCTCAAGCACTACGCCTACTTCAACATGTCGCGACGGACCCAGCTCACCACCAAGTACATCTTCCAGGTCATGTCGCAGCTTGTCGAAAACTTCATCTTCATCTATCTCGGCCTCGCGCTCTTCACCGAGAGCGCCCTGCAGTTCCAACCGCCCCTCATCATCGTCACCGTCTGCGCCGTTTGCGCTGCCCGCTGGGTCGCCGTCTTCCCGCTGTCGCGCCTCATCAACGCCGTCATCCGGTATCGCGCGCGTCGCCGGGGGCTCGAGGTCCGCGACGAGCTGCCGTATAACTATCAGGCCATGCTCTTCTGGGCCGGCCTGCGTGGCGCCGTCGGCGTCGCCCTCGCGGCGCTTCTCACCGGCGAGAACGCCCTCGCGCTGCGCGCCACCGTGCTCGTCGTCGTCGTTCTCACCGTCATCATCTTTGGCGGCACCACCGCCCGCATGCTCGAGATCCTCGGCATTCGCACCGGAGTCGTCGAGGAGATTGACAGCGATGACGAGTTTGACATTGAGACGTCCTTTGGCGCCGGCCTCCACAGCAAGCGCTCCGGCTTCGGTAACGGCCGCCGCAACGGGAACGTCGCCCTCTCCAACCTCGAGCGCGAAGGCCGCGGCGGTGGTACGGCTTTTGTATCGGGCCACTCATCACCACACGTGGATGGCGCCGGCGGCCGCACGCGCAGCATCAGTCGCAAAAACTCGAACCGCGGCATGCCCAACCCCGATGACTTTGAGCGCGCCGACCTCCTCGGCCGCGGCGACGAGTCCGACTTTGGCAGCGACATTGACACGTCGGACCTGCCGCCGCCCGCCCGCCGCTCACCCCGCGGCGGCAACATCGGCGGCGGCTCCTCCTCCTCGCTGACGCCGCCCACACCGTCCAGCGCCTTCATGAGCCCCGCGGAACCCGCCGAGCCCCTGACCGCCAGGGGAGCCATCAGGCAGCTGCTGACCACCGAGGACCCGGCCAGCCTCTTCCGCCAGCTCGACGAGGACTTCATCAAGCCGCACCTGCTGCTGCACGACGATGGGGGCAGGCCCCGCCCCGGGCACGGCGGCGCGGGCGCCAACGGTGGGAGCGCAGTGTAACGAATGTATCGTGTTTTTCCTTTGCCCTTTTTTTTTCTTTCTGTTTTTTCTTTCTGTTTTGGGAGCTTGATGTGACGAATACTGGGGACGCAAACGCAACAACCCCGCGAGGTTTTAAAAAGCAACTACCCAGCGGGCTTTGATGGCTGATTGGGGGAGAGAGAGGATGGGGACATGGTATATATGACCTAATCAGACGAATCGCGAAGCTTTTACTTTATATTCTAGCTATGGTTGCTGAATAGGTTTCCTGGTTTATCATCTTGATATAGCAGGCAGTTCTTTCCTTCATTGTTCGCAGCGTTGACAGAATCGATCCCCACATGTTGATTACTGCAATCACAAGCAACAATGAATGGGTCCAAGGTTTGGTTTGGGTATTATTATATTTTTATTGTCGGGTTTCTTCGCTTGTACTTCATCCTAGCCAGTGTCCATCATGCCACGTGAAGTTCTTCTTTTGTCATCTTCCAAAGGGAGGTGAAGGGGGGGGGGACGGTATTTTGCTATGTACAAGAAGCGTCGTGAGAAGAACAAAAACTTAGGGTTACCAACCGCTGCCCTCTCTGTGTCATTGTTGGTGTTGTGTGTCCCCAGAAAGATTAAAAAAAAAAGTCAACCGAGACGCCAAGAACAAGGAAACAAGCCTCTGCTTGTTCCATCCCGCTGCCCTGTATGTGTGTGTGTGTCCGCCGTCGTCCGCCGTCTCAAAAGGACAGCTGCCAGTAAACAGAAAACTAAAAAGTCTAGCCTGCCTTGCCATCCCGATAATAAATGCACTGGAAGCTGAAAAAGAAAACAAACAACACCCCGAAAAAAAGCAACAGTGACGAGAGCCATCCTTAGTCCTACTCTAGACACGAATCCCTCCTCGCGCCAAAGTCGAATCTTGGGCAAGCAAGTCTAGACCGAACAAAGCCGACGCAACAGGGTACTGAAAACGAAGTAGAGTCCGGAACCTTAACTTATCACGCCTGAGAAGTTGGCCCGCCAGTAATAAAAAGTCGTAGCTAAGAGGCACACAAAAACCCTGCAACCGCTGCAAGCTCAGTTGTTGCCCGTCGAAGATGGTGTCGCACTACCACTGGGCTGGCGTTGGTGAACAGCCTGCGGGATAGGGCTTCCGGCCGCGTTGCTTCCAGAGAGCTGTGCTCCCTGAGCATGCGGCGGCTGCTGCTGCTGCTGCTGCTGTTGCTGCTGCTGCTGCACTTGACCCTGCTGACCCTGTTGCCCATTTGGTTGTTGTTGTTGCTGCCTTTGTGCCGCCGCGGCCGCTGCTGCGGCTTGCTGCTGCTGTTGTTGTCTAAGCAAGGCAGCGTACTGGTGAGGGCTCGTGGTCGCGGCAATGCTATTGGCAAGGCCAGGCTGGACCGACACGCCTGCAGCGGCGTTCAGGGCTGACTGCCGCTGCGCCATCATGGCCCTAGTCAGATGTTCCGTGGCAAGCTGTCGCGACTGTTCAGGCGTCAAGCTCGGATTCTTTGCCCGAAATTGGGCTTCCAGCTGACTGAGCTGTAGGGCAATGTTTGGTGGCAGCGCTGGGATCCGAGACATGGTGTTGGCGTGGGCAACGCCGTTCGGCATGTGCATGGTACCGGTACCACCGCCGTTTCTGTTGGCATTGTTGGCATTATAGGCGGCCATCATAGCCTGAGCATTCATGTGCATGCCGTTAGCACCGTTGGTCATTGGCGGAGAAGCCTGTCCGTTCTGCTGGACCGCTGAATTGGGCCTTGGTTGCTGGTGATGAACCTGTTGCTGTTGTTGAATTTGCACGGCGGCCCGCTGCTGATTGGATATTTGCTGCGCCCTCAACATGAGATTCGCATCCGCTTGCTGGTTAGGCATGGGCATCCTCTGTTGCTGGGCTTGAGCCTGGGCTTGAATGTGAGCCTGGGCCTGGGCCTGGGCCTGAGCTTGCAGAGCCGCCTGCAGTTGTGCGCCGGTGATACCCTTCAGCTGAGCAGCCGCAGCCACCATCGCGGGCGACGGCATGCCAGGGGTCACTTGAGACGCGCCGTTGACACCAGCTTGCGTCTGCATTCTTGGACGTTGGCCTGCGGCAGCCGCAGCAGCCGCAGCCGCAACGTGGGGAGGAACTTCCGCGCGTTGCCCACCAACTTGAGTTGCAGCCGCCGCCGCAGCCTGGGCGGCGCCTTGGTTCGGCTGGGTGCCTTGAGCGGCCCCGGCCATTTGCTGGGCTACTTGGGATTGAGCCCGAGCCGCCATCTGCGCCCTGCGAGTGGCCTCTTGGCGAACCGCGAACTGTGCCATCTTGTCTGCAAGAGCTTGGTCATGCTCAAATCGCAACAAACTGTAGTCCCTCGGTGTTTTTAATTGCCGTTGTGGAGGCATGTCGCTAGACTTCTTGACTGGAATCTGCGAAGCCGTTTGCTGTTGCTTCTGTTGCGCAGTCTCTCTCTTCTTGGCGAGTTTCCTCATGCAGTCGATAAGGGTGAGATGCTTCTGGTTCCGTCGTCGCTCGACTCTGACGGGGACTGACGGTCTTCTGCGAAGAGGGGGAGCGTTATTACCGGCGGCACTAGCTTGCTGTGCTGCAATCTGATTCTGCTGAGCAATGACTCGTTGGGCGGCATCGATCCTCGAGTTGTACGCCTTAAAGTACTGTGTCTTTTGCATATCAGATGGCAGACCCTCCAGATTGATCCATCGCTCGAAACATTCCCAGGGAGTGCGTCGCTCTGGCCCCGACACAAAGGCGGACCTGGTAGTAAGCATGCTTGATATTAATGACCAGTTGTAAGAGTATTCGCGCACGAGGCCCTTGAGCTCATCGTCCTCGGCAAGTGTCCATTGAGAAGCACTGCGGCACTCGTAAAATGACTGCATGGGCATGGGATGCTCTGAGGGGGGTCGGAATTGGTGGCCAGCGTGCAATCTATCTCGAATAGGCTTCGATTCGGGGTTAAACAAGGCAACATCGCTCGTCGTGGTCTGATTTCTGTCGACGTTGACTGCTTGCTGGGTAACAAAGGCAGCGTCATCCTCGTTATCCGAGTCTTCATTGTGGTAGTCGAACCGGCTGCGTTTGCGTGGTGGGCCTCGGTTTGTAACCTGCATCTCCCCTTCGACGTACTTACTTAAAGGCAGAGCAGGGCGTCGCCAGTGTGCATCAGGGTCGATTTCGGCGGTTCCGGTGTCGGCACGTGGGACCTTGAGAGGAGCGCCATACATGGGCAGTTCGTCCAACAGCAGGTCGGCAGCTGGGGTGCGTCGAAGACCAAAAACGACGTCGTCCTCCTGAAGTGAAAAGATGGCCGACGGCGCAACAGTTTCCACAAAAACTTCTGATATATCATCGTGTAAAGGTGTGTCGGCGTCACCCGAAGGCTCGAGATCAGGCGTAGGGTGGTTATCTGCCCTGGTCATGCCTTCCCCGACACTCTGAGTATCTTGTGGCGCGGCTTCAGCCACCCTGGGAGGAATGCGCGCGACAACCTGGAGTGCAAGTCGCTCTTCCGCACTGGATTCTATCCATTCGAGACAGGCGTATGCTAGATTGCGAGCGACTGTCATCTTCCACTTGCGCTCCTCTCTGAAATCTGTTCTCATCCATTTCATCTCTTGAAGCATCACATCCCATTGCGAACTAGGTCGCGTCGGCTCCGGGCAACGCTTGGGCTGTCGCAAAGACCACTTGTCATGCTGCTGCAGATGATACACCCTACGTAGCACCTTGCAGGCCTGATTATCCAGGATTGCGATGTTGGCATCGGAAGTACCGATCGTCTTGTTGGCGTGGAACAAGATTTTTTCGATGGGTTGCATCCAGTTGGTTGCGCCGGTAAAGTTTTGGATGAAGAGCGGAGTATAATAGTCGTCGAAGGGGTGAAGCTGATCCTTTTGACCTGCGCCGACAGCCTTTTCCTCGACGCGCTTGGGCTGCTTGCCAAATAAAACGGTAGACATTTGTCCCTTGTGGCCCTTGCGCGGTTTTGATTTTGCTGCTGGCGACTCTGGAACGGAAGCGGATGGGGTAAGCTGGTCGTCCATGTCTTTCGGTGTGCCGCGGTCGATGGCTGAACGAGGGGTAGCGCCGACGATTTCGTTTACAGACTTGAGTCTCATAGCGCCCGATGACACTCTCGTGACGGCGCGCTCGACTGGTACACTCTCGCTGGTCGGCTGAGGTGTAAGCAGGGGTGGCGCTGGCCTAACGATGATTGAATCCTTTGCCGTCTCGGGGACGTCGATATCCATCTTGTCCGCTTCATCTTGGCTGTCAGGAACCTCGGTGGCAGGAGGTTCGGAGGTACTAGTCTGCGGCTTCGAGGCGGGTGAGGTTGCTGAGGGCGCTTCATCTTCTGAGCCAGAGGCGGCAGCAGATCGAATAGACTCTTGTAGCAACTGGTCTTCGTCGGACGTTTGCGGTTTTTGAACAGCGACGTTTGGTTTCGTCTCCAGTTTGGGCGCGACTTGCACGGGTTGTTGTACGGCTTCGGGCGACCGAGGACCTTCGTGATCAGGGCTGGTGTTGGCGGAAATGTCATGAGCCGCAGTCGTTGTCGCGCTGGCTGCTGTCGATCCGGGTGAGGACATGGCATCAGCAACCTTTGCCGCATCATGGGGCAGCTTGATGCTCAACGAACCATCAGTCGTCGGAGTAACCGCAGTGACGCCATTCGGAACGGGTATTGGTGTTGAAGACGGCGATCCTTTGGTGCCTGGGGGGAACGAAACCTGGCCTGGCCGTCTCGAAGCATCATTGGGATGATGCGTCGGGTGCTGCGAGCGCGCGGGGAGCGCTATGGGAGATGGCTGTGTCGCATGGGATGGTGCTGGTATATTTTGGCTGTTGGCCGGGCTTTGCACACCCGGTGTTGATCGCGCCGAGGGTGTCGAGCGGGAGGTTGCCGGCGTCGTTGCCGCTGGAGAGTTGACCGGGGAGCTGCCGGCGGCGAGCAGAGCAGAGATGGATCGTTTCAAGGCTTCGACAGATTGCTGAGGTCGTGGTGGGATGCTCGCTTCCTCGAAGACTTTCTCGCTGTAGCTGGGTTAGCACTACGGGGAATGGTTGCAGTGGGCGCTTTAGTGGGTGTTGCAGTGGAAGGCTTGTCGGCGACTCAACCAAAAAAAATGCTGGTGACCTCAAAGTAATCGGAAAAAAGCCGAAAGAAAACAGGATGCATCGGAAACACGTACTGCAGAATATCATTTTTGTGCAAGAACTGCCACTCAGCCGAGGTGGCGATGGGCGCGTCGGGGAGCGGCTGGGTCTGTGTCGCGACGGCGAAGAGTTCGCGAAGCTTCCTCTTGCGCGAGGTCACAATTGCACTTTGAAGGGTTAGAAAAATGAAAATACCATCATTTTGATCGGAAAAATTAGCGCCACAAGACGAGGGGATACTCACTTGCACTCACTGCGCTTGGATTGAAGCAGCCGCGATAAATCGGCGTGCCCGACCTCAGTCATAGCATCTGCCGTGGCAACATCCGTTTGCGAGCGAAACGGATGCTGCAGAGCGGAAGAGCGCGCCTATGAGAGATGGAAAAAGAAGTCGTCGTCGATGAAAAGCGTGGTTGCGGAGGCCGCGTCGACAAATTAATGCTGGCAGTCGTGTCGTTTCGTGACTCCCAGAATGCTGGCCGGCTGGTAACGGGGGGGGGGCGTACAAAATTTTCCTCCAGGCAGTGGCTACTTTGGATAGAACTGGGCGGCGCGGGTTCGGTTGACAGAGTTTGCTTGGCTTGTTGAGCCTTTCCAGCGCCTCTGGCCGGGGGGGACGGGGAGAGACAATTGGGCAGGAGAGGGAGGGAGGACCGTGCCATTTCTGGTTTCCACACTGTGAAGTAGTACCTGCTGCTAACAAATTCATGTGAGGAGCTTGCACAACATACGCTAGTCTGTACTCCAAGATGGGAAAGGGGCAGCCACCCAAGCAACGTGAAAGGTCTTGCGGTCGCACAGTGTGCCGCGACCTGCGTCTTTCCCCGTTCCTCCCCGCATGCGGGCAATTGCAGTGTACTTGAAGGTAACTGTAGGCATGCTAGCGCCTGTTGGTACAACTAACCTACAACCTGCTACAGGTAAGCCTCTTTCTAGGCCTCTGCGGGTGCCTGCAGTTCTTATTGCATTGTGTTCGTAATTATTATTAGGTCGCATTAGTATGCGCATTAGTTTCTTACTTTCATCTTTCATATTCTGCGTTTTACCAAGTAAGAGTGCACAACCTCCCACCGTGCACTTAACTATGACGGCTCGCTCGCCGGCGGCTTGAATTCTATTTCCATGGCTACTGACTACCATAATAAAGTGACCATTTTAAAAGCTAATTTACTGTAGCAACTGCATGAGGAATAAGTAGGTCCTCGTACAAGTGGCTGTCACATTGTGTCATGTTAATGTCACCACAAATTGTAAGTTGCATTTCTCATAGCTGCTGTCATCATGTATGTATATTGCCATAAAGCCTTGTCCGCAAGGGAATCTGCATCCATACCCAACATTAGCCTTGGCTCAACCACGAAGCTCTTCTGTTGGATGATTAATAAATGCTAATGTCTGTTTGTTATGTAATTGAATATTCGTTGTTGCCTTATTGTCGTGTTCTCAACACCTTGGCATAGAACAAGGGCATAGAACAGAGGCAAAATTAACTTTGAGTACTACCTTGCCGACTCAAATGAAGAGCTGGTTCACAATATTAAATAGCAATACTCTATTGAAATCAGATATTCAAAACTTAAATAAATGGCCAAGAAAGAAAATGCGGTGGCAGTGACAAAGAGCCAGGCAACAGCATCAGCCCCATGCATGCAGGTAGGCCAAACAGAACAGGACCCATAGAAAATATTACAGCAAACCACGAAACTCTCTGCCTGCATTCACAAACACATCACCACAACACAGCGCATGATGGCCGACGACAGCAAAGGCGCCCGAATCGCGATAAAGTTCGGCGCCTCGTCGTCCTCCACCAAGACGCCCGCGTCGACCCTCGGCAAGCGCCCGCGCGCCGCCGCCGCCGCCGCCGCCGCATCCTCCTCGTCGCGCGCCGCCTTTGGCGGTGACTCCGACTCCGACTCCGACCACGGCCGGCACGAGGCCATCACCGGCTTCGGCGTCGACGGCGCCGAGACGAAGCGCCGAAAGGAGGCGGTCACTCAGAAGGAGTACGTTATCGCGCGACAGCCGAACCGCGACTGGCGCGACGAGGTCAGGGAGCAGCGCCGCGCCCGGCGAGCCAGGAACCCGCCCCCCGGGGAGGCCGCGCAGGACGGCACGGCGGACAGGGCGCCGGCGGACCAGGACTCGAACATCCGGTGGGGGCTGACGGTCAAGGAGAGGAAGAATACCGCAGCCGACGACGACGACGATGACGACGACGACGACGACGCTGACAACGCAAATACGGCCGACAACGCTGACAGAGCCGACGATGCACAGGGGACCGCCGCGCCGCGCTCCGCGGACGACGAGGCCATGGACGCGCTGCTCGGCAAGCGCCGCGCCGCCGAGGCCAAGACCATCGTCGCCGCGACCGAGGACGACGCCTACGCGCGGGACGTCTCCGCCGCGGGCGCCGCCCCCACGCTCGCCGACTACGACGCGATGCCCGTCGAGGAGTTTGGCGCCGCGCTGCTGCGCGGCATGGGCTGGGACGGCACCACCCGGGGCGGCTCCAAGCCCCCGAAGCGGCGGCAGAACAGGCTCGGGCTGGGCGCGAAGGAGCTCGACGACGCGGAGGAGCTGGGCCTGTGGGACCAAAGGGGCGGGAGGAGGAAGAGGCCGCCGACGCTGGCGGATCATAGACGGGAGGAGGAGAGGAAGAAGGAGGAGCGCAGGGCACGGGCGGGCGGGGAGGGCTACAGGCGGGGGAGGGAGAGGGAGCGCGAGGGGGAGAGGAGGGCGGGGAGGGCTACAGGCGGGAGAGGGAGAGGGAGCGCGAGGGGGAGAGGAGAGGGCACGGGGGGGATAGGCACAGGCGTGAAGAGAGGGATAGGGATCGCCATCGTGGGTACGATCGAGACCGCAGGCGATAACGAGGTTGAAGAGCAAAAACAGCATTCATTGGCGTTTGAGGGGTTTTATAGGTTACACTACACACGTTGGTTTACAACAGCGCACGCCAGATATCAAAACAGGGTATCAAATACCACCATGTTGTGTTAATCAAGATGATGTTCATATATGCTTCGTGTTTCGTTATGCATTGCTAGTTCGATTTTGTACATTTCCCTTTACCCTGCCGCCCGTTCCTCCACATCGTCCTACCGCAACTTGACCCTCGCTAGTGTATCCGTCAGGATCGTCAACGTTCTCAGCGCCCGACCGTCCGTCGCCTCATCCAACTCCTCCGCCGGCGCCGCGCGCAGCACGCCCGCCATGTGCAGCAGGGGCTCCACGTACCTGTGCTCGACCGCCGCGGCCATGCCCGCGGGCGCCATGTCGCGCTGGGCATCCCCCAGCGCGAAGACGAGAAAGTTGGCGACCTGCAGCTGGAAGGGCCAGGCCTGGGCCCAGAACTCGAGCAGCGCGGCGGTGTCCTGCTCCTCGAGGTAGGTGAGGTCCGGGAAGAGGGCGTACTGGAGGCGCTCGAGGCCCTCGGCCGTCGCGAACTTGCTGCGGCTGTCCGGGGTCTTGCGGGCGGCGAGGATCTCGTCCTTGGTCCAGGAGACGGCGCAGGACTGTAGCGAGGAGAACATGCAGCTCTCGAGGACGTCCTCGAGGATGCCGAGGCGCGCGTCCTCGGGGAAGGCGTGCAGCGCGTGGCCGGCGAGGGTGATGGCCGACTGGCGCACGCGCGGGTTGGCGTGGAAGACGGCGACCAGGGTGAGCAGGTGGTGGTAGGCCATGTAGTCCCGCTGGTCGGGGGCGGCGGCGGGCGCGAGGAGGCGCGACTGCGTGTGCAGCCAGATGCCGAGGACGAGGATCGCCTCGAGGACCCCAGGGTTGGAGGCGATCTGCTCCTGCGGGCTGCTGCCGTCGAGGAAGCGCCCCAGCACGGCGTGGTGGTGCGGGAAGATGTGCAAGTCGGGGATGGAGTGCTGCGCGTCGAAGAGATCCGTGGCAAACATCCAGTAGGCGACGAGGGTGGCCAGGCCGCCGGTGGCCAGCCCCATGGCCTCGGGGTTCTCGCTGTCGAGCTCGCCGGACAGAGGGTCGGTGCATAGGTGCGAGGTGGTGAAGGCTTCCTTGATGGCATCAGAGGAGAGCTTCGACAGGCCAACATCGCTGGCCAGCGCCTATGCGGTAACAAGTCAAGTTAGCCATTCCGCGCGTAGCAGTGAACCTTGTCAGGTGATCAAGGGTCGTGTCGTTGAGCTCTCGCAACTCACCACTAATTGGCCAATCAGGCTGTCCCTGGCCTGCAGCTCGTCGACGTCCTTGAAGGCCTGCATCTGGGTCATGCGCCCCAGGACGATGCGCTCCGGGTAGGTGAACTCGAGCAGGCGCGTGGACCACTCGAGCGCGTTGGCGTTGACAAAGGCCTCGAGGACGCAGGTGACGAAGACCTGCAACAGACGTTGCACGAGCGCCGGCTCCCCGGCGTCTTGGCCTCCGGACCCCGCCGCCACTTGGCCGCCTTCCGGGTCTGGCGCGCTGCGGCTGGCGTCGCCGGGCTGAAATGAGGAGGTCCGCGAGATGACGGTGCTCGACTTGCGGGTGGGCAGCGGCGGGCGCTTCTGGCCGGACAGCGAGCGGACGAGGGCGATGACGGCGGCGGTGGCGTCGGGGCTGGCGGCGTCGTAGCTCCGGTACACGGTGTCGAGGGTGGTGTGCAGGAAGCGCGAGGGCGCCTTGACGCGCAGACGGTCGTGCAGGACGGCGAGCATGCCGCAGAGGGTGACGAACTGCTGCGTGGGAGGCACCTGGTCTTTTCGGCTATTTCCTTGACTGTCCTTTCCATCAAATTCTCCTTGTTCGTCTTCTTCGGAACCAACGGTGATCTTTTCCATGACCTCGAGAACTTTGAGAATGACTTCGCGCGGGTTGCCCAGATGCGCGACCCTCTCAAGACATGGCTCGCTGCCGGGTACGGCAATCAGCATCTCGACGAGATCCCAGCCAATCTCGCTCGTCAGCTCCACGTCGTCAAGAATGTCCCGCAGCTCCGGTAGCAGTTGTGGTGTCAGCGACATTTCGATGATGGTGAGGTAGGTCGCGGCGTCGGTGGCTGGCGGCTTGCTGTCACGCAAGCGATTGACGGCATCGTCAGTGGTGGCTGTCGCCATGGTGGGCAGAGCAGTGAGCAGAGCAGGCGGCTATAGGTGTTGTAATATAGGCTGGTGAACAGGTGGGATGGCTTGGGATGAAACCGATGACTTGGCGATGAGGACGAAATCTAGGAAAGATGTCGAGTACATGTATGGATATGCGGCTGCAACATTGACAAGCTTCAACGGCCGCAGATGGAAGATGGAGGGGGGAGGGGAGCTTTCGTCATGCCCCGCTTTGCCGTCTCGAGACGCCTTGTATAATCAATATGCCATGCAATGAATGGTGTGCAGCCTTTTCTCTTATTAATAATTATTATTTATAGTGAATAAAACCCTCTAAGCCACCCCCGTCCATTCCATGGCAGACATCTCAAACTCGTATTGCACCACCCAACGATCCACCATACATTCCTTGTCAAGGTAACTATGTACTGTACATACATAGGTATGTACTAACAAGGCAGCGGGCGCGCATAGTTGGCAGTAGATTGGTACAGCGCAGATCATGACCAACTTACCCTACAGCCACTGTACATGGTGTGACGTTTTTGCAAGTCCAGTCTGAATCAGGGAATTCTGAACAATTATGAGAGTGTTTGGTTTTATATATCATGGTTGAAATGGGTAAAGGGTGAATTTATTGTATAAGATGGGCTTATTAGCGCTGGGATGCAACGCGCCCGAAAAAGAGGCCCAACGACACAGGACCAGATACCTACCGACTGGTAAACACCACGCTGCCTTCGACTGTACACCACTTCTTAAATATTTCAATCCTTTGGCATATGCAGCCATCTCATCAACTTCCATGCACGCCAGACAACCACATGACTAACATGATGTATCCGAACACAGCCGCCCCCACCTCTCCTTCCCTCTCCTCCCCTCTCCTTCCCCCTCATCCCCCTCATCCAAATGCCCACGGGTGTTGTCACTCGGTACGCTTGCCACGATGGATGGTCTGAGCGTCGCTGCGAGCATTATTGCTGTTGTTGATATCTCAGTCAAGGTAATCTCTCTGTGTTCGCAATACTCTCAGACACTCGCCAATTCCCAAACCGAGGTGTCTCGACTCGCAACGCAAGTGAGGGCTCTCAAAACGACGCTAGATTATGCCCATGCTCTCATTGAATCACCGCAAGGCGGTTCACTTTCTACGTCGCGCCATCTACAAGAGCAGCTCACAGTATGTCGCACATTATTGCAAGGTCTGCAGAAGAAGCTCGAGCGCGTTGCTGCGCGTCAGGCAAAGCGCCGGCCGTCGCTACGAAACCTGGCGTGGCCAATCACCAAGGACGAGATCGATGCTTCAATCAGTACCCTCAGGGGATATCATGACAGCATCATGGCAGGCCTGCAGATTGATCAAACGTAAAGTTGATTCCAGGGGAAATTCTTTCAGTGGACTGACCCTGCATAGCACTTTGCTTCTTCGTATCAAGGATGGAGTCGACAACTTCCCTACTTTAACACAAGAGGATGGCTCTCTAACTCAGCCGCGTCCAGATCAGTCGTGAGTTGCCGTTACCGGCCATGTTCACCCTATGCTTACAATTCTATGCAGGTCTCTGTTGTTGGCTCTCAGTGACATGGAAGGGCGTATAGAGAGCGCCAGGGAGCGTCGTGAAGAGCAGGAGTGTCTTCGTCTCTTTCGACTTACAAATGACAGCAGAGATGCAACATACGAGTCGTACAAAAGTCGCGTGGAAGAGAGAGCCCCTGATACATGCCAGTGGTTTCTCAATCATGAGACTTTTCAGACGTGGCTGCAGCAGACATCAGGACTGTTATTAGTCTCCGCCGACCCAGGATGTGGCAAATCGGTATTGACGAAATACTTAATCGAAAGGGTTTTGCCGGATAACGCGACTGTCTGTTACTTCTTCTTCAGGGAGCAAGACCAAAATACCGTCCGTCAGGCACTTTGCGCGATTCTTCATCAACTTTTTGATCAGAAGCGCTTCCTTATCCAGCACGCCATGCCTTTTTTTGCCAAAGATGGACCAGGCTTGATCAATACTACAGAATCGCTCTGGAAGATTCTGCATAGTGTAGTCGAAGATATACGGACAGGGCCGGTCATCATTGTTCTTGATGCCCTGGACGAGTGTTTCCAAAGCGAGTTTGCAGCCCTAATCCGAGATCTGCAATATTATCAAGTTGGTCAGTCCCAGCACACGAAACTGCGGTATCTCTTTACGTCTCGGCCCTACGAGGCAGTCATGTCCAAATTCCGCGGGATGCGAGATACTTCCACAACGGTCCATATCCCGGGTGAGGAAGAGTCGGACGCCATCGGCCGGGAGATCACAGGTGTTATCGCACAGAAGGTTCAGCTGCTTAGTCAAAAACTTCTACTCTCTACTCGCATCAAGGACCATCTACTGAAAAGGCTTCAAGAAATTCCGCATCGCACCTACCTTTGGGTATACCTCATCTTCGACTACTTAGAGGATGTGGGCTTTGTGAGGACATTACGGGGTGTCGATTGTGTGATTGCAAGTCTCCCGCCCACTGTTGATGCGGCTTATGAGAAAATCCTTCGCAAAGCAAGTGATCATGCTTTGCTTCGCAAAGCATTGAGCATCATTCTCGCTGCGTGTCGCCCACTCACGCTAGACGAAATCAACATTGCTTTGAGCATTCACAAAGCATCACTGTCTCTGGATGACTTGGACATGGAGGTTAAGCAGGATTTTCAGCGGCGTCTCCAGTTCATCTCTGGACGATTTGTATCGATCCATCACGACAGGGTATACTTGATTCATCAAACGGCTCGCGAATTTCTGCTGGCCAATACAACTTCGCCATCAGAGCCCTTGCAAAGCTCGATTTGGCGTGGCACACTAACCTTGCATTGTGTGCACGGGGTCCTTGCCGGGCTGTGTATTCTGTACTTGAAACTATTCAACGCAGATGGTAGCTCTGCGAGGAGTGCTAAAGCCGAGGACGAGAACGCAGATGGTAGCTCTGCGAGGAGTGCTAAAGCCGAGGACGAGAGTGCTGCTGCCGCTGATACTCACGCCTTGCTGGGCTATGCAGCAGAGAATTGGGCTATGCATTTTCGCGAATCTGGTACTTCCGAGGATTCTACGCTCATCGCCTCGATTATCGAGATTTGCGATCCTGGGTCGAATAGCTACCGAGCCTGGTTTGAAATCTATCGCCGAACTACTGACATTTGGGTTACGGATTTTACGTCACTTATGATAGCTTCTCACTTTGGACAACTTGTTGTTGTCCAGAAACTTCTGCAAAACGGCGCGAGTGTGGAGAGACAAGACAGCAGATATTGCTGGACGCCATTGATGTTTGCCGCGGAGTGTGGACACACTGAAATAATCAAGGTCTTACTGGAGAACGGTGCACAGCTTGCGTCTGAAGCCGCTGATGGAGCCAATGCGCTACTATTCGCAGCTTCTCGTGGAAGAGAAGCCGCGACCAAGATTCTCCTAGAGAAGGGCAGCGGTATCGAGTCAAAAGACAAGAACGGCAGAACAGCACTATCCCTAGCCGCTGAAGCTGGGCACCTAAGCGTGGTTGCGCTACTCATTGGAAGTGATGCGAATATCGAGACGCGGGGTAAGGAGGGTAAAACGCCGCTGATCTACGCTGTTGCTGAGGCTAGAAGAAATGTCATGTCGCATCTCATAGCTCACGGCGCCGACGTTTCGGCCATGGACTACGAGAGAAAGGGTGTGCTTCATCACGCAATTGTCAATGACTTCTCAAAGCTCGATGACATCAAAACTCTCATTTCACTTGGAGCGGATGTCCACTCAGACGACGCTGAGAATATGACGCCGATGCATTACACGGTCCGATTCGGGCGAATTGATATCGCGAAACTTCTGTTTCTGGCTGGGGTTCCTTTTGACACAATGGTACATAGGCAAACGTGGACTCAAGGCTATGACGAAAATGGGAACCTGACATATACGCCCTCGGGTGTGCATACTTTTACCAAGTCTGGCCGGGGCCTTACACCTCTGCACTATGCTTCGTGGGTTGGGCATGACAAGATGGTTGAATTCTTTCTGCAACATGGTGCCGATCCCAACGCGTTATCCGACTACGGCGAGACGCCCGTCCACCTCTCCCTCGCGGCAACTATGAAAGGGACCGATTATCGTGATTATTGGTGCTCTCAAGACTGGAAAATAGAAGCTGTTCTGGATTTAGTTGACCCTCTTGACTCCGACGACTATGCCGCTACCCTCGAGAACATTGTACTCCAACGACTGCGGGTACTAGCTGCGCTTTTGAATTGTGATCGAACAGATGTCAATATTCACGATGATGATGGAGAATCTGCCTTGCATAAAATCCAGTATGCCGAGTACGCAAGGTTTGGCTCGGATGAACTTGTTACGGAACTGCTGCAAAAGAATGCGGTAGCCCTGAGTCGACCCCGCGACAACAAAACGCCGCTCCACCTGGCTTGTGAGAAAGGCGATGCTGATTGTGTCGTTTTGCTGGCGTCTCAAGAGCAACTACAGCTTCGCGATGCGAATGGTATGAATGCACTGCATCTCGCTAGCAGTAGTGGATGTATCCAAACCATGGAGGCAGTTATTCTAGCGTGTACGGAGCATCAAGTCGATCTATCATCTACAAGGGACAGTTTTAACAGGAACGCACTGCATTGTTACTTGAAGGTCATAATTCCGTCAACCCGCGGGGTCCAGCTGCTCCTTGACTACGGCGTGGATGCTCACGAGGGCTGATCTCACTGGACATGCGCCGTTTCTGCTGTAAAGGACAGCGACTGAGATTTAATGGTGCTTTTCCTTATGAGTCATGAATCAACTACGAAAATATACTCGAGTTCACCAGGTTACTAGGCGCGGGTCCTTCTCTACCGCTAGATGCTGCAATCGTGTTCTCTCCCTTTGCTCACCACAGCCTCCGCCTCTTTCGACCGTGGCTCTCCCGCTCCAGAATCCGAGTCGCCGCCGGGACAAACTCGACACCGCGTCTGCTGGCTTTCGGGAGCGCGTGCAGTTTCCGGTGGCTCCTGAGGTTGTCGAGCCTGTTGAACTGATCCTTCCCGCAGAACTCGCAGCGCAGAAAGGCCGGAGCGTCGCCGTGGATCCTGCTGCCGTTGTCAGCGCTCCCGGTCAGCGACGGCGCCCGGGGCAGGGTGGGGGCGTCTAAAGGACTTGTGGCAGCCGGCGTGGCCGCACGCGTACGGCGGCATCGACAGTTCGGCATCGGGCGCCTCGTCGTCGGGAGGCTGCCAGTCGTCGTCGGGCTGGGCCTGCGTGTCGTCGTCGTAGTCGTCATCGTCGTCGTCGCGGTTGTCGGGCTGGTAGATCGTGCTCGCCGATGCTGGAGGCAGCGCGACGGACGGGAAGCCGTACAGAGACTGCTCCTGTAAAGAAAACGGGGAGACGGGGGACGGGAAGATGAAGTCATCGTGGCTTCCGACCCGGGAGCCGGCGCTGGAGCCGGCGGGCAACGTCGGGCGAAAGTCTGACGGCACCGGGGAATCTCTAAACGTACGAGTCTGCGAATGCACTCTGGTAGCTCAACGGTTAGAAAAGTGTCCAGGGACGACGTCCCGGATACTGACGTGAAGGAGGGCTCGCTGGGAACCCGGCGGCTGCTGCTACTGTCTGGCTGGGATATCCTGCCCGTATCCAGCGGCATTGGATAGAATGATAGTGTTTCCGACGAGATCCAAGACGAGAACATGACGTGGAGAGCTTAGGAGAGGATCGAATGAAGGGATTCGAATTGAAAGTAGGTCCTGTATTGTAAGCAAGTTGACGAATGGTTTCTGAAGGAAGTCAAGTGGGAGCAATTGTGTCGACGTCAACTTGGAGCCTTGGCTTGCTGGGTAGTCAACCTAAATACCAACCCAATCTCTTCATAGAAGAGCAAGATATCACGGAGCCGCCGGATGTAATTAGACAGAATCCAGAATCATGATACTATATTGAGTAGAGGCCCGCCCTCGATGGCAGAGATGCTCTTCCCTCGCCGATCAGCCTTGTTATTACTTAGCTAGGTTTCTGCCAAAAGTCCGTTCCCCCCACATTCTCGCCTGGCATCTGGTAAACTTAATTTAATGAATTGCATACAAAGTATGATGTTGCGATGGCAAGATCGAGCTTGGACCCTTTCCGGCTTTGCACCAAATCTTGGTCCCCGGCTCCGCAACGTGATTCGCCGCGGCATCTCGAGTGTCTCGGCGCTTCATGGGGAGTAGCTGGGGCGGGCTAACCCTGGCTCGTTTGCGGAATTGTGCTTGACTCCCTCGCTTATTCGTATTGACCAACCAGTTGTCTGGGGGGGGGGAGATGCTTCCGGCTTGACAGCATGTTCTGACTTGTCTGCCAGCAGCCACTCGCTTAACCAAAGCGGCCTTGTTCTCGCCGGGCACCTACCTGCCTGCTGTTGCCCATCTACACGACTGAAGAGCCGAACCCCTTCAGCAACAAAAGATGCCGGTGTGAGTGAGCTCACAGGGACGAAAACGACATGAATTCAGAATGCTGGGTTCAACTGCCGCTTTACACATGCAATCCAAAAAAAAAAACAGAGTAGCCATGCAAGAGGAATGCGCACCATGTACATACGTACATCAAATGCCAGAACACAACGCCTAGAGTATTGATACATGACAGAAAACAAAACATCACCACCACGACAAACAACGTACATCAGCACGCAGGGTATCATACACTCAGTCATACACTCAGTCATACACAGCCCTTACACCCTCGAGCTTGTTGGCCGTAAGCCCTTGGTCGAGCTCTTCGCCCACGTCCACTTGCCCTTGGCGCCGCGAAACGAACCGCCGCTGCCCATCGCCTCGGCCACCGAGATGGGCTCGTCCATCGGCACCAGCTGCGGGTGCGCCCGGTACGGCAGCGCCGACTTGAGCGCGCGCTTGCTCATCGCCTTCTCCCGCGGCGGCTCCTCCTTGCGCATGTCCTTGATGATGTCGCGCAGCTCCGCCTCGTCGTCCGCGATCTGCGCCTTGATCAACGACACCCCGCCACCACTCGCAGCCTCCTCGATCGCCTGCATCACCGGCACCCGGGGCTCGTACGCGATGCCCTCCAGCCGCGGCGCCCGCCCGTCCAGCCCCGCGGCGCCCGCGCCCTTGGCCAGCAGCGCCGCCATGTCCAGGCTCTCGCCCGGCGGGATCGCCGTCGGGTGGCTCGGCGTCACGCACTCCATGTCCACCTCCTTGCGCAGCACGTGGTCGACGTCGACGGCCGAAAAGTACGCGCACGACTGCGGCAGGTCGTCGATGCCCACCTGCTGCGCGAACAGCGCCCGCGTCCACACGTTGGCCACCTGCAGCGCCATCGCCGCCCGGTACCGGTCCTCCTTCCGCACCAGGTACCGGATCTCGTCGTGCACCGTCATCGCCAGCCGCGCGTCAATGTTGAACCGTCGGGCCAGGTAGTCCATCGACACGATCAGCAGGTGCAGGTAGTCCACCCCCGACGACTGGATCGCCCAGTTGATCCGCGACGTCAGGTACCCCCCCTTGTTGATGAACCGGCCCATCAACGCCTCCGTGATGCCCGCTCCGAGCACCGGCGTCCGCGGCCGCTCCTGCTCCGCAAACTCTTCCAGCTTGTTGAAAACAAACGACTCGGTCCCGCCCCGCCAGAACGGCCGCTTGTATATCGTCCGTCGGCTTGTCTTGGTGCCCTTGGTGTTGGCGTACAGCTTCGACGCAGTCTCCAGCGTCTGCTTCTCCGACAGCTCGGGGTTGAACTGCCGGAGGAGAGTCGCGGCGAATTTGAGGCCCGCCCCGTAGATGCGCCCGTAGTTGAAGACCTTGGCATCGTTTCGCGTGATGCCTAGGATCGACGCCGTGCGCGAGTGTAGGTCTGTCCCGGCCGACTTGGTGCCTTCCAGCGTCATGAACCCGACAGCGTTGCCACCGTGAAGCTTGAAGGTCGCGTCGCCGATGAGGCTTGCAATCCACAGCTCCTGCGAGTCGACATCGGCACCGACAAAGCTGTAGCCTTCGGGGGCTCTCACCATGGCCTTGAGCTCCGAGCCAACACGGTTCTTCTTGGCATTGCTGGCAGTGAGCCACGTGTTTTCCACGGCTCGTCTTGTAATGGTACCCATGGGGATGATTTGTGGTAGGATAAAACCAAGGCCGTCTGCGGGGTTGGCCGACTTGTCAGGGTTGGGCAAGTCTTGGTTGCGGACAACCATCTGCGACATGATTCTATCGCGCGCACTGATCCAGTACGAGCACGAGGCGTTCATATCGAGAGCCTCCTTGGCGTACGAGTACTCTGATGATAGCGTGCCGTTCTCAAAGTAGGTCAGGTAGCCCTTGGCCATGGGGTTTGCGCAGCGGGCGGTTGGGCCGTCCTTGTGTGGAAGCTTGAAGTAGACGTGCTGCCTGTCGTCGCGCAGCTTGGCATCGGCCTCTTCAAGCTGGCATTGTATCATTTGCTTGCCCGTGTACTTTGCCGAGTTGGAACGGTCCGTCCGGAACGTCCAGCCGTACTTGTCGGACCAAAAGAGAGGATTGCCATCCCAGGCCATTCGTAGTAGCAATGGGGCGATTCGTGTGCGTACTGTAATGCTGATGGGGGCGTCATTCTTTTGAAACAGATCCTTGTACCATTGTGGACAGCCCGGCTTTTTTTGTCGCGCAGCCGGCCTGGGCGGATCGCCCTTCTTCTTGCCCTTGACCATGCGAATTTCCTGGCCGGACCAGTCGAGCTGCTTCATCCACGGGTCGTTTTGCCATTTTTCAGGGTCGTCTTTGATTTCGAGAGCCTTGTCCGTCAAGGCAACGAGTCGCTCTTGAACAGCGTCGGAGAGTTTGTGATAGGTGGCTTCGGTGTTGGAAATGTATGCGTCCCAGGACTTGTTGACGGGGAGGATAACGGAGGATAGGTGGCGGAGAGCGGCGAAGCTGACGGGGTGTGGGCATGTGTCTAAAAAGTTGGGCAAGACTATTTGGTAGACGCGGTGAGTGATGGCGACGTCGGCGGCGCAGTAGTCGAGGAGAGGGTCGAGTTTGGCAAGTATCTCCGACTTGTTTAATTCGCCAAAATCGTCGCGGACAGCCTTGTCGATGGTGACGTTGAGATGAAACTTGGCTACATCTCGCAGAGAGTTGACCGAGCTGCGTTCGACCCAGAGCTCTTCCTCTTCATGCATGCCTCTGTTGCTCAACAGTTCAGCCAGCTCATTGTCGGGCGTCTGGCTGGCGACTCGCTCGCGAAGCTCCCGGTTCTTCTTGTGCCTCATCCAAGTGGGACGCTGCTGTGAGCACATGCCATTGACAGCGACGTGTAGTGACATTGTATCCATGAAGTAATTTCTGGTTTGCTTGATGTCATACTCTTCGAGGATGCGGGCGCGATCAAAGCCGACGTTGTGGCCGACAATGAGCCGCTCCTTGGTGGGATCGCCAAGGGGAATGAGGTGCTTGTCGTTCTCGGTCTCACCCAGCAGCCACGGCGAGAGCCAGGCATACCAAGCCGTAGGGCCTACAGCGCAGGCCATGACGGCATACGGGCTCTCCTTCCACATGACCTCGGTATCGAAACACAGGGCCGACTCGTCGGGGGCGTCGACCTGCTCGGTGCGGCCATCGGGGTAGTACTTGGTCCAACCACTGCGGCGAATCCATTTTCGAGGCTTTGGAGGTGGATTGGCGCGCGAGAACTGCTTAGCCAGGCTGAGGTATGGCCCGGCGCAGTCGACGCCTAGCTTATGGAAGTGCTCGTCGAGAGTGCGACCTTGGAGTGCGGGGAGGTCGAATGCGATAGGAGGCGCGTCGTCGGTGTTCTTGCCGAGCAGATCATGGCGTTTGAGATGGTCTTTAGATAGATTGACAAGCTCTTGAGGAGGGGGGGTGGCGCCGTTGGGAAATAGTTGATCAAACACATACGTGCTAAGCTGCTGGACACCGATTTCGTTATACCGAGCAGTGGATGGGACTGGATGCGCCGGGTTAGCGGGCTGCACGGCGGATTGTAGCCGCTAAGCAGTATGGCGAGGGTCACCGGGTTTGACATACGGGCAAGAGACTGGTTCTTTTCTGAGGCGGCATCTGCGGTGACGGATGCGAGGTGTCGCGCAAAGGTTGTCGCGAGCGGTCGATGCGCGCCGTGGCGCACAAGGCGCAATCTTGTGGTGGCGGCACGCTGGAGGCACCCAACGGCAGGATGAAAGGCGCGCATTGCTATGGATTCTTCATGTCGAGCAGAGGCGAAGCAGCATGACGAAGATGAAAGAGAATATATGGAGGGGAAAGGAAAGAGCTAGATGGCGGGCGGGGGACGGACACGGGGCGAGGCACGCGAAGGACAGGAGGTGGTGGTAATTGAAATGAAGGGGGCGATTTTCTTTTGCTGCGCAAGTGGTTAGCGCTAGATTCTGGCGGCTTTACAGTGGTCTGAATGGGGTTCCTTCTGGCACCTCGCAGCGGGGATTTCGATACTTTTAGGGGCGACTTCCCCTAAATTTGTAGTGGAGCCCACCCTCGCCGGGGCTGTAGGGCCGCGGAAGAATTTGGGACTACTTAGATAACTAGATACAAGATGAGAATGAGAGCTAGTTAGCAAGGATGAAGCAAACGCAGGGAGGCCATCGACGCCGAACTAGGTTTTAGCAAAGGATCTTAGGAACTCCAAAATAAGTTTAAAGCGCTGGTTTGTACAGTCATCAAGCCCAGTCAACCTGGGCAGCATGGCCATATCAATCTTGATACACACTGATGGTACAAAGTCCCATACATCTAACATAATGGCAAGGAATAAGTAGGCATAAAATTGTGAAGTAGTACATCCAGCTCATATGGAAAGCTAAATTGTTCTTCTATCCGGCCATCAACGATATGTGTTGTGTGTTGGCTGCAATGCGAATCCCGATTATGTAAGCCTCATCGTGTAATCAATAGGGTGAGAGCCTGAAGGGAATGTGACGCGCCCTTGCAGCAGTGTCACTCACTCATGCTGGAGCGAGAAAAGGAACGTGAAGGAACGAACAAGAAAAAGATAAATCACGAATAGCCAACGAGTGATAAAGCTAATGTATACAGTTTCATAAAAGACTTTTTTATAAATTTTACAAACTGACTTTATATAACGTTAGAACAACCTTTCAAACCCAAACAAGGCAACAGTAACTCAATCACCCCACAATACGCAGCCGGCCACCCAATCGGCGCTAGCCCTGCTCTGAAATGTACCACAGAGCAAACCGCCACCAATCTGCCATACATCCCTGCTCCGAAATACATCGTGCAGCTGGCCCTGGCTGACCTTCACTTCCTCCCCACTATCGTGCTTGAAGGCCGCATCTGAACCTTTCCCCCTCACCATCCGCCTTACCACGTCGAAAGATCCCTGACTGGGGTGTCGTCGCCATGATTTCCGGCCTCTCAACCTACCTCCCGACGACAATCCTAATCCATTCATCCTAGATTCAGCAGCCGCCGTGCCCTGTAGCCGCCTACGGACCATTGCCCCCGCTACCAAACGCCGCGCGCGCGCGCGCGCCAATATCAGAAACACCTCCCGCCCTCCCCGCTCGCGTCAGGCACCCAGGCCAGCCAAACGAACGAACGCTCGGTCTCTCTCCCGGCCATGTCTCTCGCTTCTGCCTCGCCGCGGAGAGCATCGCTCGACTCTGACGTCGTCCTTGTATCAACCTCGCCGCTCCCGCCTCGCGCCCGCCATCGCCACCGTCCTCAGGCCCTGCAACCACCGACGACCATCACGACAGCAGCCGCCGCCGCGATGCCGCCTGCCTTCTCTTCGTCACCCAGACACTACGCCCACGCCTCATCGTCCCCTCGACACCACGTACACGACAACTCGCCGCATTTACGCACTCGCAACCAAAGTTTATCAACACCCAACGACAGTTTATCAAATCACCAAAGCCAAACCATGTCCTCGTCTCGACCGCGGCCTCGACGAGCCTCGCCCTCACCCGACTCCTCAGTGTCATCATCAGACTTTGACATTTCTCAAACTCAGTTCGAGGCCACGCCGTCCGACTCAACCGACTCGTCCGACGACGAGTACTTAGAGGGCGAGACGCCCAGCGACGACAACATGGCCCGCCCCCCGACACAATCAAATTCCACTCGAAGCTCTTCGCCTTACTCAGACTATAGCAGCATCGACGAAGATAACCTTGGCAATCTTCACACTACAAACGCCGCTATAGACGTGCCCGACTCACCCCTTCAACCACTACACGCCGGCCCTTCAGCCAACACCACACAAGCCACTGATTTCTCTCTCCCCGAGACTGAGCACTCAACATCATCCCTCTTTGACCAGGTTCAAGACCAGGTTCAAGACCAAGGCTCCACCGAAACAGCGTCTACTTCGTTTTCTGAAGACATGCCTCGACTTCGAAGCACGGCAAGGGGTCTTTTTGGCCCGGATCGCAATCATTGGCGCCTTGGCGAACGGGGAAAGCCGTACATCATTAACTTGACCGGGCTGCCGCGCTCTGAGGTCTTACCAACGGAGTCGCCCGTATCGGTGGACAGAATCCCCGATGAGGACCTCGAGACCATTGATCTCACCAAGGCTCAGGTCGCCCCAGAGCCAGAGCTAAAGAAGCGCGTCGTGGACAACCGGATCAAGCTGGCTACCTATCAATGCCCCATTTGCATGGACAATGTCACCGACCTGACGGTCACGCACTGTGGTAAGTATTCTATAATCATCCCCCCGCCAATCCCCCTGGATTTTGCCCTTACTGACCCCTCCTCGCACCAGGCCACCTCTTTTGCATGGACTGTCTTAATCACTCCATGGACGTGGAGGTGACCAAGGGCAAATGTCCCATGTGTCGCTCCAAGATTGACACCAAGCCCCGCGAGGCCTACAGCACCAAGACCAAGGGATACTGGCCACTTGAGCTCAAGCTCATGACCAGATCCAAGAAGGGAAAGAGAAAAGCTGAGGAAATCTCAACTTGACATCATTCCCGTGTTCTTTTTTTCTTGATTCCACTGGCATGGATGGGGCGTTCTTTTTTTTTTTAGCGACGGGAGAAGGATGACATTGGAATCAGGCGAGACCTTCTTATGGCAGGATATACCCCCTATTTCTCCTTCTCTGCTCACACAGCGAACCTTGTCTCTATATATCTCGGGGCGTTTGGTGTCTATGGCTAAACTTGCTTCTTCTTCATTGTATATACATTCCATATGGGAATAGAGATAGCACAATGCAATATTTCAGTTAAACTTACTCTAGGCCATGACAGCTAAACTTGCTTCATCCAGTGCCATGTGGAAATAGAGGGTAGTGCAGTGCTGGCGACCTTGGTCTTGCAGGCTGTGACAGCTCTCTCTGGTGGTGATGGTGATGTCGTTGTGCTTTGCCTTCAATGTCACGTTGTGCTTCTTCCATCTGCGTCTTGCGTGTTTCCAGATTTATCCGACTTCCAGGCAGACAGACGGACGTAGACTCGGCAGCAGGCAGGAACACGGCAAGGCTGCCGTCAATCACCACGTACATGACATAACCAGTTCGTAGGGCCAAGCTTTGCGCAAATTCGTAGCGCTTTCTCGGAAAAGAATTACCATGTTCCACTGTAAGACAAGATTACAAAAAAAAAAAGCACCAATATTCGAAACAGAAAAACTCCCTCCCTATTTGCCTTCTTATTTTCGTCAAAATCCCAATGTCCCTTCTATCGAACATGCCCAAGTCCTTCTCTCGCTCAATGGAACAGTTTGCGGGTCGTCCTTGGTTCCGGAACCGCTTCGTTGTCAAACTATACCCAGAAAGTTAGTAACGCCGCCCTTGCCTTCGCGCCTTGCTTGACAGCAGCACGTAGAACAAACTCACCTCGATGAACCCCGTGGCGGCAATGACCACCATCAGCGCGGCCGCCAGCTCCTCCACCTTCTCCTCCAGCACCTCGCCGTCGTCGCCGGGGGCGTGCGTCCCGATGCCCGCGCTGCGCTTGAGCGTGTGCGCGACCAGCATGCGGTGGTCGGCGAGGAACCGGCGGCCCTGCGCGATGCTGTGGCTGCCGCGACTGAGGAGTGCCACGCCGACGATGCGCGTGACCTTGGCGAGCAGGTCATAGTGCTGCTCGAGCGCGCGCCGGCCCCCGTCGTCGTGCCCGCCGCCGCGCAGAAGCTGCAGCTCCGGGTCCGCCGCGTACAGGCCGGAGAGCTCGACGACGCGGAAGATGTTGGCCTGCATCACGTACTGCGCGCCGTTGCGCGTCTGCGCGACCTGCAGTAGTAGCGCGAGCTTGGCGTTCTGGTTGTTCTGCAGGTCCGTATCGCCGCGGCCGTCCCCGGCACCAAATGCCTCCTGCCAGTCCACCATGACGCTGCGTAGGGTGTCCACCGTGATGCCGATGAAGTTGAGCCGGTTCAGCATGTCCACCACGTGCTCGTCGTCGACCTGTCGCCCGGCGTTGACGAGCCCGTTGAGGAGAATATACGCGGCCGTCTGGCTGCTCGGCGCGCCGCAATACGCATCGTCGCAGATGGCGTTGATGAGGCGCTCGCCATATGTACGCACCGTCTGCATGATCTGAAGATTAAAGCTGCGCTTCGTCTCGTCCGGTGCTCCGGTGAGATATCGGTAGCAAATCTCGTAGTAAATAGCGCGCAGCTCGTGAGATCCAGCCCACTTGCTGATGGCTTGTAGGCATATTTGGAAGAGCTGAAACAGCTTATCGTGTATGAGGTTGCCGATAGCCTTGCCTTGTTTGTCGGTTGTGCTCGATTCCTTCAAGTCTAGACGTGAAAGCAAGATTCTGGCCAGCTTGGCAAGATCCATGGCTTCCACAGGGCTCTCAGAGGCACAGGACTCTAGGCTGGGGAGGATCGCCTGAAGGGTTTGCAGAAAGAACGATGTTCGGGCCGTCCCATCAAAGTCATTGGACTCAACCATGATGAGTAGCAGCTTTGTCCACGACTTGAGTACTTGCAAGCTTTGCTGACGTAGCTGTAGTTGGCGATCGGTAGAGGCCAGATGATCTATAATTACTGCTTCTTCCCTCTCAATTGCAGCGATAGTCTGTGCCGTCACCAATGCGTCCCTGGTCTTGCCTTGCCTCTTTTCGTTTTGCTTTATTAAAAGCATCTCCTTCACGCGCTCGAGATTGTGCATCTTGTTGCCGTCGCCATCGTCCTCCACGCAGAACGAGGGATCAATGTCCTGGTAATACTCTAGCTGAAGAACAGGTACCGCCCAGATGCCTGACGGTAATACGAAGTCATACAGGTCGAAGATTGTGGGTGTCTGAATGCGCTGGTTGTCCTCGACAATTTGGCCATTGAGCGCCTCAAAGATCCGTCGTTTGACGCTTGGCATACGGCCTTGAGCAATCATGCACAACTCCATGGCAAAGTACTCCAAAATAATGCGCCTTAATATAAGGAATTGTGACAGAGCAGGGCAGCCGTCGGTCAGGGGGAAGTGGATGGCGGCTACCTGCTGGCCCTCCCACGGGATGTTAGGCTGGATGATGTTTTCGCGTAGAAGCAGGTGGAAGAAGAACTCATTGTCTCGTAGCTCCTCGATGACGAGCTTTGATGAGAGAGGCGAGCTCCATAGCACCTGAAGAATGCGCATGGCTTTGCATCGGATGGAAATAAGCCATGCTCTCATACCTTGACCATCCATACAAGGGAGGTCTAGCACGAGTCTCACTAGGCTGTGGAATAGTGACTTCCTGGTAGTGAATGCGTCATCAAGTCCTAGCGAATCGACGCCGCATTTGAATCCAAGAAGCAAATGAGCAATTGTTGGCCGATTTGGAGTCTCCTTCAAACACTTTAACAGAAAATCAAGCACGTAGCACTTGGTGATATAGCTTGGTGAGCCAGCCTCTCTACCGGGTTCCAGAGGAGACTGCAGTTCGGAGATGAAAGCTCTTGAGATGGATTCGTACTCGCCATTCGCTTCCATGGCCACGACAGCCTTGTTCCTGTGACCGGCTCTAGCTGAACCCGCCCACTCCGCTGTGATGCGAGAAGAAGACGACATCAGACCGAGAAGCCGCAGACACGCGAGTGTCAACTCTGGATGACCAATCCCGCAGTAATTGCCAAGATCTACCACAAAGCTCAGCCGAGTGACAAGCCCATCGTCAAAATACGAGTACGCGGCATTGGGGACGGGCTGTCGCTGATGATTGCTCTTCTTGATCAAAGGTCGCACCAAGTCCCGGTAGGTAGTTTCGAGGTCCATGACTTTAGAGATGAGCTCAACAGCCCGGAGGATGCCCAGAATGAGGGGCGAGTCAGGAGCAGCATTGCCAACTTCCAGTGCCTTTTGATGAATAATATTATAGAGGGCTGCCGTAATTTTGTCGTTGTACATCCACTCCATGACCCTGGCAAATGGATGCCTTATCACGTATGTTGCCAAGTCAGACGTTGCAATAGCAGAGTCAATGGCAAGGTTGGTAGTATTAGCCATGATGATCAGGTCTTCGTTGAATGTGGACAGGCAGGTCAGCATAAACTCGAGGCAGGTTAGCCTGAGAACTCGCGTCTGGTAAACATCCTGGAGATCCTGCGCCTTGCTAGCAAACACTTGCCCAATAACAAAATCAATGTAGGCCTCGATGCCAGAAAGTCGGGCAGATGCTCCAAGAGAGTCGCCGAACGGAAGAGAGTCATTAAGCGGACTGCTATCGACTGCAGGCGATACAAGTGCTAATAAGAGCTTCGTAAACGCCTGTGGTTCGTCGAACCCGTTGCTCATCTCATCCAAAATTCGATCCATTGAGACGACAGGCTGTACTTGCCCTTGCCGAAGGGATCCGGTGGCATGTGCGGGAGACTGGGCGTATTGCCCCGTACTCCAGTTGTCCAGACACAGCCACATAAGGTTGCTTTCCTCCAACGTCTTTCGCGTCAGCATAGCTGTCAGGGCCATGAATATACAGGCGCGTAGTCGCGATGGTATTTGGCTGCTAGCAAGGTCAAGCAGTTTGTCGACAACGGGGTAGTCAGGATTTCGTAGCAAAAACTGTCGCGCGATCTCACTCTCAGATGCAAGCTTAGTCATGAGGCGGAAATAACACTCCAGCATCATGGCAGACTCAGGCTCCGTCTCCACGACATCTGCATGTGGTTTCGTGTTCCGGTACCGTGTTGTTGGTGTGGCTGTTGGCTTCTGCTTGATCTTTTCTGAGAAGAACTCCAGCTCGCGGAAGATCTGCATCCAAGTCAGAGATTGAGTACGTCGCATCTTCCCAGAGGAATGATGGCCTTCATCGAGCAGAAAATCGTGGGCCGCTGTCGCACACTCGTCGTTCTCTGAGATTGCTTGCAGCATTTCGCAGAATGCAGCAACTAAAGGCGTCGATGCGCGCCGCGACGCCCAGTGCATAAATCCGGCCAAGTTGCTATCCGGATCTGCCCAAAACGCTGCTGCCGCATCGGCTCGGCGTTCGTAGACGTTTGCAATTATCAAGAGGAAGCGTTCCAGATCAAGGTCTTGCTCATGGACTTGACTAAGTTGGCGTTGCTCATCTTCTTCCACTCGTAGTTTTCGTAGAACATCGGGCATGTTGGTAATGAAAGCGTCAACGAACAGCTCCAACTGGCTCATGAGTCGAAACTGAAAATATTCAGAGAATTGGACAATGTCGGTAGCAAGCGGCGTTGATTTGCGCTGTAGCCATTTGCGCATGCCCACTCGGACAGGGTCATGCCAATCCGGTGTGCGGACGTCAGTTACAACCGTTAAAAGGAAATCAAACGCGCCGTCCTTTAATGCATCCATGAACACCTTCGATCTCTCGCGATCCCCATCGACTAGCTCAGGATCAGGTACGCTGGTCGGTTCGTCAGCCCAGTAGCCCGAGTACTCCGCCAACCACATTGCCTTGAATGCAGCCTGAAGGTAGGGCAGCGGCCAAGCGGAATCGTCGATAACAGCAAAGAGCTTAGAGTGAAGATCCGTTACACGCGCAAGATCCATTCCACTTTCCAACGAGCCGAAAGCGACAATATATGCACTAAGGGCTGGCAGCAGATGTACCAGAAGGCAATCGTATTTGTCAGATCGCTTCAGGACGTTGACGAAATTCATCAAGTCGGCAGTTTCAGCCTGCCTCTTGGAGGCAGCCCAGCAGAGAATCGTAGCCAACGATTCATGTTGTTGTATAAGACTGATGCGCGAAAACTCGATAGTTTCCATCTGCTCAGACATGGGTTGACCCATTGTTTGGGCGGCCGCGATTTTGTCGCCGAGCTTTTGTAGCCATGTTTTGATCTCGGCCATGGCAGTCATGTATCGAGGCACGTTGCGCTTTTGTCCTGTCGCGCCTGGTTGTAGCACTCGTGCTTCGACATATGCCTTGATACCATCGAGGGGGGTCGATTCTTCGGCGGTTTCGAGCGCGTAGATTTCGAAAAGAATTCGCAAGATGTCGAGCGCATACTTTCGCTGCTGGTGGAAACGAATGATGGCACATTCTAGAAGTGATCGGCCGAGTATTGAGGGGTCTTCCTCCGAGTCAAGGAGGAAACGAGCAGCATCAAGTTCATCAAGGTCGAGCTCGTCCGAGAGTGTTAACGCGTCTTGTTGGAAGATGTCATTGATAGAAAGCTCTAGGCCGTCGAGGACAATTTTTCCTACAAAAAGTTATAAAAATTTAGTCAAGGTGCCGGGGAAAGACGCATATGATACCGCGGCGTACCAGACTTGATCAATTTCCTGCTTTCTTCGCTCCGACAAGGGCGCTCCCACACTCGTCCGAGCTCGCGCTCAAAGTTTTCGACGAGGGCTTCATTGTCAACGCTGCTCGCATCGGCATCACTGCGCCCACTTTGCAAGGCGACAAGCTCTCCGTGAAACGCCTGCAGCGCATCCAATGTTGTGAGGTCGGCCATTGTGGCGGTCTTAATCCGTTCGCATGGTGGGATAGAACGCGCGACCAGTTGGCAGACCTTTGCGCCGTGCTGCGGGTTCACGCGAGGGTGCGCAAGAGGTTCCTAGAGTTGCAATAGGGAGTCACCCACAAGCTGAAAAATAGCAGATCCAATGCCGACTTTCGTTTTCGCTGTGAAGCTGTCGATGTATGTTGAGGTTGGACTTGGTAGGTTACCAGTAAACAAGTTCGCAGGCGGTGAGAATTCTGCCGTTGGCTGAGCTAGGGGAGCTTCAAGCTCCAGTGCCTTGTTGACTTTCTGGCACTGTCGCACCAAGCAGCTCGGGAGAGACTTCCACGCGCCCAACATTGCCACGTGTTGATACTAATATGCTCTGGAAAAAGGGTCATATGGGCTTTTCATTGTCAATCCCTGTGTATCAATGTTAGTCCACCGCGCCCTGACCGAGAGTGTATGCCTACCATTCACGACAAACGGAGGCAACAGCATTCAGCGTCGAGCAGCGTCCGCCGTTAAGGATATGCCTTGCTGTATCACGCATTGTAATGGCTTAATAACTCTATTACATGTTTCAGGAGCCCGAATTTTACTCCCCGAGTCCGAAAGTCTATTCCTACCAGCATGGCGGAGCTACTTGGCGTCAAAGAGTTAGCAGTAGTGGAAGTGAGGCCCGTACATGGAGGTACCGATCGCGAGGGACGACAGGGAGGAGATAGAATTGGGAAATACATCTCCCGCTAGAAAATCAAGAATTTAAGCAAATTGCAATCAATAATTATCACAGAGTGCATAACATGATCAAGACTATGGCGTCACGTGTGTGAGGCCTGGATTCGTCAACGGCTTACCAACGAACAGCAAAGCACCCTTGTCGCGCTCACGACGCTACACCCCTTGGTCTTGGTCAACACAGGTGCACTTTCGCCATGACCTCGGCGTATACGGTGAAAACAATTACAAGTTAGTGGCTATAAAGCGCTTTATCATTGAATGGAAAGCTGATACCTCAATGATGCAGTCGACCTCGCCGCTGGTCCAGTCAAAACACGCGATAAGGCCCTGGACGACCTGAACCAGCTGCTGAGCCGCAACAATGCCGCTGCCATTGACTTGTCCGAGCTGGGAGACAAGGCCTACCATGACATCTTTGAGGCTCTTTTCAAAACAGTTCTTGAGCAAAAACCGAAGTACTTTGACAAGAAGACCTCAAAACCCGCAGAGCTTCGCCTAAATAAATGCGCGAGAGCTGTGAGGGCAGCAGCAAGCCGAGGAGCCGCGAAGCTCAAACAAAAGACACTATCCGCAATCATCGATCACATCACCCAAGTTTTGCCGGGGCCCGGAGATGTATTTGTGCGCCCGCTTCTCAATGACTACGTCAAGGCTCTCACAGAGCTCCTCTCCCGTGCTGCCAACGTGGAGTACTTCTCACGCAAGGACGGCCGCCTCTGGCAGATATGCGTCGACTTCTTCCTTGACATCATTTCCAGTCGCATCCCGCAAAATGGCCCTGCTGATCAGAGTTTAATTGGCCGCAATTCGCCTGCTCCAGGCACGCCACGGTCGACCTTGCGCTCCAACTCAGGATCTCTCCTGAGCCAGAAGCCACCAGAGATCACAGATGGAGAGCCCGTCCGAGACGCTCTGGAAGGCCTTCTCTGCCTTGTGACCGCTCCAAATGCTCATGTTTTGAGCCGATACCAGGATATTGCCAGTGCGTCCTTGAGAGTGCTGCGCCTTCACAACCTGAGCCTTGGATCTCTGCAGACCATGAGTTTCGCCGTAGTCAACAACATTATATCAGCGACCCAGTTGGATAACCCGGCTTATACGGGTACTCTTGTTCAAGATCTTTTGCCATTGATGACTCACTGGTGGAGAGCAGACAGGGTATCGCAAGACGACACAATCAAGTCACTGCGGAACGAAATCCTCAGGACCATTCTGCTTTCCCAACTGCATATCGAGAATTTGGCTATCAATAAATGGACCGATGCTGTGAGGGAAGATGTCGTTTATCTATTGGAGCCTCTATGGCAGGAATACTCGAAACGAAGCTCCCACAACCAGCTCCAACTTCGCGACATCACATTCGTGACAAGTCTTCTCCCAAAAGACTATCTCCAAATCGGCATCTTTGGACTAAACCCGTTAAACACAGACTCTGAGAGTCAATGGGGTATTGTTCAGTGCATAGCATCTCTGGAAGCGATTTTAGGACGGCAAAAACCGCACGCAATTTCGTCGCAAAGAACTGAGCAGCCGCGAAAAAGGCGTCGAGTTGACCAAGCAAACAACCGTCTTCGAGCACGACTCAAAGATCGACAAACAGAGATTATGCATACCGCCCTCCAAGTCATACCTTTCATAGTGGCAACTACAGCCCTAGCCGACGACGAAGTCCAAGATTTGCTCCCTGAGCTCGTTGGCTTGACAACTCACAAGAATGCAAGTATAGCGTCTTGGGCTCTGGTGGCATGCTCGAGCTGTCTTCAACTCTCCAAGGCAACCAACGACATGGTCGAAGACTGGAAGCAGCTTTGGCAAGTGGCAACCAGAGCTATTAGCCTGCAAAGCACATGTCGCGCTGCTGGCCTGCTGATCCATACTATTCTGGAAACAGACGTCCTACCTCACCATTCTTTATCAGCAGATATAAACAGCATCGTCACAACAGCCGATGTGAACGGACCTGCAGTGTTATGTGACACGTCTATTGGTCTTATGCATCACCTTCTCCACCTCAGGAATACCATTTTACCAAGCGCAAGCCAAGCAACGTCCAACTACATTATACGATGGGCCTTGTCGCTCTGGAATCCCGCAGATTCTTCTGCGCCTTCATCGCAAAGCCAATCAGTGCAGCCAATCTACTTGGTCAACTTGTTACGAGCTTGCTGTGGGATGAAGCTAGCTGTTGCGAATATGACAGAGTCCGTCATTGGTGGTGTAGTCTGCGAGACGTGGAAGCTTCAACAGGACATTGGCCCGTTCAACGAGTACCTGCTTCTTCTGAACCATAAATCAGACGCCAGCCCCCTTGTTACTTGCGGCCACCAGCCTTCTGTAGAGTCAAATGGGACCACATCTGACTCGAACACCTACTTTCCGTCGAAGAAGCTCTTGTTGGAGTTGGTTTATCCCAAGTTTGAGGAACTCAGCGAACTATGCACGTCTTGGTCGAAGAAACCGAATGAGGGCGGCACTCAGATATCGCAGGAAAGATTCGAAAGTCTTTTGTCAGCCTCGATAGTCGGCGCGATGCTGCTGCCTGAAATCTCTTATCTCAACTCAAGCCAATCTGCTTTGGTAGAGAGTCTCATCATGAGCAACATCGAGAGGGGCATCACGCAGGCCCTTGCCTCCGTAGACGCAAATTCGTTCATCCAGCAAATTCTCCGCAACATCAGGCCGTGCATTCCAGACCTAGACCATGTTGGAATAGAGCGACTACATGGGGAAAACGAGGCTCTTCTGAGATTGCTGACACTCTCTTTTGATGCGCTGAGGAAGCACAACCTGCTCAAGGATTCGGCTGGCAGTTACGACATGATGGAGATTGATGACGAGTTCGAGTCTCAAGGCAGCCGGGGCCTAAACTTGACAGCGTCTATACCGCTTCCACGCTCCATCCATCAGGTATCTCTAAGCCCACCATGCTTTTACGCTGATACTCGTTGTCGCCTCAACTTCATAATTACGTCGCACCGTGAAGAAAGCCAAGTCGGTCTGGTGCCTGACGCATTCATTTACGAGCTGGTCAGAATGTCTGATGAAGAGCTGCTGTCGTGCTATCCTACCTTGACAGAGCTGTTTAGCTCTGATCTTGTCACCAACCCTGACGGAGCATTGACCATCATCCAGAGACTCGGCGAAATGGTTGGCAGCAATGAATACCGATGCTGCGAGGTGGCTCTTACCGCGTGCATTGAGGTGCTGCATGGGCTGTCTAGCATGTGGCTTAGCGACAGCGGGGAGTTGTCAAATAGCGTTGGCGATTTATACCACTACTTCATCCAAACTTGCCTCGATGCAAACTTCTTTTCGCCGCGAAGCTTGAAGGCATTGTCGACACTGCTCTTCACCCTGCTGAGACTCCAGCCAGGCTATGGTACGGGTCTGAAACTGGACTCTTGCCGAACATCGTTGCTGTTCATTCTCAGGGAAGGTTCCATGGCCGTCAAATACTATGTTGCGGAAAGAATTGCAGACTTGTTCGAGCTTTACATCCTCATGCTGCACGACGAAGTATTTGTCGATGTTCTTGGCAGCTTGCCGGCGGACCCGGAAAGCGAGGCAGGGATAGCATGTCGGTTACTGGTGCTCTCCAATCTAGCACAGAGATGGCCAACCCTGTTGCGACGCTGTACATATCACATCTTTGAGATTCCTGGAAAAATCTCGTCGGTATCAGAACACGCTCGTCGATGCATCGCAGATATATCTCGCTCTCTGGACCTGACATCGCCAAAGGAGCTCTTTGGTCTCTTCACTCGTCAGCTGCTCTATACCTGGATGGAGAGCGATTCGGTTGAGGACATCCCGTTTGCAATTTTTGGATTCGAGTCCCTGGGCGAGCTGTTGACCAGTGCGCAGTCCGATGCCATCGGGTTATCGACAATGAGGGGCCAGAATGCTGTTCGAAGCGAAATTGCAAGGCACATTGGCAAGACTGAGGTTGAGCTGCTTCAGGCCAACTTCGCCGCGGCCATCACGTATAGCACGGCCTTCACTGCTGCTTTTGATCCGTCAAGCAAAGACAATGGCGAGGCCAAGATCAAGAAGAAGATGGGAAGTAAGCTATTTACGGAAAGCATATACATCAGCTTCGTTGATATTGTCGCCTACTTCTTCGACATCATCGACCAGGAAGATGCCGTCGACAGAGTCTTTGCAAAGAGCGAGGAGCTAACATACGCTGCCAAGATTTACAAGGACATCACCAAGATAGCGCAGTCCGATACGAAGCTCCCGCCGAATCAGCAGCCCATGTTTCGTGCCAAATATGTCATCCATGAGCTGGCACGGTTGTGTCAAGGCACCGAGTTTTTGTTCAGCGAGCTTTGGACTCCCGCGTTGATCGTGTCCATTGCCAGGAAGCTGTTCAACACGGTTCATCCCGCCTTGGGATCTTTGCATGCTTGCTCTGTGTTGAGAAAAGTGCGGATTCTGATTTGTCTGGCGGGACCTGTCGCCCTCGAGTCTTACTGTTTGGAGATGCTGCTCAACTCTGTGCGGACCTTGATGACGGACTCGGAGTGTGCTGACGATGCCTTGGGAATCAGTCAATACTTACTGGAAAACGGGGCGCGTCATCTTCAGCAAACTCCCTCTTTCCTGGCAGGTTATTCTTTATCGGCCCTGGCTTCTCTCCGAGTTTTCCTCGAGTCCAGCCAATCCAGCACCACCCAGGAAAGCCAATTCAAGGCTACGATGAGTAAAGCCACCAAGTTCCACAAGTGGCTTGCGGCCTACCTGGATAATTACACGTCACCGGCGTTTAAAAATGAATCGCAAAAACTGTCATTCAAGTCCATCACGGGCTCAGCTGCCCATGTACGGTCGTCAGGCAATGCTGACCATAGCACCTGTGAGAGCAAGCTACTGCTTGACATTTTGCGGGATGGCAACGCGAAGCATGAGCTGCTCAACGAAGAGTCCCGAGAGTTGGCCATGGGACTCTTGTGCGGTGACTTCAGCATCCCCGAGTACATCAGCAACGATATGCTCAGCACAGACGGCGATGCAGTGCTGCATGCAAGTGCGGTATGGAAGAGTTGCAGCACAAAGGCTCTGAGCGCAAACTATTTGTCATGGGCAGGCAGAGTGGTTGGAAGAGCGTTTGCTGCATCTGGAGACATACCAGAAGGCATCGTTGCAGAGTCGGACATGGCAACTTACAGCAAAATCGCAGCCGGCCCTAACGGTTCCGAGATGGGCTTGTTGAGTCTGCTTCAGAGTCTCACTTCCAACAGTGACACATTGACGGCGGGTCTGGCTGAGTCTGTCTTGAGAGCGGCCATATCTAAAGCAGTGCTGCAGGAAGATGAACCGCTCCTCATAGCCTGCCAGAGAAGCTTGGCAGAGCCTTTGTATCTCACCTCGCAATGGTCACTCTACCGGTCACCGCCCTCCGAGAATGAGCAGTCACAGCCGAGCCAGGACGAGCAATCAATATGGGACAGCGACATCACCTCTGACAGATGGCTTTCTGATCTCGCAGTTTTGATGGCAAACTCGGTTCCGGACTCCATTCTACTGTCAGTGCTCTCCCCGGTCCTGTCCAAGGTCAAAGGATTCGCAGAGAAGGCGTTTCCGTTTATTGTCCACCTAGTTCTGCTGTTTCAGCTCGAGCAGCAACAGGTAATGAGGCGCTCCATTTCAACAGGTTTCAAGTCTTGGCTGCAAGTGAAAGTCGACTCGGCGCGACCCAGAATCGCGCTTCTGATAAACACGCTGCTCTATCTCCGCACACAAGAGTATCCAAAAGAGGGCTCGATAAGTGACCGGCTGCATTGGTTGGAGGTTGACTACTCGTTGGCAGCGGCTGCCGCAACGCACTGCGGCATGTACAAAACAGCACTCTTGTTTGCCGAGCTAGCATCTATTGAGACCGGTCGACAATCTAGACGTGCCTCTTCGGCCCGTGAGAGTGACCTCAGCTCGACGCTCCTGTCCATATTCGAAAACATTGACGACCCAGACGCATACTACGGATTGCCTGAAGAGGCCACCCTGTCAAAAGTGCTGTCGCGAATCACGTTTGAGAATGACGGGATGAAGAGCGTGGCTTTCCTCGGTGCGCAATTTGACAGTCACATTCGTCTGCGGAACGGCTCTAGCACGGTCGATGCCCAGGCTCTTGTTGGCGCCTTGAGTTCGCTTGGGTTGTCCGGGCTGTCCCATTCGCTGCAGCAGACGCACCAAACCATCGATACCTCGCCTGCTGCTACAGAAAATACATTCAAGGCTGCGCAAAGGTTGGAAATGTGGAATTTACCGGCGCCAAAGGACAGCGATAGTTTCGCAGTGACAACCTACAAGGCATACCAAGCCATACACAACGCAACCGAGGTTGCATCTGTCCGAAAGGTCGTGTATGAAGGTTTTGCCAAGACTATAGGCAGTGTCACTGGAAACAACAGGCCTACCATATCTATGCTCAGAAATAAGCTGGGCACTCTTGCTGCTTTGAGCGAACTGGACGATCTGATGAGTATTTCACGCGGCGATGGGCTGAGCAATACCCTTGACGTATTCCAATCGCGCGGTGATTGGATGAAACGCGGACGATTTGACGACATAAGCAACATCTTGTCATGCCGAGGCACGACAATGAGTATGCTGAGTCAACACTCCAACATCCTTCAAGAAGCCAGTCTATCGACTTCTGCGATGCGAAAAGCAGAGGTGCAGTCGCTTTTAATGTCGTCTGAGCTATATAGGTTCCACGAAGCCACACAGGAATCTCTCAATATCGCCACATCGCTCTCCAATCTGATCCCTGCTTGCCGCGACTTGGATCTGCATGTTGACGCATCCGTTAACATCGAGGTGGCCAACGCGTTGTGGGATCAAGGAGAGATGAGCACTGCAATACAGATGCTACAAACCATCGACACGGACTCGGTTCTGAACAGACAGGCAATTCCCGTCACCAGAGCAGATTTGCTTGCCAAGATTGGAGACAGGTTGTCTATTGCCCGACGGGAGAAGCCCCGCGACATTCAGAAGAAATATCTTGAACCAGCCCTCAAGGAGATTGGCAGCGCAAATTATGGCACGGAAGCCGGCCTCGTGTTTCATCAATTTGCACTGTTCTGCGACGGACAGCTTCAAGACGCCGATGGACTTGAGGATCTGGAGAGGCTGCAAAATTTGCGAAAGGCGAAGAGCGACGAGGTTTCAGAGTTGAAGGAGCTCATTGCGTCGACAAAGGAGAGCCAACTTCGCAAACGATACGACTATGTGCTGTCCAAGGAGAAGCAGTGGCTGGAACTGGACGAGCAGGAGCTGCGGCGTGTCGAACAAACCAGAAGCGAATTCGTTCGACTGAGTGTGGAAAACTATCTTCTCTCGCTCATTGCTTCCGATGCTCATAACAATGACGCGCTACGTTTCACAGCACTATGGCTAGAGAGGTCCGCGGAAGAAGGGACGAATAAGGCCGTCGCTCGCTATCTTCCCAAGGTTCCAACGCGCAAGTTTGCAAGTCTCATGAACCAGCTCACATCACGATTACAACACAGTGATTCTGCTTTCCAAAAACTCCTCATCGAGTTGGTGTACAACATCTGTGTCGACCACCCATACCATGGAATGTATCAAATCTGGTCCGGCACAAAGGTGAGGGTGCAGTCCAAGGACGAGGTAGCCGTCCAGCGAGTCAAGGCCACAGACAAGGTCGCGCAGAGACTGGCGGCTACGAAGGCCGTTGCCAACATCTGGCTGTCCATTGAAAAGACAAGCAAGTATTACCACGGCTTGGCAGTGGACAGAGATGCCAACAAGTACAAGGCAGGGGCCAAGTTCCCTCTGAAGGATTCCCAGGCTGGTTTGAACATGGTCATAGGGCTGGCCAAGTATCATATTCCACCACCCACTATGCATGTCGAGATCCGCGCCAACAAGGACTACTCGACGGTCCCGACGATTGCCAAGCTGGAGCCGTCCATGACCATTGCGGGCGGTGTCAGTGCCCCCAAGATCATCACTGCTATTGGCACGGATGGTAAAAAGTACAAACAGCTTGTCAAGGGAGGCCATGACGATCTGCGCCAGGACGCCATCATGGAGCAGGTATTTGCTGCCGTGTCCTCGCTGCTCAAGCATCACCGCTCCGCGCAGCAACGCAACCTCGGCATCCGAACGTACAAGGTGCTCCCGCTGACAGCCACGTCGGGTCTCATCGAGTTTGTCCCGAATACGATACCACTGCACGAGTTCCTCATGCCTGCGCACGAGAGATATTACCCTAAGGACCTGAAAGGCTCACAGTGTCGCAAGGAGATTTTCAACGTGCAAAACAGGAACATGGAGACGCGCATCAGCACCTACCGAAAAGTAACGGACCGCTTCCACCCTGTCATGAAGTACTTCTTTATGGAGTACTTTGAGGATCCAGACGAATGGTACGCGAAGCGGCTGGCCTACACCAGAACCACGGCCGCGATTTCCATGCTCGGCCACGTTCTCGGCCTTGGCGATCGGCACGGCCACAACATCTTACTGGACACGAAAACAGGCGAGGTCGTGCACATTGACCTGGGCGTGGCGTTTGAAGCAGGCCGCATCCTACCCGTGCCCGAGCTCGTGCCGTTCCGCCTAACACGCGACATCGTCGACGGCATGGGCATCAGCAAGACGGAGGGCGTCTTCCGGCGCTGCTGCGAGTTCACCCTGGACGCGCTGCGCGACGAACAGTACTCCATCATGACGATCCTGGACGTGCTGCGCTACGATCCGCTGTACACGTGGTCCATCTCGCCGCTGCGGCTGGCGAAGCTGCAAAAGGCGCGGGACAACCAGGACGAAAACGAGCCGCCGACGGCCGACGACGCGGAGGACGGGGGCGAGAAGCAAGGCCGAGGCAACAAGAGCGGCGGGGGTCGGGCGAATGGCGAGCGCAAGACGGCGGGCAAGAACGTGAACGAGCCGTCGGAGGCGGACCGCGCCTTGGAGGTTGTTAGGAAGAAGCTTTCAAAGGCACTGAGCGTGACGGCGACGGTCAACGACTTGATCAACCAGGCGACGGATGAGAGAAATCTGGCTGTGCTGTACTCGGGATGGGCAGCGTATGCTTAGCTACTCGGTCCGTGCTGGGTTTATTTTTAGAATAATTATTTGGCTACATTGAGCGTCCTTTTTCTTCCTTCACCACTTGTCTGTCTGCGCTTCCGCCTTGTCTTGCACACGCAGAGATGGATAGTTTTCTCGTGACCACCTCTACGTCGAATGGAAAAGAAATCGAGAAGATTGCCCCAAAGTAGATTCTGCAATGTAGCATAAAAGTCGGTTTTTCACGGAGTCTATCCGTACCCTTTGAAACGTCGTTATGCTGGTTTCTTACGGCCTCGAAAGTACACCCCAATCATCATCTATCATTTTCCGCCGTCAACTCTGCCATCAACCCACCCTTGTCCCTGCGCTTCGCGTCCTCCGCCAGCTTCCTGTCCACCACATCCGAAAACTCCTTCGTCTTGTCCAGCGCCATCTGCGCGCACCGCACAAACAGCTGCGCGTCCACCGCGTCATCCCCCAGCTTCGAGATCTGGCAAATCTCCCCGTGCCTGTTCATGCTAAACGTGCAGCTGCTCCTCCGCAGCTGCTCCTCCAACCACGTCGCGTCCAGCAGCACCTTGGCCTCCTCCCCCTCCTCCTCCCCCTCGCCACCGAAGAAGCTAAACGTCACGCAGAACGGCGAGTGCAGCCAGCTGAGCGGCACCGGCTCGCGCTCCGCCGACGTGTACACGGTCAGCGCGCCGCCCTCCATCGTCGTCTCCGGCCGGCGAAAGTGCCGCAGCGCCGCGACGGCCGCCAGGCACGCGGCGTCGAGCAGGTTGCCGTCGTGCACGAGCACGTGCAGGTCCACGCGCACCGACCAGCACTTTTGCCCGGCGACCAGGCACAGCGACTCGGTGTCGAGCGCGCCGGAGCGCCGGATGGTCTTCTCGAGGAGCCGCGCGAGGAGCACCTCGGCCTCGGCGGGGCGGTTCACCTCGAAGGAGGGCGCGACCATGGGGCCCAGCTCCGAGGCGATGGTGAAGATGCCGTCAAACGGCCGGTCGGAGAACGGGACCGTGACTTCTGCGGAGACTTTGGCCAGGACTCTGATGGCGAGTTAGTAAGGAAACTGGGAGGTCTTGTAGGAGGATATGTGAGGAAACACACTTTGTCTTGCCGAATTGCACTTCAGCAATGCCATACTCGTCGCCGAATGTAAGCTTTAGTGACCTATATTGTTCAAACTTGCGGTTGTCTAGACGCAGCCCCTCGGCTAGTGCCTGTATGACAAAGGTCTTTTCGCTCAATGACGGCTCCGCTTCTCGTGGCATTTTGAATAAATTTATGAATTTTAACAAGAATCCTCTTCAGAATTTCTTGTCAGTTGCAAGGACTTGGAGGTGGTTGAACAGGCATAGGTCTTGCAAAGAGCAAATTCTGCCGGGCGGTGGGCACTTTTTTGCCTGTTTGTACGCGGTCGCCTAGCCGTATTCGACGGCTCAAGACCAAACGGCGACATCATCCAACCTCTTTTCTATCTCGTCTTTTTCCATCGCCCTGCTTTAATACCTGCGCAATATAAAAGACACACACCATGACTACAGCCCATAGACCTACCTTTGATCCGGTAATACCTACTCCCCACCCCTTATCAAGATCACCGGCCAATTCTAACCTCTCCACTCCCGCGGCAGGCCCGTGGCAAGGACGCCCTCCGCGGCCCGGCCTACCACCAGCGCCTCCTCCCCGCGCACACGCAGCTCAAGTACCGCCGCGCCGGCCAGGGCGGCGCCGCCGACGACGGCGACGACGACGACAGCTCGCACGACCTGGCCACCCAGCTCCTCGCCGCCGAGGCGGCCCACTTCGCCAAGAAGAAGGGCACCGGCGCGCCGCTGGCCATCGAGGACGGCGAGAAGACGGCGGCCGGCGACGCCGCTGCGAAGAGGTCGCTGCCTGCGAGCGGCGAGGCCGAGGAGGAGGACATGCATGCGAAGCGGCGGCGGATATTAGAGGAGACGAGGGACATTGACGCCGACGACAGCGACGAGGAAGAGGACGACGACGATGACAGCGACGACAGCGACGATGAGGACGCGGAGCTGCAGCGGGAGTTGGAGCGCGTGCGGCGGGAGCGCGAGGAGAAGAAGAAGCAAGAGGTGAGCGTTTCGGGGGTGGAAGCGGGCGCAGACCCACGGTGTTGAGGGGATGTTTGCTGATTCAGTGTTGCAGGAACTCGCGCGCGTAAAGGAGGAGGAGGATGCGCGGGAACGCAATATTGCGCTGGGCAACCCGCTGCTCAACAAGCAGGACTTTACGATGAAGAGGCGCTGGGACGACGACGTCGTCTTCAAGAACCAGGCGCGCGGGACGGAGGACAAGGGCAAGAACAAGGGGTTTGTGAATGTGAGTCTACTCTTTACTCCTTGTGACCCTGCTGCCAGATACTAACAGCCTTGCAGGATGCGCTGCGCTCGGACTTCCATAGACGATTCATGAGCAAATACGTTAGATGAGAGCAAGCCAAGGTAAACCGAGCCTTGTGTATGATTAATAGAATCCAACTTGAGACACCTCCCACAGCCCACTCAAGTGACGAAATACCCTCCCTCCTCACCCCTCCTCGTCCGCCAGCAGCCTCCGTTCCATCTCCTCAAACGCACCCAGCACGTTCCCGTACGCCTCGTACGCGCCCTCGCGGTACCCCTCGTCCACCTCCTCCACCGCACCGTCCTCCCGCCAGCGCTCCGCCAGCACCTCATCCACCGTCTGCCCGTCGCGCCGCTCCAGAGCCCACAGGGCCTTGTGCGCGCCGCCCCGCGCGCACGCGTCGCCGCCCGCCTAGCGCCTGCGACTCGACAATCAGCCGGGCGTCGGTGGCGGCAGGCCACGCCTCCGCGACGCGCAGGTCGCTCCCGTCGGCGGCCGCGCAGGTGAAGCGCCACGTGCCGGCGCGCAGGTTCGGCACCGTCTCGCGGAGGTCAAAGTACAACCCCATCTTTGCGCGACCCCCCTGGATGTCCAGCGGCGGCGTCTCCGCGATGGCTCTGTCAAACGCCGCCCAGCTCCCGTCCGCGGCGCCGGGCAGGTCGTCGCGGACGCGCTCGCGCGCCAGCCCGCCGTTCTTGTAGCACAGCATGAACATGTAGTGCCCGGGGGTGGTCGGGTGGTTGAAGTAGTGGTGGTCGGCGTCCGGCGCGGCCGTCTCGGTGTGCATCAGGAAGGTGGTGGAGGTGCCGAGGGAGATGATGGCGTCGCCGGGCCGCAGCGGCAGCGCGAGCAGCGTGGCGGGATTGTCCCCGGTGAAGGGCAGCACCTGGCAGTCGGCGCGGAGGCCGTGTCGCGCGGCAAAGTACCCGGCGACCGGCCCGAGCGGCCGCGCGGCGTCCAGGCACGGCTCGCCGAGCATCGCGCGGAGGCGCGAGGCGGCGACGGAGTCACCGGCGGCGAGGGAGAGCAGATCCGGGTGCCAGCGGGCGGAGGACATGTCCCACAGGTTCATGCCGCAGGCGTCGCTGGCATCGATGGGCGCGATGCGCCCGAGGAGCACGGAGGCGAGCCACGAGGAGACGAGCGAGATGCGCGCGGTCCTAGCGTAGACGTCCGGGTGCACGCGGCGGAGGCGCATAATCTGCGGTCCGGTGAATCTCTGCCACAAAGTCTGTCAGCACCATGTTCATCATCTCTCTCTCTCTTTCTCTCTCTCTCTCTTTCTCTCTCTCTCTCTCTCTCTCTCTCTCTCTCTCTCCGTCACACACACCTCTGCCGGTCAACGTACATGGTGCGCGCCGCTACCCGTCACCTCCGCCAGCCGGTCCCGCCCGCCCAGCGCCCCGTCGAACGCGTCGCACTCGGCCTGCGTGCTGTGGTCCTGCCAGTTGGGCGACCACGGGTGCGCGAGCACATCCTCCCCGGCGAGCTGCGTGACCAAGGGGCGGGCCGGGTCCAGTGTGGCGAGCGCGCGCGCGGCGTCGGCGGCCCAGTACACGCTGCCGTGCTGCTGGCCGGCGCCGGAGACGCCGCGCACGCGGTGCAGGGACGCGCCGGCGGTGGTTAGACGGTGGAGGACCAGGTCGAGCGACTCGAGCCACAGCGCGACGGGCGCGTAGACCTCACCCGTGGAAGGGCGGGTGCGGACGCCTTTGGTGATGCCGTAGGAGGGGCCAAAGTCGGCGTCAAAGTCGACGTGTGCCCTTGCGACGGCCTTGAGGTCGGGTCCCACGATAATTGCTAGCAGATGTGAGCAGGGGTTTCGCTCAGAGATGGTCAAGGTGAATCGGAGAAGGGAGGTGGGGATACCTTTGAGCTGCTGTGTAGATAGATCAAGGCCCAGGTAGAGAGGGCCGTCGTCGGCGGCGACCATGGCGGCGGTGCTTGCTCTTGTCTGGGGTAGGTATAATATATGTTCAGGCGGTATGAGAGGTGGTTCTTAAGATGTACAACTTCGTACGTAGACGATAGACTTTGGTGTTCAGTATTGCGTATGAAGCATGTGTACGCGGGAGGTTGTATATGCGCCAACTTGCAAACGGCAGACCTGGGATGGGCTTGAAAACTGGAGCTTGATGACTTCGGTGTGCAGCATCTACTGACAGGATGTGCGTCTGTCCACACTCGGTATCCAAAGCAATGGGCAAGCCGTTTTTGAGATGCAATTGGCAACTTTTTAGTCTTTTGTGACCACAGACGAGTTGTTATATGCTCCAAACCAGGACCCCGACCTCGCAAGTCAAGAGTGGTGGCTGCTCTCCTCAAGCTCGTCCCCCCACCTCGCTCTCAGCGATGCCCCTCCAAGCGGCGTTATAGCAGCGCCAATGAGGTCATGGCGCTTATAGGGTAGATGGGGGGTGACCTTGGTGTCTCACCATGCGATCAACGGAGGGCGTTGGCTTTTTTTTTTCCTTTTTTTTTTCTAGAAGCAGTAGGGTAATGGCTATACGCTCATGTATTTTAATTCTGTGTTTCCAACTCGGAGATTTCAACTGTCAGGGGTCATTTGGCATGCGCCCGTAAGGTTCCATAAAACAGGCATTGGTCTTAAACTGGACAACACATTGGACAACAACCTGGACAACAACCTGGACAATGGCAAAAACACACCAAGTAAGCTAGCGGCATTGCGACGGAATAAAAACATGTTCTTATTTTTTTCATGCATCATCACGCAGCGGGATACTCAATCTGTGCGCCCTCCCTCCTGTTGAACCTGCTCGTGTGACGTCCTGTCACTGCAGTGCGAGTCGCACGACATGAAATATACCGAGACAAAACAGAGCCCTGTACCCATATATTCAACGGTAGCCAAAAATTTTCGTCTATATTACATCGTGTATATGATTCTAATGCTTGTGGTCGTGCTCCTCCTTGGAGCCATTCTCATGCTTGTGGCCTTCGGGATCCGCATCGAGGTTGGTGTAGACAAACTCGTCAAACTTGGCATTGACCGCCGCGTCCTTGGAGACGAAGCGAACGCGCACCCGGCGCACGCCGCGGACACGTGCGCCCACCTCGGTCCGGACGGCATTCTCCACGTCGGCAAGGTCGCTGACGGTCCAGACCGCGGGGACGGCCATCTCGAGGTCGACAAGGTAGTTCTGGCCCGACTTGACGCCGCTGACGTCGCGCAGCTCGACCTCGTGGCCGTCGTTGACGTTGACAAGGGCACCTTGGGTCTGTTTGCGGATGCTGCTCTTGACGTCAGCGTCAATGGTCTGATCGATGAGCTCGTAGAGGGCCGACTTGGTGTTGTCGAAACCGGCGTGGATGACCATGATGGAAATGAGCAGGCCGCCGACGGGATCCAGCCATGCAGCGTTTTCAATAACGTTTGCGCCGATGATGGCGGCCATGGTGACGATTCCCGTGAGGCTGTCGACGCGGTGGTGGACCGCATTGGACGCGAGGACAGAAGATTTGCGTTCGCGCGCCACCTTCATAGCTGCAATGTGTTAGATGTCTTAATTTCGCGTCGTTGTGAAGGACGATTGCTTACTCGCGTGATAAAGCCACTCCTTGACGAGGATGGTTCCGGCGGCCAGCCAAGCAGCGTGAACGCTGGGGATGCCGAGATCCGCAGCGCTGTGAGAGTGACTGTGTCCATGGCCATGGCCGACGTGCTCGAGAATGTCGTGGGCTGTTTCGGGGTTGAAGTGGGCGAGCAGACTAATGCCGCTATCCCATCCCATGTAGACGCCACCGACCAGTAGCATGCCCGAAACGCCAAGTGATCCAAGGCTCTCCACCTTGCCGAAGCCCAGCGGGAAGCGATCAGAGGGCGGTTTTATGCTCCAGGAGACGGTGGCGAGGGTGAGAATGTCCGAGGCCATGTCGGCGATGCTGTGCCACGCGTCGGCGACCATGGCCTTCGAGTTGAAGGCCCAGCCGCCGATAAACTTGGCGACGGCCATGAGCAGGTTGGAGAGGAGGCCGATGCGAGTGATGCGGACGCCGGGATCGTTCTTGTTGGCGGAGACGAGGTAGGAGTTGTCGTGGTTGTGGTGGGAGTGGCCACCATGGCTATGGCTGTGGCCCATGGCGACGACGAGCTTGCGCAAGCGACGGCGCGTAAGGGTCGGGGCGAGATGGAGGACGGCCGAGGAGAGCGCGGAGGGGAGTTGGGAGGCGGTCGAGTATACGTGGTAGGCGCGGAGGTGAGATTTTGGCAAGGATGAAGGAGGGAGACGAGGAAAAAAAGAGCGACGAGAGGGAGACGCGGGGAAGCGGGATGACTGGGGGATCTCAAGGGAGTCAATGAAGCCAGACTGGTATGGTGGTATTCGTAATGCATGTATGGATAGCGTCGAGCGCGGAACGGATGAGCTTGGACCTCCACAGCGGGTGGTGATTGCGATGGCGCGGGACGGCAGGCCAATCAGAGGGCGGGGAATAGCGATGGATGCGTTGGAATTGATTGAGCTGCTGGGACTGGGGCCACTGGAACCACTGGAACTGGAACCGCTGGAACCGGGACCGGGACTGGGAATGGCGCTGAAGCTGGAGGCTCCCACAGTGGCTCCTCCAGTGCTGGGGGCACAGGTCATAGCAGCGACGGCCATGGCGGATGGCGTCACCGAGAGACACCAGGTTACCGCCAGGCGGCCAGAGCGACGTGCCTGGCGCGACATGGCGGCGACGGCGGGGGAGCTGTACAAGGTGGAGGAGGTGGAGGAGGTGGAGGAGGAGGAAGACGCGGATGTTTGCGTGGCGACCGAGGCAGTGCCATGTACAATGATGCAGGTGTATGTGTTGATGGAGAGGCGCGGCGGCCGCGAGGACAGGCAGTGATGGCGTGGCAAGACGTGGCGAGGCGTGGCGTTTGGCGGTTACAGCGTAATCATGAAACAATCATTGGTGATGGACAGATGACATCGTGAGTAGCGGGGGAATTGCTCAAGGTTCGACAGTCGAAGGCGGCAGGAGCAACAGCAGCGCAAACACCGTCGTCTTGGTATCATGCACAGCACCTGCAGTTGTCGTTCGCGCTCGGGGTTTGCAGGTTCCGGGTGGGCAGATTCGGAATGGCGGGAGAGGTGCTGTAGGTGCCAAGGTTGCAGCGGCGGTGGTCCAGAAGGAAAAGTCGGAATGAGAAAAGGCAAGGAAGAGGAAGAGGAAGAGGAGAAGAGAAGAAAAGAAAAGAGAAGAAAAGATGGGTAGAAGAAGAGGCAAGGTTGAGAGCGGAAAGGAAGCAAAATGTACCGCTTTTGCTCCGGCTGGCACGAGCCCGTCCCATCACGTTGGTTTGGTTTGTGGCCTGACGGAGACCGAACATCGCCGCGACGTGAAGCCTCCACAGCGCAGCGAGTCGGGTAACAGGTAACATACGCGGTGTACATGTGTGTGTGTGTGTGTGATTCAGCGCTTTACAGGCGGGCAGGATAAAATCTGCTCTTTCTTGCTTTTTTATTTAATTTCAAGTCTATTTTAAACCATGTATTTTCCGTCCTCCTCATTTAGTTTTCCGTGTTTGCATCCTGTCAGTCAATGTGTCCAAGGTTGAGTCCGTCCATCATGGTCTGATGCACACGTCAGGAAATATTCTGTTTTTTTCTCTTTCATTTATTACATGCTATTTACCTTGATTCTCCTATTGGCTTCCAACTAAATCCTCGGCCATTTCTAGCTACACAACAGAAAGTTACTTTGTGTACACAGGTACCACGTTGTACAGACCTCGCCAGCATACAGTGGCTTACCATGACTTGCCATGATTTCTACAGCACGTTTCGGTGGTTCACGCCACTGACTCTCCCACTGTGGGCCCCTGCACCTCATGCGGAGAAGCCCTCGACCCGAAATCTTATCAGCAATTGTCATCCATCTAATCTCATCTCAACTCGCCAGTGACCAGAAAACCATCCCACTACAGAAAAATGAACACCAGTCAATTACATGCCATACACCCCCGAGATCTCGATTGGCATATTCCTTAATCTAGCCGCATCTTTTTACGTTTGCCGAGCTCGGCCTCGTTTCCTTTTCTTCCCCACGTCACATAAAACCAACTACGTCACTCTCCCCAACCCACCGCTCTCGACACCCACCTCAACCCACTGCCGCTCCCTCATCTCCCCCAATCGCTCACCACCTGCAGTCGCAAACCAACCACCCTCACCCCTGCTCACATGCCGAAACCACTCCTGCGGATTCCCTACACGGAAATCCTCGCAGCTCCGACCGTCGCGCCCCCGTCCGCCACCTCCGTCCCCGGCGCCGTCGCCGCCCTCCGTCGCTTCTTCGCCGCGCCGCTGCCCGACCCCTCCCGCGCCCCCAAGACCCTCGTCCTCACCGGCGCCGGCCTCTCCGTCGCCTCGGGCCTCCCCGACTACCGCGGCGTCAACGGCACCTACCGCGTCAACAAGACCTACCGCCCCATCTTCCACCACGAGTTCCTCGCCAGCCACGAGGCCCGCAAGCGCTACTGGGCGCGCAGCTTCCTCGGCTGGTCCGCCACCCACGGCGCCGCCCCCAACGCCGCCCACTATGCCGTCCGCGACATGGGCCGCCTCGGCCTGCTCAGCGCCGTCGTCACCCAGAACGTCGACTCCTTCCACACCAGGGCCCACCCCGAGATGCCGACCATCGAGCTGCACGGCTACCTCCGCACCGTCGTCTGCACCGGCTGCCGGTCCGAGCTCGACCGCAACGAGTTCCAGAGGGAGCTGGCGCGCCTGAACCCGCGCTGGGACGCGTTTCTGCAGGAGGCGCTGCGGACGGGCGCGCTGGGCTCCGAGGACCCGGCGCAGCGCGCCCGCCGCGGCATCAAGACCAACCCCGACGGCGACGTCGACCTCCCGGACGCGCCATACACGACCTTCCGGTACCCGCCGTGCCCCAGATGTCTGACAGAGCCGCCGCTCAACAGCGACTCGCACCGCTCAGTTGTCGAAACGGACGCCGACGGCGCGTGGGCGGCGCCGAGCACTGGCGGCATCCTCAAGCCCAACGTGGTCATGTTCGGTGAGAGCATCGCCGCCGCGGTCCGGGACGCCGCCGAGGAGGCCGTCAACTCCGCCGACCGGCTGCTCGTCATGGGCACCTCGCTGGCCACCTACTCGGCGTGGCGCCTCGCGCGGCAGGCCAAGGCGCGCCGCATGCCCATCGCCGTGGTCAACGCGGGCGGCGTCCGCGGCGAGGACCACTTCTTCGCCGACCTCGACCCGCACCAGCGTGGCGAGCTGGGCGTGCGGACGGAGGTGATGACGGAGGAACTGCTGCCTGCTCTCATGGAGGAGCTGCGCAAGGATGCGGCTCAGCATCATCACCACGAGGCTGCGCCAGATGTACAAAGACAAAACTCCGATGTATTCAAAGATATGCTCTCGTAAAAGGGACTGTTGTACAGTATAATATACACCCATATAGACTATGCATTTATAAAACAAGAGAACTTCTTCCACGTCACCGCGCTAAAAGAAGCTGCCAAATCCTGTGCTCTTCGTTGACTTTTGTTCCGCGCTTGGCTGCGGGGTGGCGGCCGGTGTTGTCGGCTGTGGTGCGGCTGCGCTCTTCGGTTTCGGTGCGTCCTTCGGCGTCGACTTCTTCATCGCCTCTTCTCGCTCAATCGCCTGCAGCACTAATGAAAACGTCAGCATTCCCCCCATCCCGCCTCGCACCAAGGGCGACAACTCACCCTCTTCCCAGTCCGCCTCGCGCTGCGGCTCGCCCGTGCCCAGCACCTTCTCCACGTCGACGTCCTCGCCGGCCTGTACGCGCTCCACGACCTCGCGCAGGCGCTGCAGGCGCACGCTCGCCTGCCGCATGTGGCGGCCGGTCTGGTTGCGCAGCGCGATCATCTGGATCGACATGGACCCGACGAACAGGAACATGACGATGAAGTACGTGGCCGGATTCCACGGCCGCGCCTGGCCCTTGCGCCGCGCGGGGCGGTTCTCCCGCCGCAGCGGCTTCGGGATCAGCGACTTCCAGAAGCCGCGGTCCGTGACGGTCGGGTATGCGGCGCTGCTGCTGCTGCTGCTGCTGCTGTACGGTCGCAGGCTCGGCGTGGGAGGGACACTGCGCTGCGCCGGGAGGACGGCCCTGCACAGCGGCAGAGTGGTGGTGATTGGCGTGGCCGCCGTCGCGCGGGCCGCTAGCCGTTGCAGAATCATGCTGAATCAAGGCTTCAAATTTTGCTGGCGAGGAATTTTATGCGCAACCCCTTTTTCCTGTATCTCGGTCGTCGTTCGGTCGTCGTCAGTCTCAGTTCTGTCGGTCACTAACTCGAACATTTTCTGCGCTACAGGCACCTGTTCAGACAGCACCAAACCGGTTGCCCCAGACAACGCCCGATGTTTAACCCCACACAACGGATGAGCACTAGCATCTCAGTACTAAGCTATCAAGAGCTTGCAGCAGCTGCAATCTTTAATTGCCTTGAAGCCCTACACAAATTCGATATCGGCCTTTGGGTAAAGAGTGAGCGGCTACTATTGCGACCGTCAGTTTTGCATTTGGAGTTGTTCTTTTCATTCTTCTTGATTTTTGCTTGTTGCTTGCAAATACCCGGGACGACATGCCTACCACCGCATTCACATAATACATAGACACACAACCACCACCATGCCTTCATTACAAGACAAGGTCAGCGCGGTAAAAACCGCCGTGCTGAGCACAGAAACATGTACCCCGGCCACCGTGGTCACGATCAAGGAGCTTCTCCTACCAGATGCCGACTCTGCCTCGACCGCCGCGTCCAAGACGAAAGCCGCCTCCGCGCGTACCACAACAAAGCCGGCCGGCCGAGCCAGGGCCGCCACGACAACGACGCCGACCGAGCAACTGAGCGCCAAGGAGAAGACGGCGCTGGCGACTCACGTCATCAACGCCACCATCAAGGCCCTCACCGACGCCGCGAAGCCATCCCTACAGCCTGCCGCGGCGCCCGCGAAGCCAACCGAGGGCGAGCCGCGCCCGACGACCGGCAAACGCACACTCCGACGGTCCCTCTCGGCACCGCTGTCGCCCATCCAGCCGCGCACGCTCAACCGCGTGGCCACGTCGCCCACCGTCGTCGCCAAGGCGTCATCCAAGCAAGCCGCCAGCAGCCCGTCCACGGGATGCCTGGCGACGGCGGAGTGCGCGCGCGTGGCGTTTGCGTGCCTGCGCGGCCTCAAGGGCCCGCCGTCGCGCGACCAGGCAGACCTGCAGCTGGAGAACGGCATGGCCGCGCTGGTCGGCAAGCTGATCGGCCTGGGGATGAACGAGCTGGCGCTCAAGGAGCTGCGCGTGCTGCACCGACGACTCGACGTGGCGGCCAAGCCCGACGCCGGGAAGGCGAAGACGACGGCGGCGGCGGCGGCGGTGGCGGGGGAGTTTCCGACGACCATCTCGGATCTTCTCAGCTTCAGCACGCCGGTCGCGCCGCACTTTCTGGCGGCGGTCACGACGTGTCAGGTTCAGCTGCTGAGGCTCATCGCGTCGTCGAAGAAGCCGGAGCACATCGAGGCCGCGCTGCCTCACCTCTGCGATGCCAAGGCGAGCTCCCCGGTGAAGCTGCTCTCCGCCCTCGCCAAGACGGGTGGCAAGGAGGCTTCCAAGGCGGCGCGTCAGCTGGCCTCGCTATCGCAGCTGGTCCTGTCGCTCGCGCCGAGCGTGTCCAGCCAGGAAGACGCGGCCGCCATGGAACCGCGTGTGAGCCCCTCTCCGCTTGTGGCCTTTGAGCTGCAGACGCTGGCGTTTACCTGCCAGCTTAGGTGGTGGAGAATCGGGGGTCACTCTGGGAAGCTTGACGAGGAGCTTCTGTCGCCGCTGTCGCGTTGCCTTCGCGCTTTGGCCCGGCGGTTCACGTCGAATGACGCCTTGCTTTATAAAACCATGGCAGCCTCGGTAGATGGACTGCTGCAGCTGGCTAAGTCCTGCGGGTATGCTCCGACACTCTCTCCGACCGCGCCCATCTCGGCCATTTACCAAATACTGGGAACCTCGGCATACGCGGCGAAGAAATATGACGAAGCTTCTCAATGTTTCCAAGACTTGCGGTCGACCATTCATTCACCTCCAGAAGCAATGGTGCGGTATGCCTCGATCTGCGCTTGGCTTCTTGCTGCCGTGCTCAAAAGGACAAAAACTGTCGAGGAAACCGAACAGCTCGCGCAATCGGTGCTGGACAGCCTGGATGGAAGCCTGAGTGGTACTGTTTCGGAACTTAATGAGCTTCTTGACAGCCTGTCACTGGCCAGACGTTCAGTTGTTGGTCGTCTCATGGAATCGATGAATTCATCGCAGCCAGCAAGTCGTACGCCTGATACTCTCGACGAAATACTCAAGACGTTTGTGCTTCGCTATCCTCGCTTCGTTCGCAGATGGCTCGGGAATGCTCCGACCAAGGATGCGCCTCCGAGGAATATTCTGCAGTTTGATCAACGTCGCCAAGTCGTCATGAAGACCATCGGCCAGACACTTGACGGGACCCTCATGGTTGTCAAGTGCGACATCCAAAATTCAACGGCCGAGTGGCAGCAGCTTGACGACGTCCTCCAGCATTGCTCTGCTCTCCTCGAAACACTCAGCGACCCTTCACAACCTCCCGCCAAGACGGAGCAACTCAACAATTATCTAGTCAAAATTTCCAGCCTCTACTTCGCCAAGTTCTCGCAGCTTCGAAAGCACTCCCAGAGAAAGCGAGAAGAAAACAAGCAGATTCTGCAGACACTAAGCCGCTCAATTGACACGGTAAAGGATCTTTCTGTCTCTGAAAGAGAGCGAGCCCAGCTGTCAATAAAACTCGAGCTCTTTGCAGACATGTGCAAGGGGTCTGGACGAACTGAGGATGCCGTACAAACCCTGAGATCGATATGCACAAGCATGGCCGAGGATGGCATCCTAAAGGACGTTTCTGCTGCACTAGCCACGCAAGCCCCTACTATAGCATGGAATATGAACGGCAAGTCTAGCATGCTATCTCGAACCCTCCGATCAATCGCCAAACTCGACAAGTCTTGGACAGACTGGACCATTTTCCTGCCCGAGACGGAGCGCGCCGCGGTTTTGGAACATCTAATGCACCTCAGTACAGGTTCACGCAGCGCCTTGCAGTTTCACGACCCGAATCTTACGGCGCTCTTGCGTATCTATACTCCCGACAAGTATCCTATCCGAAGACTACGCGTATTGCTTCACGTCCTGTACCAGAACCTGGGCAACGAGGATGAAGTTGCGGCCCTTCATCCGCACTTGCAAGTCTGCCTCCGCCAAGCCGAAACTCAGGATAAAGCCGAGGACGAAGGCTTGACCGGGTTCATGCTGCATCTGCTGAACTGGCATCATAGTGTACAGGCAGTGCTGGATGCGGACGAGCTCTCCAAGTCGGCCGTGCCGGCGGCTATCGACACCTGGACCAATATGGTTGGATCCTGCCCGATGGAGAGCAGTATCTACAAGGTGATTGATGACCCTGAAGCACTCCAAGATTACCTTCAGTCTCTCGGTCATCTGGCTGGTCTACGGGGCGAGCACCTTTTGCAGCTGAAGATTTCGCAGCTTCTGGTGTCCCTGTCCAAGATCTTCGCCGGCCAAGGGCAGACGACCAGCAGCGCGCTCATCGTCCGCCAGAGCCAGCTTGCTTCTCAGTACATCAGCACCGGCCTTTACACCAAAGCTCTAGATGCGTTAGATGAGGCCAAGGGTTTGCTTCAGCAACAAGATGATGTGGCGCCGAGCGTCTCTGTGGCGTACAACATGGCGCAGGCCGAGTATTTCACGGGTATTGGAAATAGAGATGACGCAAATCTTTCCGTATCCGAGGTCAATGCTGTCTGTCGACGCTCGCAGACGTCTTGGGCCACTACCAAGGCGCAAGCAACCACGACAGTCTGCTTGGCCTCTCTTTTGCAGTCGTCCCTCTCCCTGCAGTCTGGCAACGTGGAAGAAGCGTTGAACCATGTCAAGCAAAGCGTGCGCATGCTCTCACATGACTGGACAAAGCTTGAATCTGCTGTTGTCGGCAGCGACTCTAGTCTGTCCGACACGAGCTTGGACTCTGTTTCCGTCAAGGACGGCAGAGCTGGCCCTGTTGGACCACGAGTCTGGGCTCTGGCTGCACCTCTGATCCGCAGCCTGCTTCACATATCGTCCGTCTATGCGCACATTGGCATGTTCCAGGAAACCATCTACTACGCCGACGCGGCCTCCAAGATTGCCGCCAGCTCGCAGTCGACACTGTACAACGCCGAGGTGGCTGCATGGACGGGCTCCATCTATCTCCGGGCAGGAGACCAGGAGAAGGCTGCTGCTCGGTTCAAGGCGCTGGCTGACATGATGCCCGAAGACATGTCCGCGTCCAAGATTCGCTTTGCGAAGGTGCTTGGAGAATATTGCTCGCATATCGGGGACAACGACAAGGCACTCGAGTACTTTCAGATGGCCGAGATTGGCACCCGTGGTCTGAACGAAAACACATCTTCTGAGAAGGGGGAAGAGGCCACTCAAGAAGCAGTTGCACCAGCTCCATCCCGAACGAAATCTACAAGAACGACAAGGGCCAAGACACCCGCCAAGCCACGAATCACGAAGCGTGCGGCAGCGACATCAAGGGCGGTCACACCTGTTCCTAGGCCTTCTCAGCAACTCACCGACGTCTTCCAAGCCTCTCTCCTCGCATCCGTGCTCCTTTCCCGTGCCAATGGCCTCATTCGCCAGCAAGAGTGGACTGCTGCACTTGCTCTGCTCAAGCAGGCCAAAGAACTGCCAAAGCAAGACATGGCAGCCTACCAAGAACAGATAGCAACGGCGACGTCACTCATCGGACACAGCATGGAGCAGATAATCTCGGATCCTGTCTTTTCCGTGATTCAAGATTCGACCATTTCCTTCCCATCCATTGCCGGATTGGTGGAAAAGGCGATTGCGGATGGCTGCTCGCCGTTCAAGTCGCCCGGTAAGCGTGGGCGACCGGCGACAGGGGGCCGCGGCAAGGCCATCAAGGATGGCGATGCTCCAGCGTTTGCCGAGGCACTCAAAGAAGCACAGGAACTGCTTGCCGAGGCTCACTCTTCCGCCATGACAAAGTCGGACAGCAGCATGGTGCGACGCATCTCAGCCATGCTTCAGAATACCATCATTCTGCTGTCCGCCACGTCTGGCACAAAACACAAATCTCTTGCCCACTCTGGCTTGGCTACAGTTGCCGTCGACTTGGCGCACAATGTTACCTGGCGCAGAGAGCAAAAGACTCTGGCCTCTACGACAGTGGCTGCGGAGGATGCTGAGAGGAGAGGCGCAGGCCCTCGCAGGGCCAGCTTGGCTCCGGCCTCTGACATGGCCAACTTTCAGAAGAGCTATGTTGAAATGGTTCCCAAGAACTGGAGCGTCATCTCGGTATCCTTGAGCGACAACCATCACGACCTGTGCTTGACCAAGTTCCAGGCAGGCCACAGCCCCTTCATTCTTCGGTTGCCTCTGGAGCGAGCCAACTCCCGCGACGCCGACTGTGAAGTGTATAACTTTGAGCATGGAAAGGAGGACCTTTTAGACATCATCAAGCTCGCCAACGAGACTAGCCATTCCGCGCGTGACTTTTCCCTCAAGGGAGAGCGCAATGCCTGGTGGGCCGAGCGCGAGGCCCTCGACACGCGTCTAAAGGAGTGTCTGGCGCAGATCGAGACGACCTGGCTAGGCGGCTTCAAGGGCATCTTTTCCCAGCATCAGAGACGGCCTGACCTGTTGGCTCGTTTCCAGAAGAATGTGCAAAAGATGCTCGACGCCCATCTACCCTCGCGAAGTCAACGACGCGGAAGGAAGACGGCGGCCAAGGCCGGTGTGACTCTGGATCCTAGGATCCTCGACCTGTTTATTGGACTTGGTGACCCCACGGAGGATCCCGATTGCGACTTTGACGAGGCTCTGAATGATTTACTCTACTTTATCGTGGACATTCTTCAGTTTCACGGCGAGCGAAATGCGTACGACGAAATCGACTTTGACGCCATGGTAGTCGAGATGTACGACGCGCTCAAGGGGTACTACGGTGCTCTGGAACGTGCTGGTGCGCGGGAAGACGGTGCTCACACGGTTCTAGTTCTAGACAAGGCTCTGCATGCTTTCCCCTGGGAGTCTCTCCCATGCATGCAAGGCCTTGCCGTGTCTCGGGTGCCGTCCCTTGCGTGTCTACGCCAGCTCATCACCGAGTCCAACATGCCCCCCAAAGACAAGCCGACTTTGGACTCTCCGCCCGGCCACTACGTCTCGTCCAGGTCCGGCACGTACATGCTGAACCCGTCCTCCGACCTGAAGAACACGCAAGCCTTCTTCCAGAAGCCCTTTGCGTCCGGACTGGCCGGCTGGACGAGCATCGTCAACCGACCACCGGACGAGGACGAGTTTGAACGGGCCCTTGGCTCCGGTCCGGACGTGTTCCTGTACTTTGGCCACGGCAGCGGCGCGCAGTACATCCGCGGCAAGACGGTCCGGCGGCTGGACAAGTGCCGCCCGGCGACGTTCTTGATGGGCTGCAGCTCGGCGGCGCTGACCGAGGCGGGCGAGTTTGAGTGCTACGGCCCCGTGTGGAACTACATGATGGCCGGGTGTCCGGCGGTGGTGGGCACGCTGTGGGACGTGACGGACCGCGACATTGACCGGTTCGCCGGCCGCGCCTTTGAGGAATGGGGGCTGCTGGACAGGGGGACCTTTGAGGAGGCGGGGAAGCAGCAGGCGGATGAGGGTGCTTCTGCGCGCGGGAAGCAGTCCCTCGTCGAGGCGGTGGCGCGGGCGAGGGGCGCGTGTCGCTTCCGGTACCTCAACGCCGCGGCCGTGGTGGTGTATGGCATCCCGGTGTACGTGCGATGATGGGGGATGGTTATTTACTTGTATAGAGAAGAGAGCTGCATAGCGTCGGCGTTTTCAAGTTGTGGTTTGGATTCTTTGTTATAGATTACGTATGCATGGTAACGATACCACATGTTGCGACCCTTTTGCATGGAAAAGAGTAATGAAAGTATGAATTGAACAACGCGTACCGGAGTGTCCAAGTGTCCGGCGTATAGGACAAGTGGTATCGTGATGGTTGCAAGTACGTGGGTGAACTCGTAGACTGCATTGACACTACGTCGAGCCTCGGACACCTCTTACCGGGCCGCGGTGTGCCCCGGTTTCTAGCCGATTCATGATTGATGGCTACTCGGGGTGGGGGTTGCTTCTCGATCAGAGCCGGTGGGTGGATTCATGTTGGCAACTTGTGTGTTTGAGTGACGAGTCTCTCCGAGGTTGTATGGCGGCACACGGGGGGGAACGTGGTCAACGGTATTACAGAGGGAAAGGAACGGTGTTGGTTCGGTTTGTCGGCTGCACTGTACGTGGTGCATGATGCAGTGAATCAAATTGGGGGTTGGACATGGAGGAAGAAAGAACCCTGGTTTCTCTCTCACAGCAATGTTTCTTTCAGGGGCTTGTCAATGGCAAAAACCTGATGTTTGCGTCATCGAGATGGCTGTTGGTTTGTTGGTTGGTGGTCGTCTCGGACAATGAACTGTCCCTCGCGCGCACGGTGATGCACAGGCTTCGCAGCAGAATCAGGTGGGAGGATGGATAGATTTCGCTTTCCGTTGCATGATGGGAACTCGTTTGCTAGTTCTTCCTGGTCTTGCGTCGTCCTTGTTTCTCTTTTCCCACGTCTTCGTCTCACATCCAGCTACCCTAGGGTTCGACTTGTAATGCAAGTCGGCACGGCAGCTACAAGACCCCCTTTTTGAAGCAGGTTCGTTTTGCTTGGACAAAAACTAGCATCAATTGTGTTGATAGTCTCCAAGTAAACATCACTGGAGAGTAGGGTATCGCCAATGCAAGTAGCAAAGGAAAATGCAGCGAAGATTTACAAGTTGAGCAGTACACTTACACCGAGACGAGTGATGGCCAAGCAGGATTACAACAAGCAGTGAAGTCACATTGTATTAAGTCTTCCAGTCTTTCCAGTCTTTCCAGTCTTGCCTATATTTTTCTGTCTGCGCTGCCTGCACTGTCTATACCATCTGCGCTGTCTGTACTGTGCCTATAACATCCATGGTATATACTCTATGCACGTTTCGACCCTTACCCTATAGTCTTTCATCTTTACCCTTCTCTCTTCATCCTTGCACCATCTCCCCATTTCCATTCATCATACCCTTTAGTCAGTGCTTCATAATTGGGTCATCCTGCCAAGCGCTCCCCATCTACGTAAGCTACGATATCGCGGCCCACGAGATCGACAGTGACTGATCAAGTCCGTCCCTCTCACGAGTCAAGCGGCGCCCTTTCCAACAAGACAGCAATCGAGCGCTTAATTAAAGGATCAATCAAACATGCTAGTCTCGCGGGAGGGGCCCCGGAACAAGTCCGCCGGGGGTGTGCGCAAGTTGAAGTGCCAAGTTCCAGTGTGGCACGCAATCCACGACGAGGCCATCATTGGTGCGGCAGGGGCACGCAGACCATGGCACGAGGCGACGCCTCCCTGGATCATCATTCGCTTCCTCCCTGGGTCATCACTAGTTAGTTTCTGCAAGTTAATATGGACCATGCATGCAATGTGCTCTGGTTGGGTCCTTTCCGCCTAATCGATGAGACAGGTTCAAACGTCTAGAAGATGCATCGGCGTCGCCGGTGGCGTCGATCCAAATCGGCCAAATGCCTCAAGAGTTTGAGGCGGGCTGCATCGGCAGTTTGTGATTTACTTGCAGTATTTATTAGAGTGGAGGTAGGCAGATGCTGGTAGAAAGGCGGTCGCTCCTTTGACGAGACCCTCGCCGTCTGGAAAGTTGATTTCTTGTATTTTATATTCACATTTAATTTTGAAATTGATCTCCTGCGATGAGAGACATCGTACGATTGACAGGCACGCCGCGTGTATGGGTCGTCATGGAGCATGGATAGGGCTGGTTATTAGGTAGTTAGACTCTGTATTCTCTTCGTAGTACTAGTTACAGTATCGTATTTAGAACAACTAACGTTCGTATAGTTCCCGTATTCTTTTACTTGTACTTTGCACTCTGCATTACATGGCACTGCATGATCGATCTTGTCCGGTACAATGAATGACTCTTGGAACGGAGCCTTGCCGAAAGAACGAACTGGAAAAGAATTGTGAATAATTGTGAGGAAAAAAACATGACAACTGACACAAAATGAGGCTTGGAAAAAGACAGCAACCCAGCCACGTGCTTCGCTGCACCGTTGCATTGCTGCACATGCTGTAAACTGGCCCTGCATATTACGGATACTTGCGATCCGTGCTTTGTTAGTTGGCTCGTATGCTCGGTTTTCTTCTGACCGTTAGCGACAAGCAAATAAACACCCATGTCATTGTTGTTAGCATGACGAATCCTTGCACTGTACTGTTTGTTGGGGGTCGGTCTGGGGGGACTGGTAGGTGTGAGTGCCTCACGGACCATACATATACTGGTACTAGTGAATACCAGTAACGAGTAACTAGGCAGGACTCACTTTTACCTGCTCAAAGGGAAGACATTTCCGACCGGTGATTGGCCGTACCCCATCTCGGGATCAGCAGGCTTTGCTTTGAAACCGCTTGTCCGTTTTAGTTGACTAGTAGGGATGACCTGGTCCTGGTCCCTGGGCCCGAACGTCGAGTTAGTTGCCTGGGCTGTCAGGTTCGGGCCGGGTACACTGGGTACTGTATGAACTTTTGCGTTGCGCCCAGCTGAACAAGTCTAGATGGAAGGGCGTGGGGGGGTTCCTATCAAACTAACGACATTTGAGGCGTCATTCCTCAGCTATTTGGAGAGACAAGAAACGGTGTAAGTGGTGGGGGAAAAGTGGTACGATGGCCGTGAAGATTTCAGATGAATCAAGGGAGGGAAGAGACAAAAAAAAAGTGATGTGTGACCAAGTATTCTCTCTTGGTCGACACGTCTGGTTCGACGAATGAGAATGAAGAGTGCAAAGGAAGCCTGCAATCAACGTCCGTGTCCAACTAGTCTGTAGATCATCACAGTGAATCAGGCTGGGGGAGGGGGAAAGTGGCGTTCAAAGTCCACGAAAAAGAAGAGGCTGCGTTCTTTGTCAAGAAACGCCAAGGGGGCCGGGAACGTCCTTTTTCAACGGTCAGACGGGCCGGAGGGAGGCTGGGGGCAGAAGAGAGGGGGGGGCCCCCAGCGACCTGGTTCGCAGTCCATTCCCAATGGAACGAACCGGAATAAAATGGAAATGGAAATGGAAAATGAAAAACAAAAAAAAAAAGAAGCCCAATCCCCAACCTATCATGACCCCGGCCAGTAGTGAAAAGCCATTATGGGGCAAGTAAAGAGATGCAAAGAGTCCAGTAAAGAGACAGATGTACTCGGTACTTGTTGATGCCTCTACCCCCCCATCTCCCCTGCATTGCACACGCCCCATCAAGATATTAAAGATGTTATATATTACAACAGTACGGGGCTTCGAATCACGATGATATGCCGGGTGACATTCAGCGACCTCTCACCCCTGTGAAAATCACTCGCCCAGGCAGTTCAGGCTGCAGAGGATGGATGTTGCAGCCGGGCAACAATAAAGATGGGGAAAGCAAAAAGACAAACAAAAACAAGAAAACAACAATAAACCCCGTCGCTCGT